TTAACTAATAACCCTCTGATTAATGAGCAGAAGTACAGGATGGTTCTTTGCTCTCTGAATATTGCACCATTTGGAAAATTACACTAGAGTCAGGCACAGAATATCAGCTTTTCCAAGAAAATATTTCCAATTGACCACATCCTACAATTTTATAATATTTTAAGAAAAACAGTACCTCTAAGTAATGAAATATGCACCAATAAAAAGCCCCCTTCTCCTTTCCCCTAAATATCAAGGTCTTATTCAAATGTTATGTTTTCAGCTAGGATATTCACCCTGTGACTTTTTCTCTACAGATTACATGCTCCGCGATGCTGAGGACTTTCCCATGATCATCTCTGGAATGATCCCATAATCAGCTATGGAAAAGGAAAGACCAATCTTTGCAAATGGCTCCCTCCCGCACACAGGTTTATCTTTTGAGATTCAGCTACGGAGAATTTGTATACTTGAAGTCTTTGAGATGGCAGCCAAGAACGTCAAATTGGCTCCTAGAGAGCTTCCATGAGACAAATTACTATAATGGGTACTTCATCACAGGGAACATGGAGGACAGCAAAAGTGTTATTGGGCTCTGATGGGCTCAGAAGACATAATAGGGAACACTCTGAGAACAGAAAACTGACGGGAAGACAGATCTTTTTATTCTAGTACAGTAAGTGGACTTTTAAATCCTAAATTTGTCTATGGAAACTGTGATAATGTCTGCTCCTGTCTGGCGTGCTAATAGATAAAATATTAGACGTCACACAAGAAAGAATAGGGACAAATTATTTGCAAAGTGCTTACACATGTGAATCACATTTTGAAATAATGTACGGTATGTAAGAGCCATAGGAATTTGAAGAAGGAATAGTTGCTGCATTAGTGCTAATAATTCCATAATTTTTCAGGTTCAACTGGCGTATAGGGCTTGCTCAGGTTGTAATCTTGTGTGCACTTATCCGGAAATAAGTCCCATAAACTCTGGACTTACTCCAAAGACAGCATGCATAGGACTGCATTGTCAGAAAAACATTTAAGTTATAACCTGAGATATAATTTAGGTAGAAAATGGGCATTTTATGGAGAGAAAGCAATTGAAATGACTTCTTTGGTCTATTTCTAGAGCAATGTGATTCCCCTACAAGTTCCTTAGCAAAGCATTATTTGGGAATGATGACATATCTCACGTATCATTATAGAGTTGTATCTGACTATGTCATACTCAGAGTAAACCCAGTAAATAAAGTCAGCCATGACTAACTTTAAGCCCATTGATGTCAGTGAGTCTATTGGGTATGCCTTAGCCAGACACAACACATAATCATTTATATGTAGGGATTTATCATTTTTTTTAAAAGGGCGTTTAATCGTTCAGTCAGAACTGTCTCCGAAAATATTTCTTCTCCAGGGCAAGGTGAGGGTCCATTGCTATGAGTTTCATCGTACAGTTTCAAAGTGAAACTGGTGAAGTAGATACATCAATTTATTCAAATTTCCCGTAGATGCATCAGTTTATTGAAATGACAATTTATTGAATCGTCAGTTATCAAAACCGACAAATGGCATTATTCAAATTTCCCGTAGATGCATCAATTTATTCAAAGAACAGCTTACTCAGTTGTCAGTTATCAAAGCTGGCAATTGGCATTAGACAGTCTGAATTATTTTCCTGCTACTTTTAAATTGCCCCAGGGAACCGAAAGGCTACAGATCCCTATTCCTGATTGGACTTAGCACATTTCATTCCAGCAATGCACAAACTGCAGTATTCTGCGCACTACAATCCTGTACGTGCCTACTCAAAAAACCCTGGGACTTAGGCTGCATACATACCATACATTTGAAGTACATAGCTTTCCCCAAGGAATCCCGAGAACTGTAGTTTGCCCCTCGCTGAGCTACAATTCCCAGCACCCTTAACAATCTGCACTTAAGCATGTTGCCTGAACCTTTATCAAATGCCATTGGCTTGTGTGGCTTGGCTCCTTTGCACAACTGGATATCTTTTTTCCCTTTCCTAAAGCTCCCCCTTCAAGCTCAAGTTGATTAACCTCTTGTCCAGGGGTCCCCAAACTAAGGCCCGTGGGCTGGATAAGGCCCGAGGGACTCGTTTATCCGGCCCGCGATGACCCCCACCACCCGCTGCCACCTCCCACTCTTACCGGCGCTGCACGGCTGCCCACTTCCGGGTCGGAGGAGCACCGGAAATAGCTTATGCACATGCACAAGTGTTATTTGCACATGCGCAAGCATTATTTCCGGTGCACATCCGGGTCGTAGGAGGCCCGTGCACATGCGCACAAACTATTTCTGGTGCTCCTCTGACCCAGAAGTGCGCCGGAAATAGCGTGTGCGTACGCTTATGGGCATGCGCTCCTCCACCCTCCGGCCCGCCGTGTGATTGGCGCTGGAGACACCGGCCCGAGGCGCAGTAAGTTTGCTGACCCCTGTTCTTTTCAATCCAAGAGTACTGGCTTGCTGAACAGGCAGAAAGGGTTTTGTTTTAGTTTACATGTGAAGAGTCTAAGACAGGGATGTCCAAAGTCTGTTTCAGGGGCCTGTTTAATCCGGCCCTTGTGGCAGTTTATTTCCTGGGGTAAAATTCTTCAATCTTAAAAAAAGCTCAACAACTTCAATTCTAAAAAAAGGTTAACAACTTTGGTCAGCCCTCACGGCCCTTCACTTCATCAAATCTGGACACCACTGGTCTAAGACTTGCCAAAGGGCTTTGACGCTTAAACCGTTTATCCACGCATCCCATGGAAAACCTCTTCTCTGGTCCCCCAGGCTTATCAAATAGAAAGATGAGCATGCAGTTATTGACTCTCGTACACTATTTCAGCCAACAAAACTATAAATATGCTAATAGCACCACTTCTTTCTTCCAGCCTGCAGATTTTATATGATAGCTCATCTGATGGAAAAGTGGCTGCGTAATAGTAGATTAAATGATAAGATTAACGGGGGGGGGACATCCAAATCTCTCATGGTTAGAAATTCTGAAGTATCTTCTACGTAGCATTCCCATCTCCCAGCCAGCCAACTTTAAAAATTCTTGTTTTATGGATTTGATTTACAAAAAGTCACTCTTCATCTTTTCCAGATTAAAATCAACAGCATTTTTCTCATTGGGCTGAAATACAATTCAACTTAAAACAATGTTTTGTTGCAAGTGGATGATTACCATTGGATGATTATCAAGCACACCTATGGACAAAAATTGTTTTTAAAAAATCGGTATATCTGCAACTGTGCGTCATTCTGATGATGACTCTATGGTTTTCACTAGAACAACACAAAGATGCAGAACACTACAGGTGTGTGTGGAGGGGGCATCATATACAAAAACAACACAACACAAAGGTTTAGAAAGGTTTCCATTCAAGGCAAGTTTTCCTGGCTGCAGTTTGGAGAGAAACACAGCCCATTGGCCACCGGGATTGGCATGTATTTTGCCAGGAATTAACTTTTCTATCATATTAGGAATACACAAAGGGCCCTTTGAGATTATTTTCACCTTCTGAAAATTGGACTTGACTATTATTTTTCTAAGATAAGCCCCTTTCAGAAAACATCAACACCATTTTACATTGCAAAGAAATGCATCTCACCTCATCCGGTCTTGCATGATTAAATAACAGAGAGCTCAAAGTTCTGCCCTTTCCGCCTCTTCGTTCTCAAGAGTTTTCTTCCTTTCTGACCTTCAATTTTCCTTGGCCCTCCCAAAGGAAAGTAACAAAGGCCATTCTCCTGCTTTCTTCCCGTCAGTAACTGTTCAGATCTCTGTCTTCCCCTCAATGTTTGATCCATTCCCTCCCATTTTCCTTCCATGACTCAAAACACGGTGAAACTTTATGGCAAATGTCTTGGGACAAGGAAAATTTATGAGTTTGCTTTTCTTCCCACCATTGTATATAAAGAAGCACCAAAGCTGAGAGCAGATTCGTAGGTGGAGGGGATGATTGACACAAACACACATACACCCGCTGCTGTCAGTAAAGTGGGCAAAATAAAGTTGGGCAGAATGAAAGCAGTTGCTGCCATTCGTGTCTTCTGAAGGCATTGAAGGGGTTCAGTGTGGGTGGATGGAAAAATATATCAGGAACAAAATTAGGAATTGGTCCATCTTGCAGAAAAAGAGAGAGATGAAATGGGGAGATTTAGCCAGGTTCCCTAGCACAGTGTCACTGATGGTAGGTAGAAGGAGAATTAGGAGGGGGTTACAGGGGGAACCAAATGCAAAGATAATGAGGTGCCGTGCCAGAAAGATGGTTAATTTGTTTATGTATGCAACCACAGCAGCTAGGATCCTTTATGCTCAGAAATGGGAAAACAAAGAAGTTCCCACTAAAGAAGAATGGATAAGCAAAGTTAGGGACCACGTCGATCCAGCAAAGCTAACAGCTAAAATAAGAGAATTTAATGATGCTTGTCTTTTTTGAAGAATGGAAGCCCTTTTCGGATTATTTGAAGAAATATGAAAATATGAAGAATCCGTGAGCAGGATTAAGATGATGAGCAACAGAAAGAATTAGAGACTCGTGTTATGATTATAAAAAAAAGGGGGAGACAGGATGCAGCAAAGCAGGGGGGACAAGGAAAACATCATGGACAATGGGATGGGAAGTCAATAATATAGAAGTTGGGGTTTTTTAATGTACAGTCATACCTCATGTTACGTTTGCTTCATGATACATTTTTTCAGGTTGCGTCCCGCGGCGACCCGGAAGTACTGGAAAGGGTTACTTCCGGGTTTCACCGCTGGCGCATGCGCAGAAGTGCTAAATCGTGCCACGCACCTGCGCAGATACGGCACTTCGCAATCAGAGGTACCACTGTATTGGAATTGTATGTGGGATTTCTGGAAATTTAATCAAATAAATTTGGGGGGGGGGGGGAGAGATCATTGAGGTGCCATGGCAATGCATGCAGAGAGTGTGGTTGGAGGGTTTGTGGTGGGGCTACAGTACCTTCCACAGTCTCAGTGCTGCATCCGAGTGAGCTACGATCCATATTCAGTGTGGGATGGTGCCTCCGGGTGGCTGAGCGTGGGGCGGGACCCGAGCAGCCAGCAGGCAAGCCAGGATGATGCCCACCACCTGCATGAGTGCCAGCCCAAGGGCCGCCGTGGCAATGTAGAACATGTTGCTGCTGACGAAATTGTAGACCTTGCTGTAGCACCCGTCGCGGTAAATTCCCCGAGCGCCGAAAGGGAGAGGGCTGCGCAGGCACCTTTTTCGTGCCTTGCAGCAGCTCGCGGGCACAGAGCCATTGGGTGGCTGTTGCTCCATAGACCACGGTGAGGAAAACCAGTCGCGGTAACTTTCCACCCCGCAGCAGTCGAGGGTGCGCTGGACGGAATCCAGAGCCTCGGCCTTCTCCTCGTCCTCTGCGTAGGAGCGTATGGCTTCGTGGAGGCCGTTCTGGAAGCCTTCGGCAATATCCTTGCGGTAGAACAAGCTGGAGAGGCCCGCCGCTAAGCCGGCGGCCAGCACCGCCAACTGAAAGCTCCCATAAGTGCGCAGCAGGCATCGGTGTTCGGTGGCGGCGCTGAAGCAGCCCAGGAAGCCCCACACGATGACAGCCGCGCCGGTCGCCAACAAAATGAAGGAGGTGTTTGGGTATTGGTTGGTGGAGAGCACCAAGTAGGTGCCCAGGGAAATCTTGGCCCAAATGCCAAGGGTAACCATGGTGAGCCCCGCTGCCCAGAAGACAAAGCTGAAAGCCATGAGGAAAAGCTTGAGCACAGCCATGGCACCTTTCTGGCGACGGTTGATAAAATCTCCTAGGTGCTTATAACCGGTATGGAGGAAGGAAGTGGCACCTGGTCCTGCTGACTGATGCTCCTTGAAGCTGACTGATGCTCTGTGATGCCACCTTTAGATGATATTTCCTTGAAGTTTTGGTTAATCTCCTCCACCTTGCAAGCTGGGCAATGGTGAACACCTTCACTCGGGACCCCAAGTATGAAATGCTCTTGCCAGACGATGGAACTGGGATGGTGTTGTTTTGGGGTTTGGCAGCTCCACAACCAGTACTGGGATGGTGTTCTTTGGGGTTCAGCAGCTCCACAACCAGCGGACGTTGTTGCAGGGATCCTAGAGCAGCTCTCACAGAGAGAAATGTTCGGAAATCTCTGCCTCCTTCACCTGGTCAGAACTCAGGATACCAGTCTCTTTCTCCCTATTCCGCAGAATGCAAAGAAGATTGCACGGCACAAACCAGTTGGACAGGCTCTCCGGTCAAATTGCTGTCCTGGTTGTAGTAAAAGCAGCTTTTGACACCCCAGAAGAGAGAAGGACTGCCTCCTGCCAGAACTGTCTCTCAATCACTCCAGACACTCCTGTCCTTGCCTCTCCAGTTGCACGCTCCGCCTTGGTATGTCAGCTGCTAATTTGTCCGTCATGGGCTCTGGTTCCCCAATTCACGCAAGCTTTTGTAGCTCAGAGATTGCTTTTCATTCAGCTGCCACAGAGGAAAATCAGCCTCAGCAACGGGGAGCTCGTTTTTCCTGCAAAGCGGGCAGGTAGCTCTTCAACTCTGATCCTTCCCCTCTCAAGAGATAACATATAAATGTTACACACCTCCTTTTTAGCCAAAGCTGAAGATCGCAAGATTTCCCGGTGCATCCCAACCGGTGGTGAAACACTCATGTTAACAGATTTCCCCATTCCTGAAAGGGGGAATGTTGCATCTTGCCATAGACTGTGCTGATAACTTTCAGACGTAGGTAAAGACTGTCAGAGTGAAATGTAAATAAAGAAGAAGGAAGAATATTGTACAGCTGTTTTGCTCCGTAATGTAAATTCCATGGAGCTACCATATACTTACGGATACAGAACATCTGGTGACTCCTGTGCTGTATTATGGAGATGAATGAGAGTCTTGCAACCAGCCATTCCCAGAGTCTACACTATTTCACACATTAATCTAAGGGGGGGGATAGGTACGTCAGAAAAATCAGGTTACTGCACTGAGATAACAAGGATCCCTGATCTAAGCACCCACCTTTCTTCGCCGCTCTGCCACCATTCATGCATAGCAAGTAGTACGGCTTTCCAGGAGGGTGAAATAAATAGACTGTTTAGCTTTCCTTTTGATAGATTTATGGCGTGGTGAGTACAGGGCTGTATAACAGATCTATCACTTGCTCTTTTCTTGGGAGTTGCAAGCTATAAAATGAAAGGGTTTTGCAGCTGGCAGGGCAAGATTAGTCCTGGACGCAAGATGTCGGCGTCCCAGATTGCATTCACCAAAACAGCAAATGTTTCCTGGTCACCATTTATGTATCATCATACAGAGATGGGCACCGGAGAGTAGTTTTAAGAACCTTCACAAAAAAAGGAATCTTTTATTTCATTCCACAGCTGTTATCCAATACCTGTTGAGTTTCCCTCCAGAAAATATACTCATGACTATGCAGTTGCCCTGGAGCTCAAGGAAAAAACATGATTTGCTTTTATTTGTTTCTTCAGAGAGGCTGCAAAAAAAGGAAAAGGGGAAAAAAGCAGCATGCTAATTGGAACATAAGACCCAATAAAGAAAGACCGTATGAGACCACCTTGCTGAACCTCAGCAGGTCTGGTCAGTGCAGACCCTCTAAGTGTCCCTATTTTACAGGGACAGTCCCGGACTTACAGAAGCTGTCCCTGTTTCTGATTTGATCCTGGAATGTCCTGCTTTTCCTTAGAAAGGTAAAGGGACCCCTGACCATTAGGTCCAGTTGCGGATGACTCTGGGGTTGCAGCACTCATCTCGCTTTACTGGCCAAGGGAGCCGGCGTACAGCTTCCAGGTCATGTGGCCAGCATGACTAAGCCGCTTCCGGCAAACCAGAGCAGTGCACGGAAACGCCGTTTACCTTCCTGCTGGAGTGATACCTATTTATCTACTTGCACTTTGATGTGCTTTCGAACTGCTAGGTTGGCAGGAGCAGGGACCGAGCAACGGGAGCTCACCCCATTGCGGGGATTCAAACTGCCGACCTTCTGATCAGCAAGTCCTAGGCTCTGTGGTTTAACCCACAGCGCCACCCATGTCTCTGCTTTTCCTTAGGAGGTCCCTATTTTCATCAGAGAAATATAGGAGGGTATGGAGTTATGTGGCCCCTGAGCCAAGGAGATTATTATTATTGAATAAAAGGTAAAGGGACCCCTGACCATTAGGTCCAGTTGCGGATGACTCTGGGGTTGCGACGCTCATCTCGCTTTATTGGCCGAGGGAGCTGGCATACAGCTTCCGGGTCATGTGGCCAGCATGACTAAGCCGCTTCTGGCAAACCAGAGCAGTGCATGGAAACGCCATTTACCTTCTCGTCGGAGCGGTACCTATTTATCTACTTGCACTTTGTGCTTTCAAACTGCTAGGTTGGCAGGAGCTGGGACCGAGCAGCGGGAGCTCACCCCGTTGCGGGGATTCAAACCGCCGACCTTCTGATCGGCAAGTCCTAGGCTCTGTGGTTTAACCCACAGCGCCACCCGCGTCCATTATTATTGAATAGGTTGTCCTTATTTTCATCGGAGAAATGTTGGAGGGTATGTCAGTGCCTTCAAGCACAGTCACCAGCAGACCACCTGCATGTTTCCTTGGGTTCCATGCTGGACAAAAGGTGAAATATCCGTAAAATAATAGAACCATCTATTATAGTAAAGGCAAAGGGACCCCTGACCATTAGGAGCAGTTGTGGCCAACTCTGGGGTTGCGGCGCTCATCTATTATCCATCTATTATATCTGACCATAAATGTTACGTACTGAAGTCTTCATATGGCAACACTGCCATCATGGCATGACTTTTCCCAGAAAGGAGAAGGCTCTTCCATCTTCATTTCAGTACAAAGTCCATGGGGCTGGCTCAGTGCTTTTTCCCTAATGTAGACTGCTCTGTGCTATTTGGCATCCCTATGTTCTGTCAGCGGGTGGCGCTGTGGGTAAAACCTCAGTGCCTAGGACTTGCTGATCGTATGGTCGGCGGTTCGAATCCCCGCGGCGGCGTGAGCTCCCGTCGTTCGGACGCAGCTCCTGCCCACCTAGCAGTTCAAAAGCACCCTTAAGTGCAAGTAGATAAATAGGTACCGCTTTATAGCGGGAAGGTAACGGCGTTTCCGTGTGCTGCGCTGGTGCTGGCTTGCCAGAGCAGCTTCGTCACGCTGGCCATGTGACCCGGAAGTGTCTTCAGACAGCGCTGGCTCCCGGCCTCTTAAGCGAGATGAGCACGCAACCCCAAAGTTGGACACGACTGGCCCGTACGGGCAGGGGGACCCTTTACCTTTATGTTCTGTTTGCATTTTTCTGATAATAAAACAATCTCTGGTGCTCATGCAAACTACATCAGACCTTGTAATGGTACCTATGGAACACCACAGCTTGGAACCGGGGAGTACGAAATACATTTTATTTGGGGGGGGGGGTTAAAGCAACAATTACCTGTAAATCATTAAGCCACACACATTTCTTGCCTTCACTATGAATAGTACAAACTGCTGATCTCAAATACTGATTGCTGAGTTTTTTCCAGGGAGCTTTGAAAAAAGTACAGGTATTTCTTTTTCTTTTTTTAGTACTACCAGTGGTGTGATGGGGGGGGGGGGGAAATACAGATTATTGTACATTTAAAGACTGTTGGGGGCCACTGGATCTGATACTTGTTGGATTCCCCCTGGAAAATATTATAATATTCCAGTTAGCATGCAAATGGCACTCTATTATTACAGAAATGTGTGGTGCAGCAATCTGAGATGAACTGGATCTAATCCAAAACAAATTCTCCCACTTGGGAGTCCTATATAGTATACCAGACACATTGCTTAGAATTGAAGTAGGTGTTGCTTTCCTCAAAACACACTTTAATAAATCCATGATTCCATACTGGGGAAGACGGGAATCTGATGTCAGACAAACCATTATTTTTTTAGGCTTGCAGAATGGGGAAGGCTGGGCACAATGTTGTATTATCTACCTGCAGCGTACGTTGCTAAGGATGATATGGTTCTCTGGAGGCCTTGGTGAAGATAATAATGATATATGGAAGCATTTTAGGCTGCTAGCTCACAGGATTAAATGTATTCAGGTATGCTATGTCTGCGTATCACTAAAAAGGAGATGTAAGCTCCCTCTAGTGACTCATTTAAGATAAACCATTTGCCTCTCAAAGCCAGCCTGTAGTTTCAGCGTGCCTGTCTATGAAATGGAAATAAGTAAATATAGTTTCTGTTTGGGTTTTGTGTCTCTCCTGTGACGGGTTTTCCCGATACTCGATGCCAAATTTCAGGTTATTAAAGTTTTAAATGTAAAATCATAAGGACGTTAAAATGGTCTGCATGACACCTGGAAAGGAGAAAACAGATGTGCTGTTTCATCTATGGAAAAGCTGAAATTAATCCACTAAACAATTAGAGACTCTTTAATTGCATTTTGGGCAGCTAGGCCTCTCCGTGTGGCTACTAGCAGAACCCTGGGGAAAATCTCTTCCCCCTTATTTATTTTTCGAAGTATTTATAACCCGCACTTTCATAAAAATATAACAAGGCAGAATACAGCATGCAAAGTTTTGTATACTCCAAAAGCTCCCCAGTCTCCAACTGACTGTGATGCTATCCAGAAGATAGCATTAAAAAGAGTATGTCCTGCATTAATGGCCAACTGGAATTTCAAAAAAACGGACAATTTTGGCCTTGCTGGACTACACAGAAGCCTTAAAAGCTCAGCCCAGAATTGTGATATTTCAAAAGTAAAAATACCAATCTCTTCAGAACTTCATGGTCTTTAATATGATATGGCAGTGTGGTGTAGTGGTTAAGAGCGGTAGACTCGTAATCTGGTGAACCGGGTTCGCTTCCCCGCTCCTCCACATGCAGCTGCTGGGTGACCTTGGGCTAGTCACACTTCTCTGAAGTCTCTCAGCCCCACTCACCTCACAGAGTGTTTGTTGTGGGGGAGGAAGTGAAAGGAGAATGTTAGCCGCTTTGAGACTCCCTAGGGTAGTGATAAAGCAGGATATCAAATCCAAACTCTATGAAATATGAGGGACTTACCTTAAAATTTAAAGTTACAAATTTTTACATTTTAAAAAGTGATTTAAAAAGTCAATATGATTGAAAATCCCCCCCCCAAAAAAGTATTGATCAGTTCATATTTCTAAGAGCTTCCTGCAGAATTTCATCACATTCTTTTTTTTAAAAAAAGTATGTACATGTCTGCCTTATTGGGTGCTATTTAGGATAAATGGGTCTTCTTGGGAGTAAATCATGCCCTAGACAGCTTAGAGGACAGAGTTCTCCTGGATGAGTTAGGAGAAGGCAGTACAAGTTCTGAACCAATGGATGTAGACCAATGAACTGAAGCCAAATCCAGATAAACGGAGGTTCTGTGGACAGTGAGTTTTCAAATCAGGAAATTGGTAGGACATTCTGTTCTCCATGGTGTGGCAATCTTGATAAGAGCAGGTTTGTTGTTTGGAGGTACTGCTGGTGTCAACATTATCAGTGGAGGCTCAGTGGGATGTGGGTGGCACCGTGGTCTAAACCACTGAGCCTCTTGGGCTTGCCGATCGGAAGGTCAGTGGTTCGAATCCCCACAACGGAGTGAGCTCCCGTTGCTCTGTCCCAGCTCCTGCCAACCTAGCAGTTTGGAAGCACGCCAGTGCAAGTAGATTAATAGGTACCACTGCGGTGGGAAGGTAAACGGTGTTTCAGTGCGCTCTGATTTCCGTCATGGTGTTTCCGTTGCCCCAGAAGTGGTTTAGTCCTGCTGGCCACATGACCCGGAAAGCTGTCTGGGGACAAACGCCAGCTCCTTCGGCCTGAAAGTGAGATGAGTGCCGCACCCCATAGTTGCCTTTGACTGGACTTCACCATCCAGGGATCCTTTATCTTTTACCAACGTTGCCGATGAAGGCTCAGTGGTCAGTAGTTGTAGCTCATCAACTACAGCTGTTCCTGGATACTGCACCCACATTTTGGTAACTTCCAGATTGGACTATAGTAATGTACTCTACAGGGGGCTACCCCTGAAAAGAGTTTGGAAATGACAACTGGTACAACAGCCAAGGTGTTAAGAAGAACTACAGGCTGATCTCCTGTAACATCAGTTTTGAAAGAATTGTACTAGTTGCCACTTGCCTTTCAAGTCCTATTCAAGGTGTTTCAGGTGACACAGAAAGCTCCAAATGATTTAGGGTCCAACTATTTGAAAGAATCTCCTTGTACTGTATCAACCTGAGCAAGTATTGAGATCAGCAAAGGACACCCTGCTTATAGTCTCAACACCAAGTGAGGTTCAGGGTGGAGTGTGAGAAGGGTCTTCTCTGTGGTGGCTCTACGCCTATGGAATGACTTCCCTCCTGAGGTTCATTGTGGAACAATGTTGCTGCCATTCTGACAGGTAGCCTTAAAAACCATACCTATTTAAAGGCTGAAGCCTTAAAACACAAACACCCCTCGCCCTGCAACTTTCCCTCTCTTGCCATCTTGCTGCCTGATGATTGAAAGCCTCAATCCAACCTGTGCTTACTCAGGAGCAAGCTCTGCTGGAATTACAGGACGCAAAGGATCAGACTGGAACAGGTTTGTGGGGCATTGGGGGAGCGTACAATTTTTGCAAATTTCTTCAGCGAGGGATGTTAAAAATATGTTTTTGGGTGTGAGGAATTCAAACCTGCTATTATTTTTAATGTTTAAAATTTAAAGTTTTTAAAGTTTTATTATGTTTTTGTATATTTTTGTATATGTTGGAAGCTGCCCAGAGGGGGCAACCCATTTAGATGGATGGGGTTACAAATAGTGGAATTATTCTTACTGCTATTAGTGACTGGACAACTTTTAGCTTTGTAAGTTTACGTTTGATCGAGAAGCACATAAACTGCTTTCGGAAAACCAATGGATTTTAATTTTACCTTCTGAAAATGTCAGAAAATGCTAAATAACAATAACAATAATAACTGCAAGTACTTGGCAATCATTTTTTAATGATTTCTATGCAGTCTTACACACATTTTACTTCCCAAGCAAAACTAAGTCCCATTAATTTAACCGAAGCACCTTTCAAGTGCCCAAGCCACGTGACAACTTTCCAGCACCCCTCGTTTTTGTTGCGATTCGGAAAGCTCTAGGGCAACTTTGCACAAACGGTTATGGAAGCTCCCGGCTGAGTTTATAATCACCCTTACCCTTACTCCTCTACTTATTTTTATTTATTTATTTATTTGAAATCATTTTTATTTGATTTCACAAATATAAATTTATTTATTCATTCATTTTTTGAAATCATTTTTATTTGATTTTGCAGATATAAATTTATAATAATCCAAATGCATAGCCGTACGTATAGAGGTGCCTCTGTATCTCAACACTCCTCCCCACCATCCCCTCCACGGGTCCTAGTGTCAACATTTACAACTGCGTATTATCCCATAATCTATATTTGGCATATTATCCATAGTGTTTGTTACGCCGCAAGTGAGATTAAAATCCTGCCAATGTTTTCATCTGCTCACAGTGGCCATTCTTTCCCCATTCTTTTTAAAAAGTTTTTGCCCTCTTGGTTCCTGTACTTATTTATTTGTTCGACAGGGGAAACAGAGGCACATCTATCTATCTATCTATCTATCTATCTATCTATCTAAAAAAGCACCCCGCCCCATTCACTCCAAGACAGACAAGGCACGTGCGCTTCCCGCTGCGCACTTTGGGAGATGTAGTCGCCTCTCCTTCCCTCCGCCCTTGGCCTCCTCGGGGCCGGGGGCAGGAAGCGAGGCCGAACTACAGCTCCCAGAATGCACCGCGGAAGTGTCTCCACCCCCCCCACCCCACTCCCTCCCTCTCCGCCTTCCTCCCCTCCCTCTATGAATGACTAATACCAACATGTTGTCAGGCTAATGTGGCCGCGAGTACCTGGAGGGCTCGCCTCCCTTTCGGGTCTCCTTGGAGCGAGTTGGGGTGCTCTCCAAGCGCCGCCGCCGACGCCAAGCTCGGGCTGGTAGCTTCTTTCCCCCCCCCCACCGAAAGTACCCTGCACGGAGAGGGGGGGGGCTCGGCTTGCCAAGTAAGTCAGGGGGGCGAAGTGTGGGGTGAGGAGGGAGAGAGAGCTTTGGCGTTTCCTGCGCTGGGTGGGCGCGCGCAGGGAAGGAGACCCGGCTGCCTCGCCTCGCCTTGCGCGCCCAGGAGCGCGCGCCTCATTGTCGCTGTGCCACCGCGACACAAGTCCTGCTGCGAGGGGGGATCAGGCGACAACAACAGCCGCGACAGCAACAGCAACAACATTCCTCCTCTTTTTCTCCCTTTCCCTTCTTCAAAATGGCCAGGAATCAAGAGGGGAAGGGTAGGAGTTTGCAAGAGGAACTCCTACTTCTTGGGAGTTTCCTAGCAAATGGGATTTTGTGTGTGTGTTTGCATTTTTCATTTTGGGGTGGGAGTTGGAAATGCTGTCCGTTTTTTAAACTTTTTTTTCCTTTGCCCCACCCCACCCCCAGCTTAGCAAGTGTTGCCTCGTGAGGCTGTTTTGAAAGGTTGCAGATTCGCCCCAAAGGTTTAAGTTTTCGCTGGCTTGGAAAGCGCGCAAACTTTCCTGGGTGGGCCTGCTTTTTGGTGCGAGCGAAGGCAGAAGCTGTAACAATGCTGCTTTGAAAAGTATGTGTCATACTTGTGGCGAGAGCAGAGAAAATGCGGCCTCATCCGATGGATATGTGTCTTCAACCACCACTTCCCTTCCTCTGCCACCTCCGATTTTTTTATTTTATTTTAAAATTATTTTTCCAGGGACTTAGGAGGGTGGTTTGTCATGCCCGAGGAACTTAATTAACTGGGGACACAGCGCTTCTGGACTTTCATTTTAGAACAATGTGCATGGTTTGATTAGATCGCAGGTCGTCCTGTACTAACTATTCTTCTAGCGAGCAAAGCTTATTGCTCGGCCACGTGTGTTACTTGGTGATGACGCTGCCTTGCAAATGCAGTTGATTTCGAACAAAAACCGGAGAGATTGTTTCAGCCACTTGGATTGAAAACGTCAATTTCCCTTCGTGTCATAACCAATGTTGTGTTACAGAGAACATCTGGCCTCATGCAGGCAGTGTGGACAGCTTGTCTCGGAAATAAATTTATACTGGAATTGTGGAGTAGCCATTGTTATGATACAGCCTTGATTCATCTAAAACTACCTGGTTTATTGGAGGAATAGAATGAGGAAATTTTGTGTGATCTCTTGGTGGGTTTTTTGTAAGAGCAAACATTGAGGCATTTGTGAAATACGATAGTAGTACAGTGGTACCTTGGTTTACAAACTTAATCCGTTCCGGAAGTCTGTTCTTAAACCAAAGCGTTCTTAAACCAAGGCGCGCTTTCCCATAGCAGCGGGGGACTTAATTTACACTCAACAGGAAGCGGAACATGTTCTGCTTCCAAGGCAAAGTTCACAAACCGGAACCCCTACTTCCGGGTTTGCAGCGTTCTTAATCCAAGTTGTTCATAAATTAAGCTGTTCTTAAACCAAGCTACCACTGTATTATCTTAGCAGTAATGTAACTCAGAATTGTTGCAGAAACTTAAGCAAAACTCAGAATGGCTCACTGGATCAGTCTTCCTGACATGTTTTGAACCCCAACTCCTACCAGCCCCAGCCAGCATGACCAATGGTCAGGGGTGATGGAAGTCCAAAACATCTGGAGGGCACCAGGTTGGGGAAGCCTATGTTGGATTGAAGGCAATTCCATGTGTTCTTAAGTTTTGACTTAGTTGTACTGTGTAATGCCTAAAAGCTTGCTTATACCTTGCAGTCAGCAAAAGTTGTTACCATATGGTTGGGTACAGAGTTTGGCTAACACTTCGCTGTGTGAGGGGGTGGTCCCTGCTACTTTGAAAGAGGCAGTGGTACAACCACTTCTAAAGAAACCAGCTCTGGACCCTTTGAATCGGGACAACTATTGGCCAGTTATCAATACCCCGTTTGGGGAAGGCAGGGAAGAGGACCATGGTGGGGCAGCTACAGGCGTTCTTGGAGGTCACAGATTATTTAGATCCATTCCAGGGTTCAGGCCTGTCCATGGAACTGAGTCACCCTTGGTCACCCTGATGGATGAGAGCAGGACAGAAGGAGTGTAACCTTGCTCCTGCTTCTTGACCTCTCAGCGGCGTTTGGTACCATTGACCATGGCATCCTCCTGGACCAGCTGTGGGGAACTGAGGGCACTGTATTATAGTGGTTCCAATCCTACCTTCAGGACCGAGTCCAGAGAGTAGTGCTTTATCTTCAGTACTATTTAATATCTACATGAAACCGTCATTAGGAGTTTGAGGGCGAGGTGCTGTCAGTATACTGATGACACTCAGCTTGATTTCTCCATAACATCTGAATCGGGAGAGGCTGTACAATCGCTGGGCCATTGCCTGGACGCAGGGGGGAAATGGAGGAGAAAAACAAGCTAAGCTTCAGTCCTGGCAAGAAGGAGGCACTGTGGGTGAGTAGCTGCTGTGTCTGAGAAATTGGTCCTTTGCCTACCCTGGATGGGGTTGCACTCCCCCTGAAGGAACAAGTTTGCAGTTTGGGAGGGGGGTTGCTTCTGTCACTGGAGGCTCAGGTAGCCTCAGTGGCTAGAAGTACCTTTGACCAACTGTGACTGGTTCAACAGTAGCACATGCATTGGTTGCTTCAAGGCTGGATTACTGCAATGCACTCTGCATGGGGCATCCCTTGCGCTTGATGCGGAAGCTGCAGTTATTGCAGAATGCTGCAGCACAATTGCTGATAGGAGGGAGTCAGCATTTAACACATGTGGTCAGAGTTTGCACTGGTTGCGAATTTGTTCCTGGGCCAAGTTCAAGGTGTTACTGTCAGTATATAAGGCCTTAGCAATTTGGGACCAGTTTACCTACAAGATTGATTTACCCTGCACATGCCAGTCTCTTTAAGATTTGCAGAACTTGCGCTACTGCAGGTTCCACATAATACCCACCCCACATTTGTAAGAACTTGATCGTTTAGTGTGGACTACAACTGACTGGGGCTGATGGGACTTGTAGTCCAAAACATTTGGAGAGTGCCAGGTTGGCAAAGGCTTCAGGGTGCTTTCAGGTGACCATGCCAACTGTAGTGAAACTGACCTAGATGTCAGCCTTGGTGTGCTGAATAGTCTAGAACAGGGTTTCACAAACTTGGGTCTCCAGCTGTTTTTAGACTACAACTCCCATCAACCCTAGCTAGTGGTCAGGGATGATGGGAACTGTAGTCCAAATTTGGGGGAACCCTGTTCTAGAAGCCGCTCTTTATCGCCTCACCCAAAGGCAAGGTGCAGGTCAGCCCAGTTTAGGAGACGGTTGAGCTTGCAAAAATTCAGCCTCCCAACATATGTAGCTTCTGAATAGTCAGTTGGGTTAGTCTGCCAGCTGAGACCTGGCAAGCTGTTGTGTTGAAACACGCCCAGCTGTTCCACCCCCCGGAGAATACTCAGTGCCTCAAGTTCCAAGGAGCCAACATAAAGTTATTGGGTGAAAGGCATCTAAAGCGAATGTTTAAAATTCTTAAGGGTTGTGAAAAGTGTAAATTCTATTTTGTTCATTTTCCTAACCTTCCAGGAAGTGGTATTAGGCTCTGTGTGACATGCAGGCCACATGGAGGTCACTCATGATATACTGCAGTGAATTATCCGGGCCTTTTAACTAACATGTTGCATATGAGCAGGTACAGTACATGTACAGTGGTACCTCTGGATGTGAACGGAATCCGTTCCGGGGGGCCCCGTTTGCATCCTGAGTAGAACGTAACACGCGACTGCGCGGGTCGCGTTTTGCCACTTCCGCACATATGTGTGATGTCATTTTGAGCATATGTGCGAGCGGCGAAACCCGGAAGTAACGCACTCAGTTACTTCAGGGTCGCCGCGGAGCGCAACCTGAAAATGCTTAACCTGAAGCTACTTCAACCCGAGGTATGACTACTCTATAATACTCAAGGCAGATGCATGAGGAAACACACCTTTATCTGCTTCTAGCCCACACTGTACTCCAATGTCCTCAAGATGAGATAAATGCCAATATTCTCCTTGCACCATCATGCAGAACGCCAGACGTTTATCTGATGTGTGCGCTACAAATTAGCAGAGCAATTCAAAGCCTGGCAGGGCATGAAGGATTGGTATATCCACATCCCTAGCCCCATTGCTTGTTCCTTCAACTGCCATAGTGCTCAGGCCTTACGCCATCAAATAATGACAGTACACCATGTTCCATTTCAGGGCTTCCAAGTTCCTGCCAGCAATATTTCCACTCCCCTGCACTTTTGGTGGGTAGAACGGGGGAGCTTTGCACCAGCAGAGTGGTGGTACCATCAGACAGCTGTGGTGGAACTGTTCTGGACTGGGCCTTCCAATCCTCCTCCCCTGCGTGGTGGATTAGTGGCATGTATTTTTTCCTTAAGTAGCTTTTGCTTCTCCTCCCCTTAAATATGACCTTGGTCTAGTTCAGCAGGTTTCACAAGGACTGGAAAGCACATAAAATGATAATCTTGAGCTGGGAAGACAAGCTGGTTTGATGGGAGACGAACTCATCAGGATGATCGTTCCACTGTCTTAATTATGTCTTGGCTTGCATTAGTGAACGTCAAGTATTTTGAAGAACTTCCATTGGTTCAAAACCAGTGTGACTGGTCTGACGATGAAATCTCATTTCTTGCTCTGGTTGATTTAATGCGTGAGGGAAAAAATTATTTAGGAACCGAATATTCATTGTCAACAAAGTTGGAAAAGTACTTTTACTATTATCTATCCAATAGGTTCTGTATTAAGATAAAAGAGAGCATACACTGGTATTTCTCAGAAAACAGCAAGACAAATGTGTAATCAGTTGCCCTAGCCTGGTCGATCCCAGTCTGCCATGGGTTTTAATAGTGGTAAGAGAGAGTGGATCCCTTTTCTGAAGTTATACTCAGGTGTAAGACCAAGATCAGTGTGTGAATGGAAAGCAGGCAATACAAACTTCAAGTCTCCCTGGTGTTGTGCATGTTGTCTAGCACTCCTAGTGTCCACAGGTTTAGTGTGCAAAGGTGTTTGTACAACTGTACATACAAAGGCAGCTGTCTTGCAGATATTCATGCAGAGGCAGAGCGTGTGTTGATCTCACACATCGGTTGTTGGCATCCATCCCATCTCCAGTTGGTTACAACAATGTGCTGGTTGCACCAAGGTTCGATCCCTATAAGAAACAGCTGCATATTCGTGCATTGCAAGGTGTTAGACTAGATGATCCCTTCCAGTTCTATAATTCTATAATCTCATGGAAGAGCGCTGCTTCGGGGACAAACAGCTGGAGAGTTACAGCACTTGCTGTGGCTGTAGAGACTGATATGGAAGAGACAAGTTTTGTTGCAGCTGGGGCAGAAGAGGCGTCTGGTTTTGCTTTGCCAGATGCACCATGGCGTTTCTTCTCTTTGCTCTCCTCCCAGCAGCCATTCCTCCTCTCCTTACTGCTGTGGATACACACACGTCACTTTAACTTCAGAATAGGGCGTAAGGAGAACCCAAAGCACATGGTCTGTAAAGAAGTGTTGCCTACAAAATATTAGGCATGGAACTGCACGAAGGACATACCGTATTTATTGCTCTATAAGACTCACTTTTTCCCTCCTAAAAAGTAAGGGGAAGTGTGTGTGCGTCTTATGGGGCAAATGCAGACTGCGCAGCTATCCCAGAAGCCAAAACAGCAAGAGGGATTGCTGCTTTCACTGCGCAGCAATCCCTCTTGCTGTTCTGGATTCTGAGATTCAGAATATTTTTTTCTTGTTTTCCTCCTCCGAAAACTAGGTGCGTCTTGTGGTCTGGTGCGTCTTATAGAGCGAAAAATACAGTAATTTATTTCAGAACAACTATAAACAGTGGTGCTTCAGGTTACATACGCTTCAGGTTACAGACTCCGCTAACCCAGATAGTGCTTCAGGTTAAGAACTTTGCATCAGGATGAGAACAAAAATCGTGCTCCGGCGGCGCGGCAGCAGCAGGAGGCCCCATTAGCTAAAGTGGTGCTTCAGGTTAAGAACAGTTTCAGGTTAAGTACGGACCTCCGAAACGAATTAAGTACTTAACCTGAGGTACCACTGTACCTGTATAATGATTTCGTTGCTTTCATTTGCTGCGTGTTTGTGTGTGTGTGTGTGTGTGTGTGTGTGTTTTACTGTCCTTCTGCAAAGTGCTGCGGCCAGAAATTGCCTACCCTTCCTCACCTTTTATCCCCTCTACAAGCGAGCCAGTGTGGCGTAATGGTTAGAGGGTTGGGCTAGGACCTGGAAGAGCTGGGTTCGAATCCCCACTTAGCCATGAAGCTCATTGAATGTGGCTCCATCATTCCCATCAACTTGGTGTGATGTTTCAGTGCAATTCCTAATCTTGTTTGGTCCATTTCCAGCAAAGGAAGGGCGATGCTGCAGTTGTTCTGCTTCTGAGAAGCTTCCTCTGATTCACCCAGTACTCACCACCCCCTTGGCCAGATACCCCTCTGATGTAGTCATTGCGGCAGTTCTTATCTTCATTATCTGTCTAGATCTAGATGATCCTGATGTGTGCGTCTGCAAGAGACTGGTGCAGCAGGTGCTGCTATGCAAAGCCATAAGACCAAGGACCAAACTACACATTGCATTAAATACACAGTTTTCCTTTCCATTGTTTGCACTTAAGATAGCATCCTTCTGCATGGGAGTAGTAGTCGTAAGTGCTGACTACTGAAAGCTTCTGAGAATATCCCTGCCGTTCAGGAAAACTGAACCAAAACTTTGATTTTCTGCCTTTGCCATGGCTGAAAAATCCATTAAAATTATGGGCACTAGATGTAGTTGACAAAGCAAAGTACAGTGGTGCCTCGCAAGACGAAAAGAATCCGTTCCGCGAGTCTCTTCGTCTTGCGGTTTTTTCGTCTTGCGAAGCAAGCCCATTAGCGGCTTAGCGGATTAGCGCTATTAGCGGCTTAGCGGATCAGCTGATAAGCGGCTTAGTGGCTTAGCGGATCAGCTATTAAGCGGCTTAGCGGATCAGCTGATAAGCGGCTTAGCGATCAGCTGTTAAGCGGCTTAGTGGCTTAGCGGGTCAGCTGATAAGCGGCTTAGCGGCTTGGGAAAAAGGGGGGGGGAGGGAAAAAAACCCGCAGGAACTCGCAAGACATTTTCGTCTTGCGAAGCAAGCCCATAGGAAGTTCGTTTTGCGAAGCACCTCCAAAACGGAAAACCCTTTCGTCTAGCGGGTTTTCCGTCTTGCGAGGCATTCGTCTTGCGGGGCACCACTGTATCTTCCTTGTGTACAAGTCTTAACTTCTATAATTAGGGTAAAGTGTTGCCTTCTTAGAAGACATATCTCCTCATACATCACTCCCAAAAGTAAGTAGCATTAAAAATGAGCCATCGTGAACATGGGGAACAGAATTAGTGATTTTTAGGACAGCGGTTCCCAACCTTTTTGGTATGATGATGAACAAGTCCGCATTTACCTGGTGTGGTGACCCATTGATTTGTTGTCACATAAATTTTGGACCTTAGGTTAGAATCGTAGAGTTGCAAGGGACTTCAAGGGTCTCCTAATCCAGCTGCCTGCAATGCACGGATCCTGCCCACAGCTGTTCCCAGGTAGACTTGGACCAGGTCTTCAGCAGCTGTTGGTTTCATGCATTTGAACTGCACGTTTGGCTGTTTTATAACCATTATCTGAGGCATCCTAAGCAGAGATGTATGTAATGCCCTGGTTCATGCGGAATTCATTGAAATATTAATGTTAGTTATACAAGTTATTCAGAGGGTGGCATTCAACTAGTGCAGTTTTGGGACCAGTGCAGACAGATTTCCCTCTTCTGCCCTCCCACTTCCCCAAATCTCCTCTGGAGGGGGAACCCAGAACTGACTGAGAGGAGTGCCAAGCCTGCCCTTCCCAGCTGAGAGAGCCCCAACCCCACTCCTGCTTGCACGAGAGTAGGAGTGGGATCGGGGCTGCGGCCTTGCATGGCTACTGTCCAGCTGCCTTCCTCTGGGAGGGTATCTTATGCCTTTCCTCCCAGTGGAAGGCAGGCAAGTGGTGTAGGGACTCTTTGATGCTGCTGCTGGCCCAGCGCTCTCCAGCAGCCCCTCTCCACAAGGTGTGGATGGGGTGATCTTTGCACCCCACGCCTTGCAGACTTCGCTTGGGAGGGTGGGCTGCGTCCTTCCTCCTGGGGTGAACGAGGAAAGAGACCTGCACAGGCGAAGGCAGTCAAACACACAGAGCCTGACAGGTTCTGTGCGCTTGGCTATTGCCGCTTGGTCCATCTTTGGGGAGTGGGGGGCAAGCGGACAAGGTAGATCGTTCACCCCCCACGCCAGCAAAGGCAGAGGCAGCCTGGCCAAGAAGCCCTGAGGCCCCTGCTGGTTGCACACAAGCGGCAGGGGCCTCAAGGCTCACTCAGCTGGGGACAGGAGCCTTTCCGCCCTCCATCTGAGCAACAGGCTGGGACCAGCTGTATTGGCCACAGCCCAAGAGGCACTATGGTGAAGGCACCTCAACTGCCTTCAGCAGTTTCACCTGGCTGGGTCCAGTGCAGCTTTTTTCAACATCTCAGCTTATTGCCAAGCGACAATGTTTGGCTGACGAAACACCGCCATGTTGAAAGCCCAACATCGCCCAGCCCTAAAGTGTATGGTTGCACAAGCCATGTAAGTTATAACAAACCCACGAGTATTTTTCTTTTCATGTTAAAGGCCATTATGGCACATATCCATGGGATGGCTGAGCTTGCATATTGCAGGGTATGTCAAACGTAGTCTCGTTATTGATAACATAGCCTGCTTTTCTGTTTCACCTTCTTAGCAGTCACTGCTGAAAAACCTGTCTTGCAAAGTTACGCACTGCCCAAAGGATCGCAACACAGATACGGCTTCGTTGGCAAGCTCAGGATATTCAGTGGTAACGGGAAACCAAAATTTGGATAACCTTGCTTTTGAAAAATTTACCTGTGAGGGCCCTTCCACATGGCAGTTCAATGAGTTGCTCTTTTTGCGCAAAGACAACTTTGCGACGTTGGCTGCAAACGGGTTTTGTGCTTGTTCAAAGTTCTCTAGTAATGCAAAGACTTCAAATCACCCTGGGCTTAACTGCTGGTCACAGATTGCCATGAGGTGCTCATACAAGGTGCTTTGAGTGACTGTTACAGCTCACCCCTGAGGAGCGAGTGTGTGTGCAAAAAGAAGGGGTTAAAAATGGGTGTGCCGTTGTACTGTAAGCTAAAGTACATGTGCACTACTTGGATGAACTTTTGCCTGCTGCCTACTATGTCAGAGAACTAGGAGTAGAACTGCAAAGACAAGACAGGTAGTAATATAACTCTTCTTGCTCCAATCCAAGAATACTACACATTCTAGGAATGGCACATGTGCCACAAGCTTACCATTAAGGCTGGGTGATAGCTAGTATTCAACATCGTGATATACCACCAGCTAAGCATTGTGATATACTGATATATCACGATACCTGAAATAAGAATGGAGCTATATAGAGGCATTGGCTAGCTTCATGGTTTTTGCATAACACACCCACCCACCCACCATGTTTGCAATATATTGCAAGGTTAAAAATTATGAAACTGATATAACTGATATAATGAATTGAAAAAAATGTTTAAATTGACATTTGTAAAAAAAACCTAGAAGCATTTTTGTTAGGGATTATAGGACAAGACCTGCCATGAAAAATAAAGAACTTCTTTATGTATGCTACAACGGTGGCAAGAATCTTGATAGCACAAGGATGGAAGAATGAGGAAATCCCAACGAAAGAGCAGTGGCAAGAAAAATTGATGAGTTAAGCAGAACTGGCCAAATTAACATATAAACTGCGTGAAAAGGACACCTGTGACTTCAAGGAAGAATAGGAACTTTTTACAAACTATCTAAAAAGACAGCAAAATGAACTGGACTCTTTGGCAGGTTTTGAATAAACATTCACAAATTTATTAGTTGAACATATGATAGATAAAGCAAGGACATGTACTGTACAGTTTTGTAACATGCAGAAAACAATCAGGGAGGGGAACTAAGGGAAGTCCTTGTGGGGGGAGAGGGAGGGTTGAGGGGGGAATAATGTAATTGATTATGAGGATTGACAAATTGTTATGTTGAAATTGGTTAATAAAAATATGTTCTAAAAAAATTATGAAACTGATATCACGATATGGACTTCAAACCGGTTTTGGATGATGTATCGATATATCTCCCAGCCCTACATACCACCCAGTCCGCTGGTGAAAGTTTTGGCTTTAAAGAAGTTGTTCTGATGCGCCTTTTATATCTATTTTAAAAACCAACAACTTTGAACTCTTGACAACTTTCGGAAAGCTTGCTGGGTTAGTCTGATACTTCAGATGCATAAAAGAGCTTTTCTAGCATCCTAATGACTAACACGTTTATTGCAGAATTATCTTTATTTAACCAGATGGATGGTGTGCTTTGGCTTATGCTGTGGGGGTTTGTTGGTAGGAAATGGTTTATGAAACAATACTGAACCAGCTGAGCAGATGAGAGTGCTTTCTTTGTATTCTTGTGTTTCTGACATGAGGAAGATGGGTTCTCTTTCAGGAGGAAGAAGGAGAGGAAGTAACTGAAATGTGGCCTCTAAGTATGTTTGACCAAGCTTCACGTTCCTGCTAATTGCCTCTGGACAGAATGTTCAACCTCAGGCTTCCGTATATATTTATCTTTCCACCTTTTTGAATGAATCAAAAATAGCCAGGTTGGCAACAGAGACAATCGTTACGTCGTGTATCACCGCTTTTGCGTATTTCAATAACAACATTTCTGCAGATCTATACTGCCAAACACTAGCCAATCGTTAAATCTTTTTAAATGCATACTTCGGACCTTGCTGATTATTACCCCTGAACTTCTCTACCCCTCTTTTAATGTTTTGCAGGTCTGATCTGGCTGGTGGAATTTAGAGAACATTCTCGCGATGGAGGGAGAACAGCAGCAGGAGGTAAATTTTGGGAACAGCAACATCCTGTGTGGAGAGCGGAAAACGCTTCACTGGGCATTTTGGTTTAACAAAATTTCTGAGAGGCTGCTGTGCTTGAGCTGCGGAAGCAGAAAACCAAAGCACCCTGAGATCTTTTGAGAGAGAAGCATGAGTTACTGTGGCATGTATTACAGTGGTGCCTCGCAAGACGAAAAGAATCCGTTCCGCGAGTCTCTTTGTCTTGCGGTTTTTTCGTCTTGCGAAGCAATCCCATTTGCGGTTTAGCGGATTAGCGCTATTAGCGGCTTAGCGGGCTTAGCGGATCAGCTGATAAGCGGCTTAGTGGCTTAACGGATCAGCTGTTAAGCGGCTTAGCGGATCAGCTGATAAGCGGCTTAGCGATCAGCTGTTTAGCGGCTTAGCGGATCAGCTGATAAGCGGCTTAGCGGCTTGGGAAAAAGGGGGGGGGAAGGAAAAAAACCCCGCAGGAACTCGCAAGACATTTTCGTCTTGCGAAGCAAGCCCATAGGAAATTCGTTTTGCGAAGCACCTCCAAAACGGAAAACCCTTTCGTCTAGCGGGTTTTCCGTCTTGCGAGGCATTCGTCTTGCGGGGCACCACTGTACTTGTAGGCAGGAACTAACCCAATAAGAAGTTTAACGTATTGTGTTGCTCTGCAGCCTTCTGCCTTATCCAGGGTAGAAAGGGCAAACCTATGTCCCTGCAGATGTTAAATTCCAGCTCCCACCAGCCTCAGCCAGCATGGCCAACGGTCAGGGATGATGGGAGCCAGTCCTTCTTTTGAAGATAGATAAGCGGCGCTGGTTCTCATATCACTATAAAATAACCCCTAGTGCATAGCCGTCAAGCGTCCCTTATTTGGCGGGACAGTCCCTTATCCCAGCGCCATGTCCTGCTGCTGTCCCTTATTGATGATGTCCCTTAAATAACCTACTGAAGGTAATGGGGCCCTTTCTATGGCCAGCTGTCCTTTGTCAACAACAAATTGTTGCTGTTTTTTTGTGTTGAATATATGCTATATGGTAATTTATGGACCTAATAGGTATCTAAAGCCATTTGCATGCAACAAAATATGTATTTTATCAAAGTAATTGTTGATCCCTTATTTTGGCTGCTGATCCCTTATTTTCGAGGCTGCTGGTCCCTTATTTTCAAATCTGTAAGTTCACAGGCTCCCATTTCTGCCTTATGTAATTTGTGAATCTATGGGTGTATTGCATTATGGGGAATTTTATTTATTTATTTTTATTTAAAAACCCAACATGTCTCATGACTACTTTGTATCTGAAGGCAGCCCTGTTTAGGGAAGTTTCTAATGTTTGCTGTTTTATCATGGTATTAATATTCTGTTGGGAAACCCAGTCTGATGGGGTATAAATAATAAAATTATTATTACTATTATTATTATTATTATTATTATTATTATTATTAACACCACTAATACACCCCAATGAGCAAATGTGTGCACTCACCCATTGTCTTCTATGGAGAAAGCAGTATGGGTTTATTTTATGCCAGCAAGATAGCAGAGATAGTGTGCTTGTTTTGCTGAGTCCTCACACAAACCCTACAGATGTATTTTGAGCTGTTAGTGACTTGAAATCACAGCCACATCATTCTAGCACAGATCTCCACAAAGTGAAGTAATTGTGCTACAAGATGCAAAACAAACTTGCCTTGTAGCCCAGACTGTGTTTTAAGTTTATCAGCTTCTAGCATTTGTTAGAATTGTCGATTTATCCGTGCACAGAACATGCTTTATTCAAGCTCTTCTTTCCACTCGCACCATTCACCCCTTTTCTTAATCCAACACAGATGGCTGCAGAACCAGCGCCTTCACCTGAGGCACAAGGAGATGGGCCGAAAGAAGCTGCGGGCATTGCGTCAAATATTTGTATGTAATAGTTGTGGATAGCAAAGCCATTTTGCCTCCCACGTCTTGCCTTGGTTTAAAGCAGTTAATGGCTAGAGTTTGGGATGGGGGAGGGTTAAGTCTAGTCTACCTATGCAGTGGCAGAGCTTGGTAGAATGGACTGTACCACTTTAGAATGGACTGCACCATTCCAGTATGTGGAGTGATGATAGTCGTGTTTTGAGCGCTTGTCTCTAGAGGACCAGGGGCAACCAGGAAAGTGGACAGCTGGGACCTTTTCCCTTGATGTTTTTGTTTTTACTTGTCAGGGAGGCATTCAGAAATGAACCTTCAGTGGTACAGTCCAGGCTGCCATCTTGTTGTAATGCATGCGAGGGCGAGATCCTAAGGCACATAGGAAAACTTAACTAGCATGGGCACAAGGTCTAAGCCTGAAATCCTAAACACACTTTCTAGGTAGTAAAAAAGGTAAAGGACCCCTGGGCGGTTAAGTCCAGTCAAAGGCGACTGTGGGGTTACAGCGTTCATCTCGCTTTCAGGCCAAGGGAGCTGGCGTTTGTCCACAGACAGCTTTCCAGGTCATGTGGCCAGCATGACTTCTGACGCAATGGGACACTGTGACGGAAACCAAAGCGTACGGAAACGCCATTTACCTTTTTGCTGCAGTGGTACCTATTTATCTACTTGCACTGCCGTGCTTTCGGACTGCTAGGTTGGCAGGAGCTGGGACAGAGCAATGGGAGCTCACCCCGTTGCAGGGATTCAAACCGCCAACCTTCTGATCAGCAAGCCCAAGAGGCTCAGTGGTTTGGACCACAGCACCAGCTGCATAAGCCCCATTGAGAACCCTGGAAATTGCTTTGGAGAAAGCATGCATAGGATTGTGCTTTAAGTTAATGAGGAGGCGGGGGAATGTGGGCACCACATCTTCTCTGGGTACCGCTCTTTGGGGTATTATCGCCAGCAATGTGTCTGGACCCTGTTTTAATTAGATGACTAGCTGAAATATTTTTGCCCTGCCTTTCGATACAGAATTTCATGGTGTACTTAAAACAGTTGAGCAGAGTTCTGTAAAGCAATATTTTCAGCACCAATGGAATCATCAAGCTGCTTATGGAAAACCCAGTATGCTGGGAAGAGAATTACTCTCTTGATGGGATGTTGCTGATTCTGGGCACTTAGGTACCAAGGATGCTAACCGCCTGATTTGAGGCCAGCCAGCGTTTCTGAGCTAAATTTATTTCACAGGGTTGTTGTGAGGACAAAATAGGTCTTTGGAGGGAAGGCAGTTATAAAATAATGTGATAAAACAGCTACAGTTGATCCATATCTTTATTTCAGACATTTGTGTTCTGCCTTTTAGGGCCGTACAGTCCTCTGAAGGCAGTTTACATTCCCCTACCCCCCAAAAAATAAAAGTATAATGCCATATTTATAATAGCATTAATGTTATCCTGTGTAGAGATCTTGTAAGAAAACAGACTGTTCCTAAAACAAAGGTTAATGCTGTATAACACATGAATTATAAACTGTGTCGGCGCCAAAGCAGGAAGTATTTTGTGAAAAAATTGCCTCTGCAAAGTGCAGCTCCACCCCCTATACCATCCCCAGTTTGATCATGGAGAACAGGCTGAGAATTATCTTGACAATGCCCTCCTATTCAGAGTCAAGGAAGCAAGCCTCCCCGTCCCTCTGGTATGGCTTGGCGACTTCATGCAGCCAGATCTGATTAGCACTGTGACGGTATTGCTTCTATGAGAAGCTCCTGCTCTGTTTTTGTTTTTAATTGGCACCAGCTCTGGATTGGGGCCAGGCAGGGGGGAACATTGCTGCAAACATGAAGTGAGCAGGGCACAAAAAGGGCAAGGAAGGTGGTGGTTTGGGGATATTTTTCAAACACACACACACACTTATCCTGAAACCCTCCCATTTGTCACCAGAATGATTATGGTCAAAACTTTGACCTGGCCCCATTTAAACATTGTACAGTCATACCTTGGTTCTCGAACGCCTTGTGACTCGAACGTTTTGGCTCCATTTAAACATTATACAGTCGTACCTTGGTTCTCAAATGCCTTGTGACTCGAACATTTTGGCTCCATTTAAACATCATACAGTCGTACTTTGGTTCTCAAACACCTTGTGACTCAGACGTTTTGGCTCCATTTAAACATTATACAGTCGTACCTTGGTTCTCGAACGCCTTGTGACTCGGACGTTTTGGCTCCCGAATGCCGCAAACCTGGAAGTGAGCGTTCCGGTTTGCGAACGTTTTTTTGGAAGCCAAACGTCCGACTGCTGCTTCCACAGCTTCCAATTGAGTACGGGAAGCTCCTGCAGCCCATCAGAAGCCGCGCCTTGGTTTTCAAATGTTTTTGGAAGTCAGACAGGGTTCTGGAACGGATCTCGTTGGAGAACCCAAGGTACGACTGTGGTCGATTGATATCCTTTTCATAGGTATTGCGGCAAAGTGGGAGATGAATACGCGAACTAAACATGAATTTGTTTATTCAAATTATATGCAGCTGATGCAGATGCTTTAAAAATACTTTTGGAGATGAAGATGAAGAGAAGAAAGCAAAAGCCCAGCCTCCCAAGCACCGTGACCGAACTTTCCACTGAGGAGGGCTCCAAAGTATATGTTGTTGGCACTGCTCACTTCAGTGATAGCAGCAAAAGAGATGTAGTGAAGGTAAATCTTTTTTTAAGAAAATAATTGGGGCCTTAAAAGCTTTCCCCCCACCCCTCTTGGGGCCGGAAGTTCACCTTTGAAACCTTGCCTATTTTTGTAACGCGGAAAAGGATTACATTTTGGGTTGGGAATGTAGCTGCAGTCATGGATAACTTTACAGTGGTACCTCGCAAGACGAATGCCTCGCAAGACGAAAAACGCGCAAGACAAAAGAGTTTTCCATTTTTTGAGTCGTTCCGCAAGACGAATTTCCCTATGGGCTTGCTTCGCAAGACGAAACGTCTTGCGAGTTTGTTTCCTTTTTCTTAAAGCCGCTAAGCCGTTAATAGCCACTAATAGCCGTGCTTCGCAAGACGAAAAAAGCGCAAGACGAAGAGACTCGCGGAACGGATTAATTTCGTCTTGCGAGGCACCACTGTATATAGAACCAATCCGTGCTGAGGTTCTATCATGTATACTGTAGTCTTCTCCCATATTACTCATCCTGATTATAAACCTGTGAGGAGATAATCTTATCATCCATGTTTCAAACAAAGCTGCAAAGACCAGGAGTTGGGTAGAATTTATGAAGATGGAGAAATTCTGGGGAATGAGGAGGTCAGTTTCCTGTTTTCTCTGCAGAGAGCTGATATGGGTAATTTGGCAGGAGGAGGGCACTGAAAAATCTCTTGAATTTGTTTGTTTTTACTGTTTGGCAATATTCTTTCTTTTTCCTGAAATATTTTAAAGTCCTTGAGCTGGTAACAGCAAAATACAAAAATGTGTAATTAATAAATAAACACATTCTTTCCTGAGAGTTTTTCTCTTTTTAGATGAGAAACCTTATATTCTCCTCATAAATGAAAAACAATTTTATTTAAAAAATAGTTTGTGGATTGGGACTCTGCTACTATATGCTTGGGAGATTGCTCCCAGGAAAACATCAGTACTGCAAGCATGCAACTGAATCCGTATTTTTCAGACAATACAAGAAGTACAGCCTGACGTGGTCGTGGTTGAGCTGTGCCAATACAGAGTTTCTATGTTAAAAATGGATGAAAAGACATTGCTAAAGGAAGCCAAAGAAATCAATCTGGAGAAACTTCAGCAAGCTATAAAACAGGTAGGAGTTCTTCAGTGACAAAATCATCTGTCCGTTTGTATGCAAAATTAAAATACTGCTTTCCTAACTTTAATCTGGCGCAGTCAAGGCTTGTATGAACATGCAGTTAATTGCACAGCCAATCCCATTCAGGGCTTTGTTCTATATAGGGAGTGTTAAAAAAGCAGGAGTATGCAGGGACTAGGTTTTCAGTGGAGCAGAGCTCTACTGTACGTTTATGTAAAACCAAATAACAGGATTAAAGTCCAGTATGATACCCATGCAAAAATTCCATGCAGGTAAACAGCTAGAGGGGGAGGCTAAAGGAGGATGGTGCAACAAAATATGGTCCTTTGCAACAGCAGAAAATCTTCTCTTAATCAAAAGTCAAATAATGAGACTCTCCCCCGTGGCAAGAAATGGCTCGACTTTTATTTGTTTTATACATTCTGAAAGCAAGACTCTAGTCCAGCACGGTACACTGGTATCTGGAACTTCTTGCTGCCTCTTCAATAAGCTTTTCCAAGATGTAAAAATACATCCCTGAACTGCCACTAATTTCCTGTAGAGGATATGCAAGTGATAATATCACAATTGCCATTCTAGTTAGTCAGTTTATATATTCTGTTGTTTTATTTCAGGTAATCTCTGTTTCTGTTAGAAAATTTGTTTATTTATGTCTAATTTTGCTGCAGGATAACACTTTTCTTTTTAAAATGTCATAACATTAAAAAAACACTTATTATTTATTTCATTTCTATACTGCTTTAAATTTTTAAGAAAAATCTTACAGCATATTAAAACATCAATAAAGCAATTCAGAATCAAGCATTTCTGAAGAAAGGCAAACATAGAGTATACAGTCAAAGCAACATAATTAACAGAAAACTAAAATGCTATTTTAAAGATTTCAAAATAAAACATTACAAAGGAGGTCAACTTAGAAATAAAAAACACACATTTAGGTGACTAATTTAGTGAATGCTTTAGTTTGTAAAGGGTGCTGAGAGTTCTTGGGAGACACAGAGCTGCAATTCACAGAGTGGTTAACAATCAATCCCTCTTCCCAAGGAACTCTGCGTACAACTGAGAGACATTTAGATGGCCAAAGCAAGCCATCGCGTTCTGTTTTTAGCAAAGGGTTATGGCTTATGTACAGTAGTTTTCAGAAATCAGATGGATTTGGACAGTCAGGAAAGCTGTAAAATTACAACTGATGTGTGTTGCACATCTTCGACACGATGAAGTTTCCTCAGTGCCCTTGGCAAGCAAGACTTCACCTTGCAAATGTTTCTAACTGTCCCGGGAACGTCCATTGCTTGAGAGCAGATCTGTTGGCATTTGGAAAGCTGTCCGCCTAACAGAAAACTACCGCCTAAGTTGGAGCGAGGAGAATGGTTAGCCATTGACTTGTGACTCGGCACGAAAGCAACAGTTTCTCCTTCCTGGATCATTTTTCACAGCATTGCGACATAAACTCTGCCACACAAAAGAAAGCAGGAACACAGGAGTTTCTAGTTTTTCTCTAGGGGTGAGCTAGAATTGTTTTCCAGCATATTTCTCAGTGTGAACCTAAAAGATACGGTACTTTGTCCAATGCTTTTATCCAATACAGTCACCTGCTTAATATTCCAAAACACCCTTCACACTCCTTGTGTAAAGGTAGATAATAGATATCTGGCAAAAAGGTCATCTGTAAATATCAAACTGAAACCAAATGTAGATTTTTGGCAACTAAGTAAGTAGGTTGGTACTTGTGAGGGAAGGCTGTTTGGTTGCAGGAGTAACAGGAGCTAATTGGTGACATGAGATTTTCCTGCTTCTATATACTTCCTCGACTAGCTGATTTTTAAAACCCTCAACTCTGAAACTATTACGTACATGCTTTAAGTATTTTCTACACTTTCAGTGTAAAGCTTTGTTTGTACTGTGTGTGCGTGCTTCTAAATTGTGCAAATGTTGCAATCCCCCCCCCTTTTTATGCAATAGGTAAATAAGTCTATGCCAATCTGTTTTAATTGCAAACCTATGCAAGGAATTACCCTTGCTATTTGCATACTCAAGTCACTTTCTTCTCTCGGGCAGAGGTGGGTGGGTAGAAATAATAATTATTACGCCACCAGACAGGTTAATTTAGTGCTATTTTCTACTCTGTTCCTCCACAAGGAAACAAATTAGCAGATGTCTAAAAGGCTTCTTAGCAACGATGCTGTATATATATACATGTTGAAATAAGGGGGTTTGTGTTCAGCAATAAATCAGCTCCCAGAGGCGGACTTGGTGTTTTACTCCTTGGCCAGCTGTGTTTCATCACAGCTCTTAATGGCACCGTGCATCTTGTCTTTTCTAGTAATCTGTAAAAGGTTAACTCGTTCTTTTTTAATGGTTCTTCTTATGATAGAATGGAGTCATGTCTGGGTTGATGCAAATGCTGCTACTGAAAGTCTCTGCACATATCACAGAACAGCTGGGAATGGCTCCCGGAGGAGAGTTCAGGGAGGCTTTCAAAGAGGTGAGACTTTTCTTTCTTCCTTCTTTTAAGTGTGTGATTTTGTGTGCGATTTCGCCCCTGAGCTAAAAAACGCTGAGTGAATTGTGGGAGGCTGGCAACGGCAGAAACCGGTGAGGGTTTCACTTGGGCCAAATTCTTTGTGCTGTATTCTGTCTCTTAAAAACAAATCAAAATCTGGAAAATAATAATAATTACCGGTTCAAAGAACATCTGGTTTTTAATATCTGGGCCTCACATCTACCGTTTTCAGTCTGATTGTCTAACGCTGGCAAAACATAATGAAAGCTGTAATATGAATGGTATCCTTTGCGGCTGCCGAGGGAACTTTAAACATATCAGAAAACTGAGTGTGTGATTCATTTTGTCCCATGTCTCGGCTGCTAGGCTAATAGATTTTCGGGTAGCAATTAAGCCAGATACATCTCTCTTTAAGAACAAAAACAAAAAAAAGGTGGGAGTGGGAGAAAGTTTGTGTTTTCATAAGGGGAAAACTGGGGGAGGAATTCAACATTGCACTATTTTGATTGTTTCAATCCCCCCTCTCCTCTTCCTATGATGCTGTTCTGAACCTCCAAATTTGGGGGGCGCCATGGGGGGTGGGAAGGGAAGGAAGCCCCCTTAAACTAACAGCTGCCCTTCCTCTGGCTTCCATCCTGGAGCCTTTAAATATTTTCAAGTTGGGTGAGCATCTGTGAACAATTCTGTTGTACGTAACAAATTTTGTCTGATTCCCCCTGTCAATAATCGCGCAAATCATCTCATAAATTTGAATTTATTTTTCTTGAGAGAGGTGTTAGAACTATTACCATAATCCTTGGCCAATATTAAAGCGTTTTTTTCTCACTGCATATTAAAACATTTTTCTCAATGGGTATTGCAGTTGATAATTTTGTTTGTTGGCTAATCTTTATGGATATATGATCTGTATTGTTTATTGGTACTGCTTCTGCGGGTTTGTCATGGCCTTTAGCTAGAACAATAAACTTATATCCGATCAGCTTTGGTAATTTGTAATTATTCAGTATAGCTGTAAATGCTGCCATGATAAGTTTCAACCCGTAACCACTTATTTATTATTTCTACCACACTTTTTGATGTAAAATGCTGTTAATGACAGTTAGCAATGAAATACATAGCAAAATGGGGACCAGTCAATAAAGTATAAGCAGTAATTAGTGTAAATGATAAGTAACGAGCAAAGAATCATCAAATTAGAGAAGATGAAAATTAGACAACAGCTGTCAACTAGTTAGACAAGTTGAGTGGTATTCAACTAAGTTTTACCCAGGGTAGACCCATTGAAATCCATTAGTTCGTTAATTTCAGTTCAAACTTAGTAAGATACCACTCACTACGATTAAAATGCAAAACAAGACAAATCCACTCAGTAATCTGAACATCTCTTAAGATACAACGGTTTTACCTGCCAACATCAACAAAGTTTGGGTGCAGCCACAGAGAAGGCCCTGTCTTGAATTCTTGCCCAAACGCTCATCTTCCATTGGCAGGACAAGATCTCAACTGGGATTGCAGAGGAAAGGTAGTCTCCTTGAGGTAGCCTGCCCCCAAGCCTTCTAGGCTATAACCAGCACTTTGAATTGTGCCCAGAAATGGACAGTGAAACTGTTGCATCTCAGAGAGGTCTGAAGACTTTGCTACTGCTACTCGTGTCCCTTTTTTCTTCTGCTTTCAACAATTTCTCTAAGAGAAACCAAACCATTTCTGAAAACCAGCTTAATAGCCTGATGTAAGCTATGAAACCCTGAAAGAACCTTTGTGCAAGAAGCCTGCATTGACCGATAGCTAAACTGAAAATGATATTATTATTATTATTATTATTATTATTATTATTATTATTTTATTTACACACCATGTGTAGTGCCTTAGCCTCCTGTTGTATGTAATGCTGACTAATCGCTAATGTGCATATTCATCTTGCAGGCTAGTAAAGTACCTTTCTGCAAATTTCATCTTGGGGACAGGCCAATCCCAGTGACCTTCAAGAGGGCCATTGCTGCACTTTCTTTCTGGCAAAAGGTCAAGCTTGCTTGGGGCCTCTGCTTCCTTTCTGACCCAATCAGGTAGGAATGAGTGTGGCAACTCGTGGTTGGGTGCTCAGACTTGAGGCAGCCCTGGGGTATATCTTCTGATGGCGCTGGCAAATATTTCTGGTGCCAGTAACAACAAAAGAAAGGGCAACCGTTGGAACAGGAGACTAGAGGCTCTCTGGGTATTGTTGGGACTGCAGCTCCTGTCAACACCAAACTCCCTGTCCAACCCCTTTACACCCAACTGTAGGGACGCAGGTGACGCTGTGGTCTAAATCACTGAGCCTCTTGGGCTTGCCAATTGGAAGGTTGGCGGTTCGAATCCCTGCGACAGGGTGATCTCCCGTTGCTCTGTCCCAGCTCCTGCCAACCTAGCAGTTTGAAAGCATGCCAGTGCAAGTAGATAAATATTTACCGCTGTGTCGGGAAGGTAAACGGCATTTCCGTACGCTCTGGCACTCATCATGGTGTTCCGTTGTGCCAGAAGCAGTTTAGTCATGCTGGCCACATGACCCGGAAAGCTGTCTTTGGACAAACGCTGGCTCCCTTGGCCTGAAAGCGAGATGAGTGCCGTAACCCCATAGTCGCCTTTGACTGGACTTAACCATCTAGGGCTCCTTTACCTTTTTACCTTTTACTTTTAGACCCAACTGGTCACTGTGCCCTTCAGGTGAGGGTTGCCTGCACATACCTTATTTGGAGGTCTGTACTGTACAATGTAGGAATCTGGTTGGTTGAGACCTTTCCCATCTGTATTGGATTTTTAAATACATTTAATCACCTGTTTTGCCACCCTGGGTTCCTTTGGGAGCAAGGGTAGCATGTAAGTTTAATACATAAACATTCATCCCGTTGAAATGCAGGCAGCCAGCCCCCCCCCATTTACATGCATTCAGTATGTGCACAGCTGTGTATACAAATCGCGCCAGATCCAGAAGTGACTCAGAAACATCACTAAAGGAGAGAAATGGGGGCAGTTATCTGCAGGCTTTTTCCATGGGATTCAATTACAGTGGTACCTCGGTTACAAACACCTCGGGTTACAAACGCTTCAGGTTACAGACTCCGCTAACCCGGAAGTAGTACCTCAGGTTAAGAACTTTACCTCAGGATGAGAACAGAAATCACTCGGCGGCAGAGGGAGGCCCCATTAGCTAAAGTGGTACCTCAGGTTAAGAACGGTTTCAGGTTAAGAACGGACCTTCGGAACGAATTAAGTTCATAACCAGAGGTACCACTGTATATGCAATTTCGCCGACGCGTGGAGTGCCTTGGAATGTAACACACACCGCATAAATGGGGATGCCTGTTTAAAAACGCCTCATAAAAGGACAAGATCCTACAAGCTGCTCTTTATTTAAGTGCTCTTAAGATATGCCAAATAGCCCTTAGGGTCAGTGAGTGTTCGGTGCCCTCTGTAAAACATGCGTTTTACTCGCACATCGAACAATTGTGTGGTGGATAGGGGTGCACTTTGAGGCCCGCCCCTGATTCTTTCCTGTAATCATTGTTCTGTTGTCTGTAAGAAGTTCACGTGTAAAGGGGCAATGTGATCAGGATGCCTGGTTGTGTGGATGCCCCAGTTTCACAGAGCTCACACATGTGACTGAGCTATAGCTACGGGGTCGGGGGGTCTACTAGTCGGGATTTTTGTCCCAGGTGAAATTTCCAGAGGGGTGCCATTGAGACTCCCAGCCTGTGTGTGTGTGTGTGTGTGTGTGTGTGTGTGTATGTGTATGCAAACACATGTGGGGAGTGAATTAAAGCCTAGTTTTGACCCAGGTGAATTAAAGCCTAGTTTTGCCCCTGCATATGAGCAAGAGTTCATATGTTGAGTTGTCTTTACAGCTAGCTGTACACAATGCACAGTCCTAAACGGCCTCAGTCCAATATACCTGATGGAGCGTGTCCACCTCCATCGTTCTTCCCGGACACTTAGGTCCAGCGCCGAGGGCCTTCTGGCAGTTCCCTCGCTGCGAGAAGTCAAGTTACAGGGAACCAGGCAGAGGGCCTTCTCGGTAGTGGCACCCGCCCTGTGGAACGCCCTCCCACCAGTTGTCAAAGAGAAAAATAACTACCAAACTTTTAGAAGACATCTAAAGGCAGCCCTGTTTAGGGAAGCTTTTAATGTTTAATAGGTTATTGTATTTTAGTGTTTTGTTGGAAGCCGCCCAGAGTGGCTGGGGGGACCCAGCCAGATGGGTGGGGTATAAATAATAAAATATTATTATTATTATTATTATTATTATTATTATTATTATTATTGGAAGTGAATGCAATTGGTGGGGCTGAAAGCATAGGCCCACTCCCCAGTCATCATGCCGTCGCCCTACGAGGGAGTAGCATGTAACTAGGGCTTTGTTTACGCTGTGTTGGTAGTCAGTGAATTATTTTATACATTCATACATGGCTAGAGAGCTTTTTTCTAATACACGTGCTTCTATCTTGGCAGTTTTCAGGTTATTTTTATCCATCACAGCAACAGCAGTGAGATGTTCCTTTACCATAAGCAGTTCTTTGCATGTTTACATTTCGGTGTGATGTAGATGCTTCAGTGCCTCGCAGCGCTATTTTTCTGCTGCCGTGTATGAGAAATTGCATTATATGCAGCAGTAGGTTTCTACCATTTGCAACCGCCGTACGCCCAAGAGGATCTCGTTGTCTGCAATAGAATGAGCAATGTGTTTGGTAAGAAGGGCTGTTGGAGAAATATCAGGCACTACAGAGCTGTGAAAAAAAAGAAAAGACTGAGAAAAGGAGCTGTAGTCGCGTTGCATATTTAAACTGCGTGTATTAGCATCATTTATATGCAAGAACTTTGCAAGGGTTCTGTAGCTCAGTATAAGACAACTTCATATGTCTTGCAGATACCAGAATACATCAGGTGCACAAAATGGAAGAGAGAATCCTGGGATGGGTTTTCCTCCCACTAGGAAGGACTGTGCAAATTAAGTGGCTTTTACCCCAGTGCTGGGGGGGGGGTGACCCCCCTGTTCCTTCTCGCCTAGCTTCCTCCCTGCACAAATGGGGGCTGCCTTTGGTTTATGCTAGGAAAGCCCTTCAGTTGTTAAGTTGTGGCCTGCAGGGAGATTGACGGAGAGAATGCACTATTTCCACAATACAGGCAGCAACCGTTTTAGCTGCGTCCAGTTGACACGCAATCGCTGGTGCATGGGTCCTTTTGCACCCAGAAGAGGGCGTAATAGGGCTGTGCATGTTTATACACACCCCGCCAACATGGGGGGGGGGGATGGAGCCCCCACAAGAAATTGCCTCCGCTTGTAATATAGTTGCGCTGCTTTTCCTCCCCTACATTTGAACGCAATAGCGTACCTGTTTCAGGCTGTGGCTGGAGCAAACAAGGTAGCTTTGTGTCCTTCAGAAACGTTGCATTTAGAGAAAATAAACACATCCAAAAAGAGACTGCAGTCCGAAAGATATTCCATAAGGGCTTACCGGGAGCCTAATAAGAACAGAAGGAGTTGGAATACTCCCCAAGTGGGAGATACCATAGCTGCTTCTGGAACTGCGTAGCTGTAAATTACTAACACAAATCGTATTGTTTTACATCTACTAGGCAGGGAAGGCCAGGGTTGGTCAACTTGTGGCCCATTATTGTACGTTTTGACCTTCGTATACAGTTTACAAGTGGTGCTTCACTTTAAGATACTTTGCATGGACAGATAGTAGTCAGAAATACAGATGGAGTTTGTGTCTTAACAGTTGGCCAGTTGAGAGCAATGGGTAGTGGGTGGGAATAAACAATACTGCAGTTCTTTTATCTCTCAGTGGAAAGTAAACCTCACTGAACTCATTGGGACTTACGTCCGAGTAGAAATGCATAGGGTTGCATTGCAAAATATGTCGTTTAGGTAAGCTAACCCAAAACTTGCAGTAAACTGTTAATGCTGAATACAAGGAGAGACTGCTTACATAATAAATAATCCTGACCACCACTAGGTTCGCCTGATTCTGCTCTGAACCTCAGAGCACATATTTAAGAATATTTAAGAATATTTAAAATAGGGGGCATGGTTGCCTTTCTATCCGCTATGTGGGTAGCCCGAGTAATAATGTTACAGCTGCGTACCTTTGGATCTTATCCAAAAATATAAAATATTCAAAATAGCAAGATCCTGCAGAAAATATTTCCCCTGTCTTGAACACAGAAAATGCATCATGGTGAGAATTTTGCTCGAAGAAGTGCACAACAGAAGTTCTGTCTCTGGGTGTTTTATACACTTAGGGTCAATTCACACATTCATGTTCATCGCCTAAGGGTGCAAGTGTCTGTCTCATTTCTGGCTGCAGATTTAATTATTATTTATTGTACTGGTTACCCCACCCACTCCACCAGAATTTTCCAGGATTGGGTTACTCCTAGGAAAAGTGAATACAACAAAACAGATAAAAAAACCCACACGCCACAATACTATACAATATGGATCAAATAAACCAGATGGGGGTTTTTTGGTGGGGGGTGACTAACAGTAATCAAACTGGGAATATGCTTAGAAGCTGTCCCCTAGTACTAAGTTGGACTAAGCTGATGCTGGAACAATTATTATCAAGTGAAGTCTAATTGACAAGCTAAAAGGTGCATTTTGTGCTCCTGCTGTTGTGTTTCGGCAGCATCAAGGCAGAAGCGCAACACAGTTATAACATCAGAGCAAGGCTGAAGCTCTCTCTCTCTCTCCCCCCAAGGAATTAACATGTTATAATTAGAATGAGGTTTATATGCTTTTACACATCCATACCTCCCACTCACTACTTGAGTGTGAAAGGGGTAACAACCAGTTTGATTTTCCTTTCCACTGCACTTGCAGCGCAGATGCCTGACAATTTGTTTTTGTTTGTTTTTTTAAGAAATGAAAATTGATTCCTTGGGAGGAAAGAGTTCTGTGCCAAATTCTAAACTGAATTTTTTATGCAGTGCTTTTTAATTGTGTGTGTGTTGCTGCTGCTGCTGCTGCTGTATCTCCTTGTGAGCTGTCTTTCAGCAAGGCTTGCAATAAACCCAGGAAATCCAACTTGCTGAAAGCTATACCAGACTGTACCCTTACCTTCTACATTAGTAGCTAGCCTGTTGAGACAGGCAGTAATAACAGGTTACACTTTCGGCTTCTTCTGTAAGAAATAGTAAGTTGAAAGAGTGAAGAAATCCCTCCATCCAGATTTTTAAAAAAACAATTTTTGGCATTCTTGAGGCTCGAAGGGCATCGGTTTGGTTTATTATTCTTTCTCCTTTTGCTTTCGTTCATCACTGAGAGCATAATGTAGACATTGAAACTGTTTGTTTCAGTAAAGATGATGTGGAGAAGTGTAAACAAAAGGATCTGCTGGAGCAAATGATGGCCGAGATGATTGGCGAGTTTCCTGATCTTCATCGGACAATCGTCTCAGAAAGAGATATTTACTTGACTTACATGTTGAAGCAAGCTGCAAAGCGAACAGAACTACCTCGTGCATCCGAAGGTAAGTTAACATTTATGACTAAGAATTGCACTCCTCCAGCGGTGTGGTTCTTCAACTATGCTGCCTCTCAGGAAATCTAGACACATATTTGTAGATTAATGTGCAACATAGGGATTAGTTCTGTTAGCCAACTAGCCAAGAGAGTGTTGCCACTGCCTGCTTGCTAAGTTTTTTCCTCACTGAGGTAGCAAATGCTCTACAGTGGTACCTCGGGTTACATACGCTTCAGGTTACAGACTCCGCTAACCCAGAAATAGTACCTCAGGTTAAGAACTTTGCTTCAGGATGAGAACAGAAATCATGGGGTGGCGGCGGGAGGCCCCATTAGCTAAAGTGGTGCTTCAGGTTAAGAACAATTTCAGGTTAAGAACGGACCTCCGGAACGAATTATGTACGTAACCAGAGGTACCACTGTAATTGGCTGTGAAGATTTGAGGGAATTTTCCTCTGTATGCTTCATTTCCCTGCTATGTTCAAGGCTTGAACTAAGACAAAAGCTCCCTGTTCCTTTCCCCTCAAATTATGCACTGTTTTGTTCAGTTTCCTCAGCCAAGACTTTTCTCTCTGAACTCTGTCTTCATAATTTAAGTGACTTTGCCAACATAGCAAGACATGTGAATTGGCCCAATATTGCAGCCCATCTGCAAAATTGGAATTAAAAGTATTCTGATTTGCAGGATTATTGAAATGAGAGAGGTGACACTATCCATTTAGGAATTCTATGTACCTTTTATAAAGGGGTCATACGTTTTTAGATAATGTTCCTGTTAGAAGAACTGGCCAAATTAGTATTCAGCTTTTTTCAGATCCAAGCCCAAACATGGCATATGGGGACCCACTTCTGAATTTTGTACCACGTGTTTGTATTATGATAGGGCTACTGTGGGACCTGTCAGTCAGAAGTGGGTTCCGACTTAACAGCTAATTGATGCATTAAACCAGGCATAGCCAAACTTGGCCCTCCAGATGTTTTGGGACTACAACTCCCATCATCCCTAGCTAACAGGACCAGTGGTCAGGGATGATGGGAATTGTAGTCCCAAAACACCTGGGGGGCCAAGTTTGGCCATGCTTGCATTAAATTAATAATCAAACCACCATTGGCAATCACTTGTTGATTAGATAGTTGTTTTTACCTTGCAAGCGAGGGAGATGAAGAAATAACCCCTAGTTATGAGAACAACAGATTTTTATTTTCAAATGATTCCATTGAACTCTCAGGGAACCTCGCAACTTATCCTAAAGCAATATTATAATGTGGAAGAGCAGAGTGTGTTCTATGCATACAGAGCCTCTTGAGGTTAATTCTCAGCACCTCCAGTTAGGGCTGGGAATTATCCTTTTCAGGGAAGTCTCTGTTGGTGTAGGCCAGGATGGGAATTCTATGGCCTGCCAGATATTGTTGGACCACAACTCCCATTCCCTATAGCAATTGGGAGTGCCAGCTGGGACTGATAGAAGCTGAAATCCAATAACATCTGGAGGGCAATATGTTCCCCATCCCTGGTGTAGACAAAAATGCTGTATGGACCAATGGTCTGACTCTGTATAAGGCAGCTTCCTGTTTTGTTTTGTTTTTTAAAAAAACTAACTTAGGCATTCAATAAACTGGGGTTTTCTCTCTCTTAATTCCTGAAGTAACTTCTTGAATAGCAAGTCACCTGGCAGGTTTCATTTTTAACCATTCTGGAATTGTAGGAATATGTTGAGTTATTTTATTTTATTCAGTGTGTAGCAATAATACATTCAAGCACTCTCTCAATTTGCTTATCCTCTGTAAATGCTTAGGTTATGTTTTTACACAGGCTTTAACAGCCTGCTGTGGTTTGGTTTGTAGTTCACTGTACCTTGGATCCCAAACGCCTTGCGAGTCAAAGGTTTTGGCTCCTCAATGCCGCAAACCAAGAAGTGAGTGTTCCAGTTTGCGAACGTTCTTTGGAACCCAAACGTCTGACGCGGCTTCCAATTGGCTGCAGGAGCTTCCTGCAGCCATACCTTGGTTTCCGAACATTTTGGAAGTCGAACGGACTTCCGGAATGGATTCCGTTTGACTTCCGAGGTACCACTGTATCCCTTTGTTTCTGTTTGAGAGCTGTGGCTGAAGAGAATCCGAAAAATAGTGGTAGTAAATATAATAAACACATTGAACATGAACTTTTTGTTTATGTTTCTTCTGCTGTCTCAGCTGAACCCAGAAGATGCGTCCCGTCCATTGTAGTTGGGGTGGTTGGAATGGGTCACGTGCCTGGGATTGAAAAGAACTGGAATACAGACTTGAACATCCAGGAAATAATGAGGTAATTCTCTCTCTGGTAGGTTTGGACATTTTTCTTATATGTTATGATTTCTGCAGTTAGCCTGGGGGCAGGAGGTAAATAAAAGACAGTGAATAGGTATAGTGGCAGACTGCTAATGACACTAAAGGTGGAACAGGATGAACTCCCAGAGATTTGGGTAATGCTAAAATGTCCTTGGTTAGGCAGGAAGTATCTTCTGAGAAATGAGTATTTGGGAGAAAGCTTGTTGTGCAGTTTTCCCTACAGAACAAATGACTGAAAACAAAGATTAAGTAGCTATGCATTTTGGGTTTCTGTTTTATCTAGGACCGAGGCCTGAGATATAGATTGTTTCCTGTGATCTAAAGGTTGAAATTTGATGCTCTGTATAAATAAAATGGGGAAAGAGAGCACCCAATTTTTTTTAAGGGTCTCTGGGGTGAATATTTCAATGAAAATAATTAAAAGTGCATCATAAAAATTAATGTTCCTGTTACAGAACTATAAACCTGGAAACTACCACAAGTAGATATAATGGTGGCATTCAGACATTATGCTGAGTCACCATTGAGAGTAATGGGAAGAAGCCAAACAAACCGCAAGCTGTAACCAAGATTACATCTTGACTTGTCACTTGTGGTTCATTTGGGGGAGACGAACAACAAGACTCAGTTCATATGTAACCATAAGCCAAACCACGTCTTAGCCACCAGTAGCACAGCAGGAGCAAAGCAGAGAAGTTTTTACTCTATGCACCAGCCTGCTTGCCCATTCATACTTAACCATCGTTTGGCTTGGAGTTGCATGTGAACGAGGCCATTTTGGCGTCGAATAAAGGCTTCCATTTCCGTTTTTCCTTAAACGCAGTTTGTCATATTATTGGAACCACTAAATTGTAGCTTAACATTAGCCATGCTTTGTTTGAAACAAATCAACTTCAAGTCATTAATTATGTTGTAAGAACATAATAAAGGTAAAGGGCAACGGAAACGCCTTCCCGCTGGAGCGGTACCTATTTATCTACTTGCACTTTGACATGCTTTCAAACTGCTAGGTTGGCAGGAGCAGGGACCAAGCAACGGGAGCTCACCCCGTTGTGGGGATTCGAACCGTCAACCTTCTGATTGGCAAGTCCTAGGCTCTATGGTTTAACCCACAGCGCCACCCGTGTCCCATAAGAACATAATAAGATCAGCCAAAACACTTCCCTCGCCCAGCATCCTGTATTTCACTGTGGCCAACCAGGTGCCTCTAGGAAGCTCACAATCTGAATGTAAGTGCAATATCATACTCTTGCTCCTATTAATAAGTTGGGAATTAAGAGTTTGAATGGAAAGCTAAACTGTGGTTAATGGAAAGCAGAACTGAAAGCTTTCAAACCTCCCACCTGCGTCAGCTGCCACACGTAAGAATGATGGGGTGGAATGCAAAGCCTGAAGTTATCTGCAGCTCATTCTCATCATGCTAAATACAGTTTTGACATGGCATGTGAATGTAGCCAATAAATGCCCATTTAGATGAAGGTAGCTGTGCAAGAAAAATCCATCTGTGATTTCCTCTCCAAGATGCATGAATCAATTAATTTTACGGAATCGTTTTTATATATTGCAAGACTCATTGTAAAATGAAAAGAATTTCAAAAATCAAATCCATAATAGTATAAATAATTCGTAAGATGTATGTAACAAATACTGCTGATGTGGAGTGCTAGCTCATGGCCTGATCCATGAAAGATTATTTTCATTTAAAGCAATTGATAATGTTTGAACTGTATCGTGTATGCTGTTACCCAAAAGATAAGTGGTCAGAATAGGGCAAAATGGCCCTGTTCTGGTGGTGGTGGTGGTGGGGTGTGTGTGTGTGTGTGTGTGTGTGTGTGTGTGTAAGCTCATTAGCTATTACATTGGCAAAATTAAACAATACACACATATTGCTGCATGATGCATACTAGATTCCCACCCAAGTAATAAAGGTAACGGCAGACATTTTAGTGTTATAGGCAAGTAGTGTTAAGTATTAAGTATTTGAACATAGGTGGATGGTAAGTCTCTCCTCCCCCCTTCTCCTTTTTCCAGTGTGCCGCCTCCATCAACCTCAAGTAAAATCCTCAAGTTTGCTCTAAAGGCCACAGTATTTGGACTAGTGGGCTACGGCTGCTATAGGATGGGACAAAGGACAGTTCGGTTTATTCTCTCCATGCCCGTTGCACAGAACTATCTTCAGAAACTGGCAGATGTCAAGCCTCAGCACTGAATTGGAAGAAGATTCTGCAAGTAGCTGGGGCAAGATCTAACATACGTAAAACTAGGTTGGAAAGGAGTGACTTGTCAAATTTAACCAAATTCTGTCCAGAGGTCTCATTTGATGCTGAGCTGGAGCATAACCAGTGGATCAGTAATAAACGCCACACCAGCTGCGACCTAAGCATTTGCCCACAAACCTGGTGAAGTGGGCAGCATAAAATGACATGCCAGTATAGGGTACCTAAAGTATGTACACATATATATCATACTATTATGTGTATATAGTGCATTTATAAAGATGGTGATGTAATGGATCAACAACATAGAATCTAATATCCTTGGGACACAATTCACTGGAAACTTCCGTTATGCAAGCACCTTTGAAACGAATGAGACTGTACAAAGATGCAGCTGTTCATTTAACTGAAGCTGGCACAGGAGAACTTGCTGGTGCATTGTGTCCCATGATCTGTTTTCTCTCCCAGAGGAACAGAACAAACCATAGGCTAGTTGTGTTCCTATTAGAAAGCACAGTGGCCCATTAAGTATGTGTGCGTTCGGTACAGGTAAATAAATACCAGGCTATCCTTCCTGGTGCCAAGCACCTATAAGATGACTTAGAAGGACCTCTTATTACTGGAAAACTTTTATACTTAGTGGCTTTTTTAAAAAGAAGACAAACTGCTAAAAGCTTTTGAAATATCAGAAACGTGCTGGCTGCTATCGATGAAACCTCTACATATCTTTTACAAGCCTTACTTTTTTTAAAAGAAAAAGTTGCCTTCAGCATTGTATCCCGCCAAAATGGATCACTTTAAAACCCCAACTCTTTTATTAATGGAAAGCTCACAAGTTCCATTCAAGACTCCTTATGTTTGGTTAGCCCAACCTGACACCCTCAAGATGTCTTTAAATTCAGAATCATCTGGGGAAAGTTGGGGAAGGACATGCAAGATCGTGCTTTGTCGTTTGGGGGCTTTCCCAAGGTTTTCTCTGTCTCAAATGAAACATTGCAATATGTCTGCTTTTCTCTCTCTCCTTAAGTTGTTGTTGGGTAACTTCCTACGTTTACAGGGCACACAGTTCCTCCTAGGTTAGATTAATGTCACTGATAATTAGTAAACCAAATCCTTGTCAGGATAAATTTCAGTACTGCAAAATTATTGAGACACTTATCCCTCCTACTAATGACATTTCACTTCTCCTTTTGGGGGAAAACAAATCTGGAACTGTTGTGTATGTCGTATTTACCCTCCCTCGGATGCCATGTAAGCTATTTATCACAATTCCAGTGGAATGTAATAAAATGCTGATTTAAAAGAAAAAATCAGTGGAATGTTGTTTTAACAGATTTCAATCAGTATTTTTTGAAACTGCCTAGGTTTTGTTTGTGTAGCTTTTATGCGTCCTTTTCAACAATTCTACTTTTTTAACATGCACATTTTTTTAAAGAAACATTTTGTCATGTACGTTTTGTAGACATTTATATGCCCTTAAGATTGCCTTGGAGTGCATATTGCTTGTTGCCATCTCAACAGAATATTAATCGTAAAAATGTGGTTGTTAATCTATCCCGTGGAAAGCCTTTTGCCTTTTATGCAATTGTCCATTGGCTGGAGTAAAGACAATTTCTGACTTTAGTCTTCCCTGCTCCCTCTTCTTTAGAGAAGGTGGCATTTGAGGAGCAGAAACTAAACGCTGACATAGTCCACAACCTGACTGCATATTTAGCAAAGCAAACGTTTCCAGATTAATACCGTTACAGCCTGTCTTTCAAAATGCTCTTTTGCAAGTTTCCATTAACTGGACATAATGCAGCACAGATAAGTGCACTTAGGTCCAGTTGCGGGCAAGGGGAGATAAACAGGAAATATGCACAATTAGCTGGGTAATGATTGTGCCTGGGTTTAGTTCTTGGTTCTTACCAAAAGGAGGCTATAGTCTTCTTCTTCTTTGGTATTTTTGCTGATGATATGATGCTGGTGGGGAATTCTACATCTTTTGATGGGACTTATGATGGATTCCAAAGTTTTATTTAACTAAATTCAAGTGATAGATTTACAGGGCCTAACAGATTGTATTCCCCAACATCAATGAAAACAAATATCCCTAAATGAAATTTGATGCTGCTTTTTCTGTTTTTGCATCATGTATTGCAATTATATCTTGCAAAAAAATTAAAATGGTGGTGCTTGCCTGTTAATAGCACTTGAGACAATTTGCTCTGGAACTGCAACAGTTAAGTATATTGATACAATTAATTGGTTTGAGTTGGGATACTCTTCCACACACCCTCCATAGGCAAACCTCTTGGAATACCTTATACGGAAGAAAATGGAAATTTGTTAAATGATGGGAGGAAGGTGCACAGGTTGATTTTTACAGGTACAGCTCAACACAAGATGCAAGAGAGAAAGGTTTGTGTCATTGGTCTTTGCCACTTATACTGCTTTCCTGACAACTGTTTGGAAGAAAAGGGGAGTGAGCTGGAAAGTACCATGTTATAAGCAACTTTTCAACAATTGGAATGATTATTTTCATTTTGATGGTTTCTCCTTTACCTTTTAAAAGGTTTCCAATGATTTTTTTTTGTTAGTTATCATACCTCTTGGGAATATGTTAGATAATCAGCTGAATGAGCTATTAAATTACCTTTTACATCTTACCAAATATGTTGGCTCTCTTTATTGTGTTCCTCCAGTCCCATTTTGTAGGTTAACTGTATTATGTTTACTTTAAAGTATTCATACTCAGGTAAATTTCACAAAAGTTACAAAAAACAAGATGAATGGCAAGAGTCAGCCTTAAGCTTGAATGGACTAATGTTAAACGATGGACTTGAGGCATGCTGTATTCTATGTATTTCCATATGCCAAAAAGAGAGAAATAGAATAAAAGGTCTACCCATCAGCTAGCATTTCATATTTACCAATTCAGTGTGTGTGTGTGTTCTTTCAAGAGTGTATGAAATGAGAATATGCTATTCCATGTCCCAAAGACATCTGCACAATGCAATTGAATGGGGCTACCAGTATTTGATATATATTGAATGCCTCTTAGTGCGTGACCTAACTGAAATTGCCTGATTTAAATATGCCCCATGGATGCTGAATAAAGATGATTCATAGAATTTTTTTTACTTCCTGAAAAATGCAAAACCAACTTGTAATAAAAAGTGAATTTTCAAGTCCCTTGTTTTTTACTGTGGTGATACAGCATATTCTATAAGCCTATTTCAAACATAGCTCTAGTGTAATGCAGGGGTTGCCAACTTTTTTGGGCTAGTGGGCACATTTTGAATTTTGAGAGTGCTGAGCGTGCCCATCACAAAATAGCTGCGCTGTGGGGTGGGGTATAACAAAAGTTAGAGAGGCACCTGCCTGCAGCAACCTTACACTGAACCATGAGAAGTCAGTGGTGTGCTGCTGCTGAAGATCACAATATTGATTTTACAGACACCGAGATGCGGTTGCCGTCCAATAGCAAAAGGAGGCATTCATCATGTACGAAGTGGCCACATCATACTCATTTCACAGAAATTGCACAGAAGGATCTTGCGCTTTGCACCATAATTCTCTTTCTAGGAAGGCTAGGAAGATGATTGTAAAAAATGAAAATTTGGAGTCTGGGACACCTGCCCAGAGACACCAGTGAGAGCCTTTGTAGATAACGGGTAACCAACTCCTAGGTTAATGCTATCAGACTAGAGGAAAACAAACCCTTCACTTTCTTAGGGTTAGCCTTAACCAGTATGGCATCCTAGGCAAAAGATTGAAAATGTTCTTCTTCTGCATTGGCACCTGACGTTTTACAGTCTTGTCAACATTGTTCCCAAGTAAATGTGGGAACTGGTTTTGTTTAGATGCATCCAGTTATTGACACAGCTGCCCATCTTCCTTTATACAAGTTGGGTTTAGGCCAGGTATAGGCAAACTTGGCCCTCCAGATGTTTTGGGACTACAACTCCCATCATTCCTTGCTAACAGGACCAGTGGTCAGGGATGATGGGAGTTGTAGTCCCAAAACATCTGGAGTTTGCCTATGCCTGGTTTAGGTTCATAACTTTTTTCCCCAAAAAATTTTTTATTGGTTTTTACAATATTATAGACAAACACACAAAATAAACAAACATAACAAACATAACCTTATTAAAAATAACAGGTATTAACTTTGTAGAGTGACTTCCTCGTTTCCCCTTGGTTGAATTTCATTGCATGTCCTTATAACGGTTTTCCAAATCCCAATTTTTATAAAATTTTACTTAAACATTAACATCTTTAAATCTTCTCCTTATAGTATTAAACATATTATTTTATCACTTAACATAAATACAACCTATTTATAAATATAAATATAGCCCATTAAATATCTGGAAACTATTTCCGGCTAGTTTAACTTAACAAATTTAGCTAAATAATCATTAAATTTATTCCATTCTTCCTGATATTCCTCCTCCTTCTGGTCGCGGACTCTTCCGGTTAGGTTGGCTAGCTCTGAAAAATCCATCTTCATCTGCCATTCTTCTACTGTTGGTAGTTTTTGAGTTTTCCACTTTTTAGCTAACAAAATACGAGCTGCAGTTGTGGCATACAAAAATGATTTAACATCTTTCTTGGGCAGGTTTAGGTTCATAACTTTTGGGAGGCAAGACTTACACTGATTTCAGGCAACTACAGTACTGTAAACAAAAGAAATATGCATATTTGAAGTCTGTCCTTGTGTTGAAATTGGTGTGAGATTAACTTGAGTAAACATGGGCTTCTGTGGACATTCCCTCCATCATTCGTGACATGACAGTTGCCCAACCCAAATTCTGGTTTTATAAAAATGGAAGGTCTTACTGTAGCTGTGACCAGGCTGATGTCCCCTTAATCTAGCAAAGTATCACCAAATCTAGTTAAGATTTCATATTTTAATTCGGGTCCTGCCTCATGTGAAAGAGAAGTAAATCCCTTTCAGTTCGAAGGGGTTTACTACCAAGTAAGTGGGAGCCCAACTGCAGCATTAGGTGTGTTGGTGGTTTTTAAGCATTAAAACAAAAGGTATGAAAAGGCAATGCTACTGAAAGGTGTATTCTGCGCCATGTTTTTTACTGGGGTGGGTTTGAAAATCATAAACTGCACTCTCCCACATTTAAGCTGCTGGAACGTGTGCAGAGGAGGGCAACAAAGGTGATTGAGGGTCTGGAAACCAAGCCTTATGAAGAACAGTTGAAGGAGCTGGGTATGTTTAGCCTGGAAAAGAGGAGATATGATAGCCATCTTCAAATATCTCTAGGGCTGTCCCATGGAAGAGGGGAACAAGCTTGTTTTCTCCTGCTCTGGAGGGTAGGACTAGCCAATGGCTTCAAGAAAGGAGATTCAGACTAAATATCAGGAAGAACTTTCTGATGGTAAGAACTCTTCTTCCACAGTGGAATGGGAGGTTGTGGACTCTCCTTCCTCGGAGGTTTTTAAGCAGAAGTTGGACGGCCATCTGTCATGGATGTCTGTAGCTGACCTCCTTTGTAATGTTTTATTTTGAAATCTTTTAAGGTAATATTTTAGTATTTTGTTATGTTGCTTTGACTGTATACTCTATATTTGACTGTTGCTTTGACTGTATATTCTGTATTTGACTTTCTTCAGATTGTTTTATTGATTTAATATGCTGTAAACCGCTTTGAGGTTTTTCTTAAAAATATAAAGTGGTCTAGAAATTTAAATAAATAAATAAATGCTTCAGCTGAGATATCTGCATTGCAGTGGGTTTGGACTACATGACCCTAGGGGTCCCTCCCAATTCTATGAAATTTAAATTTACAGGGACTGGCAGACCTATCATAAGCCACACGATATTATGGGTCGATATTAACAGAGCGATCCCCCCTCCCCCCCCCGCACCCTTATAAATACTTCTGTTCAAATAACGGTTCCCACGGTGCTGAGGCAGCTGCGCCTGCGCAACGGCGTCACTCCCAAGCCGAGGCGAAAGGCGGTTAATATCTCTCCCCCTCGTCCCATTGGCCAGTTCCTTGGAGCCCCGTCTCTGATTGGTGGAAATCAGGAGGCTCGCGCCCAGGGGCGAGCTGGAATAGGCTAGAGAGAGGGTGGGCGGTTATGGGCGGGACTCGGAAGGCGGTTATGGGCGGGACCGACGTGGCGAACGGTGGCCGAGAAGGCCGGAGAAAAGCGAATGGCAGCGGCGCTGCTGCGTAGTAACAGTCGGCGCCTCAGCCGTTTGTTGCCGGTGCCTGTTTCTCGCCCTTTCGGCAGCATGGAGGCCGCTGCTGCTGCTGCTGCTTCTCCCTCAGGCCCGGCCGCCGAGGCTGGTCTGTGGCTGGGGGCGCTTCGCTTCGACAACCGGGCGCTGCGGGCCCTGCCTCTGGACCCGAGCGAGGAGAACGTGCCGCGGCCCGTGTCGGGCGCCTGCTTCTCGCGGGTGCGGCCTACCCCGGTGCGCGGGCCTCGCCTGGTAGCCGCGTCCGCCCCGGCGCTGGAGCTGCTGGGCCTGAGGGAGCCTCGCGCGGCCGACGAGGAAGCCGAGGCGGCGCTCTACTTCAGCGGGAACCGGCTGCCTCCCGGCGCGGAGCCCGCCGCCCACTGCTACTGCGGCCACCAGTTCGGCAGCTTCGCCGGGCAGCTGGGCGACGGCGCGGCCGTCTACCTGGGCGAGGTGCTGAACGTGCGCGGCGAGCGCTGGGAGATCCAGCTCAAGGGAGCCGGCCTCACCCCTTTCTCCCGGTAAACCGCGAAGGCGCACGCCCAGCGACACGCGCGTTGTTTTCGGGAGAGGGGAGTGGCAGAGACCGGCTCCCTTCTCTTAATCCAGGAAGGGCCGGATTTACGTAAAGGCTAAACAAGCTATAGTTTAGGGGCCCCGCTCTCTTGCCCCCCCCCAATTTAAAAGTATTTCACTATTAATATACTTCTTCAAAATTGTATTTCAGTTCAACAATTACTTTGATAAAATACATACAGTGGTACGCTTCAGGTTACAGCCTCCGCTAACCCAGAAATAGTGCTTCAGGTTAAGAACTTTGCTTCAGGATGAGAACAGAAATCGCATGATGGCGGCGCGGCAGCAGCAGGAGGCCCCATTAGCTAAAGTGGTCCTTCAGGTTAAGAACAATTTCAGGTTAAGAACAGACCTCCGGAACGAATTAAGTCCTTAATCCGCGGTACCACTGTATATGGTTATGTGCAAATGGCTTTAGATACCTGGTAAAGGTAAAGGGACCCCTGACCATTAGGTCCAGTTGCGGACGACTCTGGGGTTGCGGCGCTCATCTCGCTTTATTGGCCGAGGGAGCCGGCGTACAGCTTTCGGGTCATGTGGCCAGCATGACTAAGCCGCTTCTGAACTGTGCTTTTGAACTGCTAGGTTGGCAGGAGCAGGGACCGAGCAACAGGAGCTCACCCCGTCGCAGGGATTTGAACTGCCAGCCTTCTGATCGGCGAGTCCTAGGCTCTGTGGTTTAACCCACAGCGCCACCCGCATCCCTTTAGATACCTGTTAGGTTATAGCATATATTCAACACAAAAAACCAGCGATAATTTGTTGTTGACAAAGGACAGCTGGACATATAAAGGTCCCCAGTACCTTCAGTAGCCAACCTAGCAGTTCGAAAGCACGTTAAAGTGCAAGTAGACAAATAGGTACCGCTCTGGCAGGAAGGTAAACGGCGTTTCCGTGTGCTGCTCTGGTTCGCCTGAAGCAGCTTAGTCATGCTGGCCACATGACCCGGAAGCTGTACGCCGGCTCCCTCGGCCAATAAAGCGAGATGAGCACCGCAACCCTAGAGTTGGTCACGACTGGACCTAATGGTCAGGGTCCCTTTACCTTTACCTTCAGTAGCTTAGGGCCTCATCAAACCTAAATTCGGCCCTAAGAAGGCCATAGCGCACCATACAGTCTGCAGGTCTTTGTATTGGGCAGTGTGATTAAAAAATACAAAAACCCAGTTTGGTTTAGTCGGGCTTACTCTTGAGTCAATGTGTATTGGGTCGGGCCTGTTAATGTCCTTGGACATGGGTGGAGGTGGGGGCAGCCCCCCCCCCAATCAAGTTAATAAATAGAAATATTCTAGTTTGGAACTGTCCAGGCTACTCATGGAAGCCAGAGATTAAAGTGCTGGTTCCAGAATTTTGTGCAACTAAAATAAAATGATAAATAAATAAAACTGCTCAAAAGTAAAAAATGTAGAAAGGTTTTTTTCTGAGCACTTGGGGTCAAAAGAAAGTAATTTAAAAGAAACTTCTTGTCAAGAAATTTCTTTCCAGATCTGCATGACAAAGCCAGACAGGATGATGGGAGGTGGGTGCCCTGCCCCACCTAACATAAATGCTGGCTACCTGCCGCTCCTAACGTAAATCCTGCCTATGCCCATGTCACTGGCTCATGCAGCCTTTCATTTTCTCCCTTCCTTGACAACTTGAATCAAGGTACAGATTCATATCTCGTCTTTATTAAAATCACACAATTGTCGGAGTAGGAAGAGACCCCGAGGATCATCTAGTCCACCCCCCTGCAATGTAGGAATCTTTTGCACAACATGACCTTGAGATTAAGATTCTCATGCTCTACTAACTGAGCTGTTAGTTAGCTATTGTCAAGGATGCAGAGCATACCATGAATAACAAAGTATGAGCAGAATTCATGCCTCAACCCCAGTTGCTAAAGGCTGGGTCATGTATATCCACTTGGTGCTGCATCATTTAGTGGCCTGCAGAAGAACATGTGAAAAGTTTCCCCTAAACAAAGTACAGTTAGTCCGCAACATACACACATTTAACTTGTACCCATTCAGCTTTATGTGCATTGGAAAAAAATTGTTTAAAAAAGTGGGACAGAGTTTTGCGTGGAAAGACTGGCAATCTCTCATGCCATTGCACCCAATGTGTTTTGGCTATACACTCTGTGATTTTGGCTTTAGGTGTGATCCCCTGAGGACTTACTTGAGCTGTCATAAAACACCTATATTGAGATGATAAGATATTTATTATGTGCAGACACACTAAGGCAGGGTTTCCCAAACTTGGATCTCCAACTGTTTGGGGACTACAATTCCCTTCATCCCTGACCACTGGTTAGGGATGATGGGAGTTGTAGTCCAAAAACAGCTGGAGACCAGGTTTGGGAAACCCTGCACTAAGGCTATAATCTTATACACACTTCACTGAGAATAAGTAATTGGGACTTTTGAGTAGACATGTCTAGAATTGAGCTATAAAGTGAGCAGAAATAGTTTACTCCCTGCTTCATTTTTTACTACAGAGCAAGTATACTTCTTTGTTCTGAAATAAAATGCTGTTTAAAGGCCTAATTCTTGATACTGAATGAATTTGACCATTCTCATCTGTAAATTATGCTTTTAAAATATTTTTTAATATTATTTTTTTAAAAACTTATTCTAGTATCTTATTAATTTAATTTCAGACAAGCAGATGGTCGTAAAGTTCTGCGATCAAGCATAAGAGAATTCCTGTGCAGCGAAGCAATGTTTCACCTAGGAATACCTACAACCAGAGCTGGAACATGTGTAACATCTGATTCAGAAGTTATTCGGGACATTTTTTACGATGGGAATCCAAAAAAAGAAAGGTGCACAATTGTCCTGAGAATAGCACCCACGTTTATTAGGTAAGTATCCTGCTTTGGGTTTTATATTAAAACAGGTATTATATACAGTTTGGATGTGTTCTAGATAAACTGTCTGTAATATAGACATTTCAGGTACCTGTGACTTTTGCCTACTAAAATTGTAAATATTGATTGCTAATATTTGGTTCTGAAGACTAAAATATTGGCCTTCAGCAAGTGATTAGGCACCCAATACTGAGTTGCAATTGCAGCCCTAGTTATTATGTAAAAAAAAATTAAGAAGTAGTTCTCCAAATGCTTGTTTGGGGCAGAGCTGAGCTTCATATCTCATAAAATTGTAGAAATAAATTGGAAGGGATCCCAAGTCTAGTCCAGCCCCCTGCAATGGCAATTCCATCCTTGAAACACAATTCAGTCACTTGTCTATAATAGCCAAGAAAGCTATGAGGTTTCAAAATACTTATAAAGCACATCTTTCAGAATTGGGGCTTACTAATTAAATATTCCGTTTCTCTAGTAAAACTATACCATAGCATTTCCTGTTGCTTCAGTACATGGAACTAAATGGCAATTTTTTTACTTTTTGTTATTTTAAAATATATATAAACAAACTATACGGGAGGGGGGACCCTCAATGAAATATATTTATATCCTGGTGATATAGCTCAATAATTGACAATCCTTTTATTTAGGTTTGGATCATTTGAAATTTTTAAAGCTACTGATGAATATACAGGACGTAAAGGTCCCAGTGTTGATAGAAATGATATTCGAATACAAATGCTTGATTATGTAATCAGCACTTTCTACCCAGAGATTCTACAAGCACACTCAGAGAATAATGTCCAGAGGAATGCTGCTTTCTTTCGGGAGGTAATAATTAATTCTTACTATTTTTATAAAAAATATGTTTGCATTCCACTCCTTGGAATGCTAATCTTTTCCAAATTATATGGTCTGCAGTGGGCTGATTTTTCACCCTTTGATACTCATTGACATCCTATTAACATAGACAAGACAATTTTCATTCACATAGGGTTGGCAAATATTAGTCTTTTATTCTCCATAGGAACCCTTAAGGATCTGTGGAGAATGGCATACATGGATGGAAAATGTTCAACACACATTTGCAACTGTCTATTTTTAAAATATTACTCTATTTAATATGCAGTGTGTATGCAAGCATAAAGTTCATAGATGAAAAGAGACTGAAAATCAGGTTGTATTTTTAAGGTAACAAGGCGGACAGCAAGGATGGTTGCCGAATGGCAGTGTGTTGGATTTTGTCATGGTGTGCTCAATACGGATAACATGAGTATTGTTGGACTTACAATTGACTATGGACCTTTTGGATTTATGGACAGGTCAGTGTATTTCAATAACTTCAAAACATAGATATGTTATAGTGACTGGATCAAATGGCACCAGGATCTCTTTTTATTGCTTTCATTTTTGAAAAATTATTTCTAGTGAACTGTGGAAGAAATTTAAATGTATGGTAATATGTTTTCAGATGAACTGGCAAAACCCTTGTACTCACTCATACTTGTTAGTGTTAATGGAATTAATCCAGGATAATTTTGCTGTATATTGCAGCAACAGTGTGATCACCCTTGTTAGATCTATAGCTGTTGAAGGTTTATATTGGCTACCTTGTAGTTTATCCCTGTTCAGTAATTTACTAAGTAATTTGAGTAAGATTAAATTAGGGAAGAGGGAAACAAAGTATTTGTTTGACATGGTGATACACAATAATTCTTAAAGATGTAGAGTTGTATCCAATTGGTGTGCACTGACAAAAGGCTGTTTGATTTAGCAGAGCTTCCCACCAGCAAAATGGGGATTGAGGTTCTTTTCAGAAATTGCCTGTCCCCCTGAGGCTTCCCACAACCCCCTCTCTCCCCCCAAAAAACTGCTCTAGCGGGTTGAGGGGGAACCCTTTAGGAAATGCTGTGAAAGACTACAAGGGGGGGAGGAAGCAGTCAGCATTGTATTTGTACATTATCTAGTTACTGCAATATTACTATTCATTCATATAAACTAAATATTAAACCAAATACTACTGTTTTGCAGATACGATCCTGAACATATTTGCAATGGTTCTGATAACGCAGGGCGCTATGCTTATAATAAGCAACCAGAGATTTGTAAGTGGAACCTAGGCAAGCTTGCTGAAGCCTTAGTCCCAGAACTTCCATTGGAAATCAGTTTACCCATCCTGGAAGAAGAATATGAAGCAGAATTTGAGAGGCATTATTTGCAAACAATGAGAAAAAAGCTAGGATTAATTCAGCTCCGGTTGGATGATGATAATAAATTGGTTTCTGATTTATTGGAAACTATGCGAGTCACAGGTTAGTGTGCATTGTATATTAAAATTTAAAATAACAAAGTATAATTCATGTGATGTTCCGCATAAAATAATTCAAATCATCTACATTAATACTCTGAAATTAAAGACATAATGCCAATACATGATAAAACAGTTTGAACTCAATTATATAAACAGCTGAATAAAATTCCCATTAAATCTGTTTCGTAGGTGCAGATTTTACAAATACTTTCCGCTTGCTGAGCTCTTTCCCAGCAGATTCTGATCCTTTAAAACTGGAAGAGTTCTTAGATAAGATTTCAAAGGAGTGTGCATCCTTAGAAGAACTGAAAGTTGCATACAAGCCTCAAATGGACCCCAGGTATACTGAGCTGTGATATTGTGCAAAGTTCCTGTGTGTTTTAGGATTAGAGGAAATAATAGATTGGCAGGTTATATGTTTGACAGATTGCGTGTGGACAGTAACAGATATTTATTTTTTATTTTCTGCAAGTTTCTAGTTCCAGATTAATGTGCTAGTTCTAATCTGGAAAACTGGAGATTTGTATTTTAAGTGACAGACATGCTTTTAATATGTTTTGGGTATGTTTAGTTCTATGCCATAGTGTACTTCATTCTAAAAACTAAAAAACAACAGGATGAAAGAATGCTTTTGAGAATCAGACTGCAGCCAATTAAATGCTGGAAATTGATTGTATTTGTTGGGTATCATCCTATTATATTACATTTGAGATCTAGAAATACAGCACTGATGTGTAGCTGCAATATTTGGATCTAAAATGGCCACTAATTTGGCTTTTGTCATGTTCCTGTTTTCTTTTTCCTTTTTAATGAATATTTCCATAACATTAAATAATAGTATAAAATACAGCAATACAATACCAAGCACTCATGTAGTTCCTGTCAATCTGTTGCATATTTCATTGTTTATTTTCCTGTTTTCAGACACAGGCAACTTTTTACATTTGGAGTTTAAGGGAAACGGTTTCTCTTTCCCTGCTCTCATGATGGTTTTTGCTCATGGTCCTTCTGTCAAGAACTAACATAAATAATGGTTGCTTTAGTAATATGCACATATGGAAGTTTATGTGGCATGCAAAACATTCCATGTATAATTAGATTTTTAAAAACTTACTTTACAAACAGAATATAGGAATCTATCAATAATTTTAAACTGTTTAGTACACACAATCTGCCTGAACAAAGCTGTTCATGACATTGTTACTATGAAACAATTTAGCAGTAGCAAGTTTGTGCTAGGAGACAGATCTATTGAGACAAAATCTCTGAAGTCCATGTTGTTAATAACCCTCCTGATTATGGTGCACTCACAATGTTTCTAGGCTGGGTTTTCAATGTTCATCCAACATTATCCAGATTGCACATGAATCCTATACTTTGTTATAAAATACAGTGGTACCTCGAGTTAAGTACTTCATTCGTTCCGGAGGTCCGTTCTTAACCTGAAACTGTTCTTAACCTGAAGCACCACTTTAGCTAATGAGGCCTCCTGCTGCCGCCGCGCCGCCAGAGCCCGATTTCTGTTCTTATCCTGAAGCAAAGTTCTTAACCTGAAGCACTATTTCTGGGTTAGCGGAGTCTGTAACCTGAAGTGTATGTAACCTGAAGCATATGTAACCCGAGGTACCACTGTACTATTGTTTGATGCATGATTTCTCAAGCCAGCTTCACACCAGTTGGAGTCTTGAAGCCTTTCCTAATTCATATACAGGCAAGGTATTTCACTGTTTTCTACGAACGATATCATAACATTGGTATTATGAGGAGTTCCAATAGTGCAGGGGTGCCCAAACTTTTTTCAAAGAGGGCCAGATTTGATGAAGTGAATATGTGTGAGGGCCAGCCGAAATTGTTGAGCTTTTCTTAGGATTTAGGATTTCCCCCCAGGACATATAGTGCCACGGGAGCCAGATTAAATCGACCAGCGGCCCATATTAGGCCCCTGAGACAGACTTTGGAAATGCCTGCAGTAGTGCATGGTGATTTACTGATTACATAGTGGAGGGCAATTCTGGTGTTGCATTTCCATGAGTTTCTCCGATTCTTTTTCCGAATGGGCTGACTCACCATAGAGAAGCCACCAATTCCTAAACAATTAAGACAAAGTTGTAATCTGACAAAACCTGCTTTATTAGCTGCATTTTTTAATGTCTTTATATTTTGCCAGTAATGAGAGAGATGTTTTGCACCACTCTTCAGAAAAGTGAAGAATTTTTCATTTTTTTCATTCATTATATTTGTATACCGCTTTTCTACCCCCCCTCCCAAAAAAATGGTGATCAAAGCAGCTTCCAACATAGAAACAGGGATGCATTTCAAACAAACACTGCAAATACAATTTCATAAAAACATAGCAAAACATGGCAACAATTTCATCAGAATATAGCAAAACGAAAACATAATAACATACAAAAATAACACATTTCAGTACTATATATATAAAACACAAGATTATATAAACAACATAACAGCAGCATCCAGTAGCAAAAATAACAAGGGAGCTTCACAGTTTCACCATAGTCCTAGAAACCCCCTCACATGATGTTGCTCTCTTGCAGCAGCTCTCCTCCTTCTTCCAAGGCCAAAGGGTAGGGTAGCTGGAAACAGCCTTCCCATGAAGCACTCCAGTGGCACTCTGCACATGTTGTTGTTCAGTCTGATATTTATGCATCTAGCAAGTCTCCAAAGGTTGCTACTGCTTCATTGTTGCTTCTGAGTTGCATTGTATTGGTGCCTGTCCACCTTTAATTAAGGTTGCGTTAGTGCCAAGTAGAAATAAGGGACAATCAACATTTCAAGTTGGTGTGTCTGGTAATAGGCTTTGTGTCTTGAATTCTGTTCATTTTTACTAGGACAATGGTGTGTTGCATCACTGAGTTCCACCTGTTACCCAGTTAAGAATGTTACTGTCCTTTTAACTGCAGACAATGATCTGAATGTCAAGGCATTGTTCGCCATTGTGTCACAGAACCCGATGCTATCGTTGTTCATTCTTTTTGCAAAGCCTTGTTTTGACAAAGACATTTAATGGTTGTTGTCTTAAAATCTTAGTACGCAGAAGTAAGTTCAGAACAACTAACGCAACTAAAAGCTTATTTCCATTTGTCCTGCGGAGTAGCTGGAGTGAAATCGGAGACTCTTTGCTGTAGGTCCCACCTTCTCATAGTTAGTTGTGGTGATGCCAGTGATACTTGCTGTTTTGCCAACAGCATTTCAACCATATTTGACTGTCAGGATCCAATTTACACTGAGACTTCTTGACTAGAAAATTACCCTTTCTGATGTCCTCTTTAATTTCATTCAGTACCTGGCAAATGTCACAGGTGTATGGTTCTCCAGCATGAAAAGTAATATGATAAAATAATAAGTAATAATAAATGATGCATAAGTAATATGATAAAAAGAAGGGTGACATTGCTTGGAAAGAATCGAGACATTAAGTTCCTCCTTGTGCTTGTTCATATATGCCCACCATAACAGAAAAATTAAAAAGACATTGTCCATTATGAAAGAATGTATTGTCCTTTAAGTCTGGATCACTAGCTAGATATGAGATTAAACTGTTCACATCACCACATGCAACTATTTTAGCCTTTAATCTGTGTTGTTTTTTTAAATTTAAAAATGCCGTAAAATGACTACACACAAATTCAATACAGCAGACAATACAGCACAAAGCAATACATAGTGTAACTTTTAGTCTTTAATCATCAAGTTAAATGAAGTTCCACAACTGGAACATTACTGTCAACATATTTTGGAATGTGTACTTGTTCACCCTCACACCTCCGGCATACCATTTGCCTAATACTTATTATTAAATTTGCACTACAGTGAGAACCATATAAACTAGCCATCAAAAATAGCATTGAGCTGAAAGTTAAAGGATAATATGTGGGGGAGTTCACGTTTTAAAAAACATTTTCTGTTGCTTTCTATTACTTAGCTTTTAATTGATTTCCAGCATTATTCTCTTTGTTGACTGCTTTACTGTTTCATTCTTAGTGGAAACATGCTGCCCTTGTGCATGTTTAGCGATTTCAGGCAGTAAAGACAGAAATTCACCCTGGCATTCAGCAGAGTTGCGCAGCTGAAATGTATGACAAAACATGTCTGCTAATTTTTTTTCAAAATTCCCCTTAGAAGTCAAATATTTTGTCTGTACCCTTATAATTCATAATTTAAGGAATTGTATGTTTTTTAAGAATAACTTAACACACAACTCACAGTAACTGATTTCTGATAGTCTTCCATTTTCCCCCTTCCCCTTTTTTCTAGACAGCTTTCAATGATGCTGATGTTAGCCCAGTCTAACCCACAACTTTTTGCCTTAATTGGGACAAAATCTAACATAAATAAAGAACTGGAACGCATAGAGCAATTTTCTAAGCTACAGCAGTTATCAGCATCTGAACTGGTTAGTAGAAATAAAGGACACTGGAAAGATTGGCTTCAGAACTACAGGTGAGACTAATGGTTATGTACCAAATATATTTCTGTTTCTGTATATTTCTATATGCTATTAATACATATGTGCATAAATGTTTGTTGTAAAGGATTTGGCTATGAGTGCATGGAAGCACCCTAAGGGTTTCATATTGCAGCATTTGTTATCAGTATATATTCCAAATAAGATCTTTAAAATTGTCTTCTTGAAATGAATTGTTTGTATTGGCTGTGTAGCATACAATGGTCAAATAAGTTTTCAGGATGAACTCTCAGCATTGTGCTCTGGATGTCCTATCAGAGTGCCTTTTTAGACCTGTCCTCTTAAATGATTCTTTGTTGTATGTTCCTGAGTCTCAGGATTGTGACAGAAGCAGTGTGTTTGTTAGTTTGTTTAAAACTCACCCATTATGCGAAGCTTTCTGTGTCTTTTCAGAGTTCGGCTAGAAAAAGAAATGGAGCAATTTGGCAATTCTGATAACTGGAATGCTGAGCATGTGAAAATTATGAACTCAAATAACCCAAAATACATATTGAGAAATTACATTGCTCAAAATGCTATAGAAGCAGCAGAAAATGGAGACTTCGTGGAGGTAAGCAGTATTGCTAAATCAGGCATCCCCAAACTCGGCCCTCCAGATGTTTTTTGGGACTACAACTCCCATCATCCCTAGCTAACAGGACCAGTGGTCAGGGATGATGGGAATTGTGGTCCCAAAACATATGGAGGGCCGAGTGTGGGGATGCCTGAGCTAAACGTTGCAAAATAAATATGGAGAGGTATTCACCAGATATGGAATCCCCAAACTTTGGCTTTCCCCTGGGGACAAAAATAATAAAAATACAGTTGAGGTTTGGTGGTAATAATTGTACTCCTCCTTTTCCAGGTAAGGAAAGTTTTAAGGCTCCTAGAAAAGCCATATGAAGACAACTTGGAATGCTACAATGAGGCAACTGAGGATCCTGAAGTAGAAGAAGTTGGGGCTGCCGCTGCTGAATGCAGTTCAGCATCCAGGAGAAGAGTTCCCTATAGCAGTAAACCTCCACTCTGGGCTTCAGAGCTCTGTGTTACATGATCTTCCTAACTGCCTTGTTTGTATTTTCCACAAAGGGATAGTGATCTTCCCGGGTGGAGAGTGCAGCAAGGTGTATAGAGGTGCTATTAAGTCTCAAACAGATGGGTCGGATGTCTTCACAGTTGAGCCATATTCATTTTACTACTTGCGACCATCACAACTGTCCACGCACACTGTTGAAAGACATACCAAAGTTTTATTCATCGCAAAGTGCAGTTATATTTTTTCTGCGCTGATCTGTGAACATCCAAGTGAAATCTGTGTTTGTGAAGACAAAAATAGCAATCCAGATGCTGGAATTATTTTTGTCTGAAAATGAACTAATAGTACTTGCTGGCAATATATTTGTAACGTTTTTTATTATTATGCAGGGATATCTCTCAATGGGGAGTGGGTTTAAGCTCATCATTGCTTATTCTAAGCTATGTTTCATTTAATAGTGTAGTTCATTTATTGTGAACCTTTGTGCTTAAATCAGGTTTTTAGAGAAATTATTTTTGGGTCATTGGGAAAAGATGATGGTGTATATGTAAAAAAATGGAATGAAGAAGAAAACTAGTTTCAGTGTAAATGATTTACATATAGTGGCTTGATTTCAGTTAGGGTCATAACCATACTAAAGCATATGGTTCAAGACTCTATTCTGGGTCTGTGCGTTCAGCACCAATTGTTGGAATAGTGGGGCAACGACTCCCCTCTGCCTCCTGTTCAGCATTGGCAGTAGAGAGCATGAGTCAACAGGTTAATTTCTGCCAAAATGTATAATGTATAAATTGCTTTGTATTTGAACAATGCCTTCAAATGATGTATGCTTTCACTCTTGCATTTCAGATAACCTATTTATTTCCTATGTAAACAACTTTGCTACCTCATGGAAAGTCTTCCATTCTCGCGCATTTTGCCTTTTGTGCAATTGAGTTATATTTTAACTTTAGCTTATTTCAGCTTCAGCGAAACAGCTGCATGAAAACATGGCTGTTCTTCAGAGGTGTGTTAAAAGAGGTGTTGCTCCAATACATCCTGATGGGTGTGACTGTAGCCCTAAGGACTGTTCTTTATAGTCAGTATCCCTTTAAAATCATAGGAATGTACTGGAGTGTCAACGCACCTCTGAGATATTGTGATCTTTCTGCCTTATAATGTAAACGTAGACTAGCAGTTGGAAAATAAAAATATGTTGATGTGAGTTATTGACAAATGGCAGGCACAGGAAATTTTGCAAACAACTGCTATACTTTTCTTGCTTTTAATTTAGAGTTCTGTACACACGAATGAATAGGGCTATTATTAATTGGTCTTGCTGTTAGCAGATCTTAACTGTGGCTTCTGAGGGTCTTATGTAGAGTTTTAAATTAAAAAAAACAGTGCTCAGGTCACCTGTTGTGAATGGAATACCTATTGCCCACAATCAAAATTACTTACTTTTTATGCAGTTTTAGCAATAAAAACATGCCACGTGAATGTTTTTATGATACTTTTAAGTATTGCACTCTATACCTTTTGAAGGATGTTGTGGACATTTACTCATTCTGCAAATAATATCAAAAATCTGAAATTTATTACCCTGAGCTGTGTTCATTGAAAATAAATTATTTTAACCATGCTTATATTAGAAGTTTGTACCGTGTTATTTTTAGACTAAGAAATCTGAGAAATGATTAAAATGTTCAATACTCACAGTCATGATATTTCTGAAAAATCCAATGCTGAAGTTTCTGGATCTTTGTTAATTACTTATTTACTGTATTTCACCCCACTTTTCAGAGGATTGTCTCCCAAAAAAGGCTTGTGTCATTTTTTTAGAGAGAGAAAGATAGGCACTGACAATCAGGCTAACAATGACATGCAGGAAAAAAGAGAGAAGATGGGAAGAGAGCATTTCTATAGGTGGTGAGTTATGAATGGGTGTTTATATGCAGTTGGGGTCAGGCTGATCTTCCCTTGTTGGCATTTTTGCCAGCATAGCAGTTGGCTCTTTTCTTTTCCCCAATGGAGGCCCTTTCCCCTTTGCTTCTGCAATCCCAGATGCAATGAAATACAATTGGACATCAGCATTAAAATATCAGTAATTATTTACACATTTGTACCTTTGCCTTGCAACAAATGGTCCCGCCCCATTATTCATAAAGAGACATTGATCAGAAATGGCACATAAGTAGAAACTTAGTATTTTCCAATTAGCCATATTTCCTTTCGTTCTAGCCATATATTGCCATAAATACATTGTATATGAAGAACAGTCATTGCATTTTGGGTCTCATTTGCACACATCTGTACCATATCTAGGAGCTGCTTGTCTCAGAAAGAGATCTATTGTCATCTACTGGGGGAAATAACAACAGAGATTTGTGGAACTACCTGGAAGACTGTTTGGATCCAGATTTAGGCACTGAGTAGACCCATTGAAACCAATGGGATTGAAGTTAGTTGTAACTATTCGGCTCTATTAATTCCAGTACGTTTACTCTAAGCTTGACTAAGTTTGGGTGCAAGTTTAATGATTTACTTAAGGCATTTGTTTTTGTACAGATATGTTGCTAGGCTAAACTGGCAGGTCTATACAGATGCTTTGGGAGAGAGGTAGAGGTTGTAAACAATGAGATTAGCGGAAACCAGAAAAAGTACAGCCTGTGACAATTACATTAAGTGTAATTGTCACAGTCTGTACTTTTTGTGCTTACCTGTAACCTCACTTTTTGTGTTTGCCTTTAACCTCACTATAACCTCAATTCCTTCTCCGCTCCTCCCCCTGCTGCCCACCCAGCCAATTTAGGATAATTTAGGATAATGCATCTGCTGAAGTGGGCTCTGGTCCACAAAAGCTTATGCCATAATGCATTTGTTAGTCTTTAAGTTGCCGTTAGACATTCTGTTGGGTTTGTAGCAGCAAAGTAACACAGCCTTCCCCTCCTGGAAATCCTACTGGAAAGGTGATCAAGTGTGCTTGGGTGTGGACCTGAGACAAAGGTTTCACTAACAAGGTTGTGTGTGGTTTTTTGGGGGGGGGTGGGTTGTTCAAAAATCTTGTTCTGCTAATGTGAATCTGGAGGGATTTTATGCATAGTGGAGAGTATTTGCTGTCTGTCGTTTTTCCTGTTTAATAGCCATTCTTAGTCTTAGCATTGGGGAGAAGGAACTTCATAGCACCATCCTGTACATACCTACTCTGAAGTAAGTCCCATTGTGTTCAGTCTAGTTTACTTCCAGGTAAGTGGGAAGTGGATTACATGTTTGCAGAGAAATACATAGGATCTGGTCTCTTATTTCCTCCTCTCCCCATTTAGTTCTTGACGCAGTGTAACTCGCATTGTCTGTGCCAAATCGGTGACCAGACAGGCATACACAGACACTCATCACACCAGCAAATTTATAACTGTAAAATGTTATAAGAGCAGTCATGACTGTTATTTGCCTCTGTTGTTGCTGGATGATCCATGACCAGTCTTACATTTCAGAGACAAAATGAGGTTAACGCTTCTGTATGATCCTAGATGTGATAGTTGCAGCATCCCTCTGATTCTTTTTATAAACATGTAATTCTGGTAATTAATGGAGATGTCCTGCCCCTCTTTATTCACTTGCCATTAATGTCCCCTAATGACTCTCCTTCTGTTTCCTTGACAGAATTCTTCCTTGTGGATATAGTATTGTGAATCTGGGGTTTTTACCATAGGGCTAATTTAAATGTGATGTGGGAGTTTGTGAGCAGCATTTACCACATTTAAAATGTACCATCAGGCCCTGGACTGCCCTCTATGCTCACTGCTGAATTCACCTGAATTGGAAGGATTGTAAGAGAGCTTCCTGTTCTACCTGAGCTTTGCTTGAGCAGCAAGGTCTCTGGCTTGCTCCTTAACCCCACTTCCAGGTTGATCCTCTGCCTCTGACTTCAGTCTAAGCTTGATCCTTGACTCTTGCCACCTAGCTTCCCCTACAATTATGACTTCTCCTTGGTCCTGACTGGCTTGCTGGCCTCATGGCTCCTGGTTCCTAGCTGCTGGCTCGCCTTAGACCCACCTGGCACTGTTGTTGTTGTTTAGTCGTTTAGTCGTGTCCGACTCTTCGTGACCCCATGGACCAGAGCACGCCAGGCACTCCTGTCTTCCACTGCCTCCCGCAGTTTGGTCAAACTCATGCTGGTAGCTTTGAGAACACTGTCCAACCATCTCGTCCTCTGTCGTCCCCTTCTCCTTGTGCCCTCCATCTTTCCCAACATCAGGGTCTTTTCCAGGGATTCTTCTCTTCTCATGAGGTGGCCAAAATATTGGAGTCTCAGCTTCAGGATCTGTCCTTCCAGTGAGCACTCAGGGCTGATTTCCTTCAGAATAGAGGTTTGATCTTCTTGCAGTCCATGGGACTCTCAAGAGTCTCCTCCAGCACCATAATTCAAAAGCAATTCTTCGGCAGTCAGCCTTCTTTATGGTCCAGCTCTCACTGGACCAGCCTGGACTCTCACTGGACCAGCTCTCCATCCTGGCACTAGGAAGGCGAAATTAGAGCTCCCCCCAATGTTGTCCCCGTCCCCCAGATTAAAACTGTGTATGTTTGCCATAAGGAGCAAGACATTCAGGTACCCGTATTTTGATAACCAACTTTCCTCCGACAACTGTCAACCCTGTTCTTAGGGAACTGCCATAGTAAATTAGCCAAAAGCTACTACAGAGATACCAGCATTTTCAAAAGGGGTCCATGGCTTGGCTTTTGAAAAACAAGGGCCTGCAGTACTTAGCTAACTGGGAACCACAAGTATGTGCTGTAGTGATTCTATGGTTTCTAAAATATAAGCTGAACTTTGCTATGGAAAGCAATAGCTATTATTATTATTATTATTTATTTCAGTTACGAGAATGAACCTGTGTTTCCAGATCAAGAGCATTGTGGGGTTTTTATTAATTCTGGATTTTCAGCAAGCCGGGACAAAGGTAGTAAACAAATACATTGTCACTTTTGTTGAAGCCCAAGGGCAGGGAATTTTTTGTCCATTTGAGGGTCACATTGTTGTGGGGGACCTTCTGGGACTGGAGCCAGATGCAAAAGCAGGTAGAGCAAAGGATGTGGCTCTTCGCCAGGTAAGCAGGAGGCATTACCATGGTTCAGGGACACATTCCAGCAAGGTGGAGGCACTTGAGGAGGGTGTGGAACAGGCCTGGGGAAGGGGGTGGTCTGGGAAGAGGGGATGTGTCTTAGGGAGGGTGAGATAGAGTGGGATAGAGAGGCCTGGAGGACCACAGCTGATCCCCGATCCAGAGATTTCCCCACCCCAGGTTGAAGCAGAAAAACCAAATATTGACGCTTTACTTCTTTGACTGGGCCTCCCTTTTACTGTCTGGCTGCGATGCCTCTGGCAGTATGGAAACAGCAGAGAATGGATCAGAGGAAATGTGGCAGAAGGAGTTTATTCTGAATGCCAGTCTTCGATAAAGAAGACTGCCTCACAAGTTACCTAACTGGAGTGGAAATAACTTCTTTTCATCTGGAAATACCCCTTTAAAAACTCAGTTTGCCGGCTGTCCTCCAGGTGAAACTGCTAGAGCAACAATCCCTAGCCTGATCCCCTCCAGCTGTTGAACTACAGCTTCCTGGCCATTGGCTGTGCTGCTGAAAATTTGAGTCCAACATCACCTGGAGGGCCACAGATTGGGGAAGGCTGAGCTGAGAGAGAGAGAGAGAGAGAGAGAGAGAGGAGAGCAGTGCAGTCCTGTGGCAAAAAGGTGCAAGGGAGTTGCAGATTTCCACCTTTTTGCAAAATGAAAGACAGCACTGGTGTAAGGTCTGCTTATCTCAAATATAAACTTTTGTACAGCAGTCGGGGGGGTTGGGGGGGAGATGTTTTTGCATGAAGACACAGGAATGGTTTTTAACTTTGTACATAAGTAAAATTAGAAAATTCTGTTTTTACAACCGTAGTGTTTCCAGCGGTCTAATATAAACATAATTTGATCTCTGCAGGCAGAACCACGACGGGCAGTTCAAGGTAGGTGTTTTGTTGTTGTTGTTGTTCATATTTTAATGATCATTAACCTTATTTTCATACAATGTGGGGGCACATCCCTGTTTGATAAAGTGTGTGACTGGGGCCTTGATTCACAATAGCTAATAATAATAATAAATTTATTATTTATACCCCAGCCATCTGGCTGAGTTTCCCCAGCCACTCTGGGTGGCTTCCAATCGAGTGTTAAAAACAATACAGCATTAAATATCAAAAACTTCCCTAAACAGGGCTGCCTTCAGATGTCATATAAAAGAAACTGAATGGAGAGTCATATAATTGTTTGTAGAGTTGGGAAGGGACCCCAGGAGTCATCTAGCCTAACCCCTGCAATGCAGAGCCTCTTTATTTCCTGTAACCAGTTTTAAGAGGAAGCTAAGTGGTGAAAACACAGGAGACTTTGGTTATTGCGAAAAACAGGGCAAGATGTGACATAGTGGGGGGCAGGATTGTTTGTTTTTTAACTAAGTCTTATATAGTGTTTTGGTGGTTTTGATGGCCTTTGCAAGCATTGGCTGCTAGAGATCTTATTCCTTGATGTACACTTCAGTCAGAAAAGCGGCTGATAGCAGAGGTAATAAGGAAGGAAAAGAGCTGGAGAATGATTTCTTACTCTTCTCTCCATGTACTGCTGCAGATGAGTCACATTTCATTAACAGCACTTAATGGAAGCTATTCCTATGTGCTGCATCACTCTGAAATTAAGTGCCGCTGTTTGATCCTTCAAGGACCAGGGAGGAGATTCACACAGGCTGTGTCAGGGTGTAAGACAAAATATGGCCAATTCACAAAATTCCTGGTTCAGATTTTTGCTTAAGTATCGTCAGCCTTAAGAAAACAAGATGGATCGTTTGGGCCTGTGATCTTATCCGAGCTAGATACAGTTACAGCTGAAAAACTAGGAGCAAGAGGAGGCTACGACACTGGTCTCTCACACTTTAAATCTTATTTGGGTGTTCACTGGAAAACCCATGGAGGAAGAATTGGGTCCACACATGCTATCTCAGCCTCCAGTGTCTCCATCTCTGCCAGCTTCATCCCTAAACTTTGCATCTTTAACAGGAAGGTCTGGCAGGAGATTCTGCACACATTGGCTGAATATATTTCTAACTAAGAAACCTACACTATCGGGGAAGAGTTTTTGGAAGTTCAGTTGAATGCATGAATTCCCAAGTTTCTGAAACAAATCATGCTTGGCTCATAATACCCCAGAATATACCAGAATAGGTAATTATATATTTGGATGCAATTAGTAATTACTTTTTGCCATTTGCTTCACCTCACTTCCCTCAAGCACAGCTAGGGATGGGGAAGGATTTATCTTCAGTTCACATATAAAGATGAACCACAATTTCGAAAACAACAGAGGAACTGAGACACATCCAGCCTTTGAAAATTGCACTCCATTAGTTTTGCAGTGCCTAGTAATTTGTGCAAAAATGCATACACTAAGGTTCAGTGTGCATAAAAGCATGTATTAAATGGATTGACTAAAATGTATGTATTAGGCAAAACAGCATATCAGTGTGCATACTGGGAGAAATTAACACTTAAACGTTGGTGCATTTTCATAAGGATTTTTTAAAAAGAAATTTTGTTAGTTGATATAGAAATGTAGAGAACTGAACTCAAGATGGGAAGAAACCCCGAGAAACTGAAACTGACAGATTTATATATCCCTAAGCCTAGCCACCCACTTCCCTTGACTCTCATCAGGTACTACTGAACTTTGCCCTTATTCCATCAGGTTCCGCCTTATTACCAGCCGGCTTCTGCCGTTAATTCCAGGGCTCCATTTTGCTGTTCACTCATTCTGAGCCGCAGGAGTCTCATCAGCCTTGCTTATTCTTTCCATTACAGGACCTGACTGCACAGCAATATTTGCTGCCAATGCATCTCTCCCCAGCGGAGTTTACAGGATCAAACCAAAGCATTTTCATAAGTCTTTTGAGGTAAGGTATGGTTCTACAATTACATTCTGAGCCGCAGGTTCCATTTATGATGAAGTGTTATTGAGAGCACCCGTTTTTACAAACGCTTTGTCTTCTGAACACTTGCATGATCTGGAGGTCTGGACCTGTATACTGATGGCACACAGCTCTACCTCTTACTTCCATAATCTGATCCCGGAGAGGCATTGGAAACTTGAACTAATGTCTGGAACTGGTATTGGCAGGGGGGAAGGAGAACTTAATTCAGTCAATTGAGAGAACTGGCAGGTGATGTACAACCTGCCTCCAAACTTCCTCTGAAAGGTCAAGTGTGCAGCTTAGGTGTACATCTGGAACCACCATTGTCCTTGAATATTCAAGTTGTGCTTGTGGCCATATTTTATAATTTTCATCTGGTTTGCCAGGTCTGGCCATCCCTGGTGAAGGCAATTCTGACTCGTACCCTAATTGCATCCAAGTTGGTTACAATGTTCTTTCCATAGGGGTGTCTTTAAAGACATTTTGGAAACTCCAGTTGGTTCAAAATACAGTCATAAGATTGTTGGTTAGTGCAGCATGGCTGAATCATATTACACTGACCCAACACCAGGTTCACTGGTTACCTATTGGTTTCTGGCTTCAGATTAACCTGAAAAGTCCTAAACAGCCTCAGGTTACCTTAAGGCCTGCCTTTGTACATACAGGTGAGTCCTGGACTCCTGTTGTCTCTGGTCAGACTTTGCAGGAGTTTTGATGGGCGAGTGCCAGGATGGTGGTGCCACAGCTCACGCACTCCTAAGGAAAGCCATCTGGCTGCCTTTGCCCACTTTTGATAGTCAATTGTGTTTAGGATCCTGTAATTCAGATTGGTTACCTACCAACGTAAATTTCTAGGTATTCTGTGAAAAGAGATATGATGGTGGATGGACTATTATCCAGCGACGCGATGGACAAGGGGTGTATGGTGGACCGGAGAACTTTCGGAGATGGATGTCTGAATACGAAAAAGGATTTGGCCATGTTGAATGTAAGTAAATTATTCCCCTCAACTAAAATCTTTTGATCTGTGGACTTACTTTTAGACATCACAATATGTGCACAAATGGATCTTATTGATTGACTTCAACAACCAACCTACATGTGCAGCATTTCTCAAAGGTCTCAGGCAGAGGTCTTTTGCCCCATCCCATTTTGCCACCTAATTATATTCAAGAGGTGGCAAGGATTGAACCTGGGACCTTCCACATTCAAAAGCCTCCTTTCCCATGTACACACAAGCAGAAAATAAATGTAAAGGTACACCTGACCGTTAGGTCCAGTCGTGGACGACTCTGGGGTTGTAGCACTCATCTCGCTTTACAGGCTGAGCGAGCTGGCATTTATCCGCAGACAGTTTTTCTGGTCATGTGGCCAGCATGACTAAGCCGCTACTGGCGAACCAGAGCAGCGCATGGAAACGCCGTTTACCTTCCCGCCAGAGCGGTACCTATTTATCTACTTGCACTTTGATGTGCTTTCGAACTGCTAGGTTGGCAGGAGCTGGGACTGAACAACGGGAGCTCACCCCATTGCGGGGATTTGAACTGCCGACCTTCCAATAGAAAAGCCCTAGGCTCTGTGGTTTAGACCACAGCGCCACCCGCGTCCCTAAGTAGAAAGTAGGAAGCTGAAAACTGTTGTGGCTCTCAAAACTGCAGGTGTTTATTTCCTTGCATTCAAGATGATGTACAGTTGGCGATGGATACATGAAAACACAACTTTATATTTTCCAGTTGAACATTGGCTAGGGCTTGTCTACATTCATGCTCTGACCCACCAGAGAGACAAAAAATGCGAGCTCCGAGTGGACATGAGAAACTGTGAAGGAAAGAAAGGCTATGCTGTATACAAGACCTTCGAAATTGGCAACGAAGATGAAAAATACCGCCTTTCTTTGGGACAATACAGAGGGAATGTGGGTAAGAGATTCAGTGATGGTGTGTGCAATGACTCCCATGTTTACCAGTTTAGCATCTCTCAAAATCGGGTCCAGAACCAAGTAAGCTGGAAAACAAAGACATTATTGGTAGGTTGCACCCCTGGAATAAAATTCTGATTTTACTGAAGCAGCTTCAGGCAGGATTAACCTTCCAGAGCCATTGTAGCCACTTAGAGGCACTCTGGCCTGGTAGCAATGCATTCATGGTTTTAAATAAATACAGCTGCCTTTAGATAGGTGTGTAGTGGCTGGATATAAGCATAATTTTAGCAATAAGTCGAAAGAGGTATCGGTACATTTTGCAATTGAAAATAATTTTAATACAAAGGAAAGGGGAAATGTACACGCAACTCATATATGGTCCTTACCCAACTGCACTTTCAAAATTGATTTTGATCCAGGGGATGCCTCTTCTAATGGGAGAGGTAATTTTTGCTGATTCTCCCTCCCCCTAGCACCCCCTAGAAAAACAGCTTACATGATCTGGGGAACCCCCTCCCCAGGACACAGTGTAAAATGGAGGGTCTGCAGGGCAAAAAGGGAAATCGCTCTGAAAATCATCTTCTGGATCAAAATACTTAAATGAGTGCAATGGTCCCAGTTGGGTTCTATCTGTTCATAGATTTTATATTTGGTAAAAAATAAGAATTATACAATTATTTTAAAGGGGGGAGAACAAAGAGTGTGGGTATACAGTATCGCGAAGGTGACTGTTCCAGTTGCTTCCATTTAGATGCTACACAGGTTCTGGCAGTTGATAAGGGACACCTTACCACTTCTACGCCTTCAGTTCATGTGCGGGAAGCTTTTGGTCCTTTAAATGTTGCTTCCCTATATCTCTCATCAACCTTTAATAACGATGCTTGCTTGACCTAATGAGCCTTGTAGTTCAGTAACTTCTGAAGGACTGAAGGCTCCCCACACTTGCTTCAGCCCATACTACTCTTGTTGCTTTTCTTCAGATAACCAAACAATACAAATTTAGGGCTGCGTTGGGACGCGGATGGTGCTGTGGGTTAAACCACAGAGCCTAGGACTTGCCAATCAGAAAGTCGGCGGTTCGAATCCCCGCAACGGGGTGAGCTCCCGTTGTTGGGTCCCTGCTCCTGCCAACCTAGCAGTTCGAAAGCACGTCAAAGTGCAAGTAGATAAATAGGTATCGCTCCAGTGGGAAGGTAAACGGCGTTTCCGTGCGCTGCTCTGGTTCGCCAGAAGCGGCTTAGTCATGCTGGCCACATGACCCGGAAGCTGTACACCGGCTCCCTCGGCCAATAAAGTGAGATGAGTGTCGCAACCCCAGAGTCGGTCACGACTGGACCTAATGGTCAGGGGTCCCTTTACCTTTACCTTGAAGCAAACACCTGGTAATTTGATTCATACTATATTTTGCAAGGGCATTTTAGTTACCATAAGGCAGTTTCAGAGCCAAGTGGAGAATGCCAGCTGCTCTAGACTGACACCTCCTAATCACAGCGTGGTTAAGATTGTAAAAAGGTGTGTTAAATCACCAAGGAGTTCAATACAATTTGTAAAAGCTTCAAGAACAGCCTGCTGTTCTTTTAAAAATGTGTGTATTTGTTTTGGTGTGTTGTCATGTTGACATCCCCAGGGTTATGGCAGTTAGAATTTGATTTTACCAAAAATATAAAAGCAGAAGTACTGTGGACAACGCTTGAAGTAAAACAAATTATAGCAGTAAGCCAATAAGAATTTGCCTCTCTTTGCCCCAAATGCCCTGATGCAGGCAATTAATGAGACTAAAATTTAGGGGTTTTTTTCTTCGTTTAGGAGATGCATTCAGAGGGCGTGAACCCTCTGAGAATCAAGATGGCAATTTCTTCAGTGCGGTTGATAGTGACAATGATGACTGTGGCCCGTGTTTTGTGGACGATGAGGCATTTGACAGCTGCGCTGGCGAGCTCTACGGTTCTGGGTGGTGGTTCAGTAACTGCGGCATGGCGGATCTCAACGGGATGTGGCATCCCAAAGACAGCTGTAGAGGTTGGGTATCTGGTGTGTACTGGAAAACATGGAATAATATTGATTCACTGCTATTTAGTGAACTCAAGATAAAATGTACTTAGCTGTAACAATGTCAGACTCTCCAGCCTGAGATGGCTTGGGAGTTCGTTTCCCTTTCTGCAGCAGTTTTAGTACTAAACCATCCCTGTGTTACTATGAATGTCAACCGCTTAGTTGCAAATCACTGTGTATGCAACATATAATCAAGTGGCAAGTCTGACTGATCTAAGAAATGAAGCTTCTGCAATTGATTGTTGAAGTCTTTCTAGTTTTTCAGTAGACGTAGTCCCCCCTTCCCCTCCCTTTTTGCCAAAACCATTTCAGTAATAAGGAACATATATTTTAGTGTAGTCATAATCCTAGATATACTTCTACTGTCCCCTGTAGAACAAATTAGCTAGGAACACACCCATATTTCCATCAAACCCCAATGCAAAGAGAGGATGAAAAAGAGGGAAGTAAAATTAAAGACTTTGCTTAGTAACAGGCAAGACAGTAGAGATGTGTCACCTGTGCCTTAGCAGTGCAACAGCTCCCCACCAGTTAATTTCTCTCTTTGATTATTCCCCAAATAGTTGCACCAAATTTCAGTGTTTATGGAATTTCCCCTCCTGGCAAAAACCAGCCGTTTTCTGTGCTGCTCGGATGAACATCTCGCTCCCCCACCATTTTCTTCCTGGGCAAAAGAATTGCACACAAGAACCAAGCTAGTTTTTTGTGTGTTTTGTAAGTGGGTAGGGGTGTTTATTACTGTTGCTTGATATCTGCTCAGCTTTGTATGCTTTGCCCAGCTGAATGGAGGCCGCAAAAACCTTACCCTACTGTCCTAGAGAGAATAAAAGTGTGCTGTTACCAAAGCTAGAATTTAGAATTTGGGTTTTACAACTAAATGGGCTGGAGGAATTTAGGAGACAATGTCATTAACTCTGATTGCTGTTGTCAATGCAATGATTAGTGCATTCCATTAAACCATGAATTGGTTTATGCAATGCAATTTATATCACATTCCTTTGTTGCTTTATTTCCTTCAATTTTCAGAATATGCCATTTGCTTTTTTTCAGATTTCATAAGGCCGTTAAGCTTTGTACACCAATAAACCGATTGATTCATTCCAGTTATAACCTTGAGTCTGTGGCCATCACTAGCTGTGCTTTACTTCCTGTTCCACTGGGTTGCTGCTCTTATTCTCAATCTGCTTTCTGAGCGTGATGTTAGTAATACACACTGCTGACGACCAAGTGGTAGGTTTCTGCTTTGCTTTTTATTTCTTACACATTTACATGAGAAGATTTCACAATGCTACTAGGAAAAATATACACATTAACAAATTTACACTAATGCACATATTGCTATATCGGCACTTGGCAGCATGCTTTGCAGCACAGAGGAGAATAAAAACTTCTACCATGCTAAGCAGGGCGGAATGACGTTATCTTCCTAGTTATGATGATATTTTCCATGGATCCCGTTCTATCCTTCAATTGTCTTTGATAAACATGCTTTTCTTTACAGAAGCATCTTGACACTGGCAGCTTTCAGTGTGCCAGTTAATGAAAACACGTAGCTGAGTCTTTTCTATCACTGGTTTGCGATGTATTTTAAGAAAGCTCAGTTGTCTTTGTAGTAGTTATTAAAGTTGATTCGCAACAGGAAATCTTCCAGGTGAGGCTGGTACCCCCTGTTTACAAGCTTAGTTACTACTGTAAGAAGAGAAAATAAAACACTTGTTTAATATGGCAAGAGATATACAGATCGGTCAGCCTCAAATCTCTGTCCCTCTGATATTCCTCTCTTAACAGTGTGCACAAGCTCAATGATATTTGTCCTAGCAGAGGTTTCATTTCAATTGAGCCTATTCGTTTTTACAGGTTCCAACCAAGAACACTTTAGGCATCTGCTCTCTCTTTTATCATAAATATTATTTCACTTGCCCATGCTAACAAACTCAATTAAGCACAGTACTCTACAGATTTCGCTTACAACTGCTGGAAGGTCTGTTGAGCACACCAGATTCTGAGCAAACATACGTAGGACTGAAAGCAGAACGCCAAGTGGAAGGACTATAGCAGAGCACATCCTCTACATGCCAACAGGCCAAGGTTCAATCTCTGGCATCCAGGAAGCTAGCGATGTTAAAGATCTGTGTCTGCAATTCTGGACAGTACTGCCAGCCAGAGGAGACAAATACTGGGCAAGATGGACAAGTAGCCTGACCCCAATCTAAGGTAACCTATGTTATCTTCTATAGGTGCAGCTCTTCCTGTTGAAGATCATGCAAGCTTTACACAATGGCCTGCTTCAGACATGACATTGATCCTGCTGGTCAGAGCTGACAGGAATTGCAGTCAAACAACATCTGAAGCATATTGGGTTGGGGAGGGCTGGTTTAAAATAATGGGAACACAGTCACGACTAGGACTGGGCATGAAATATCACCAGTTAACCATCACAATATAGTGATGTATCACGATGTCTGAAATAACACTGGAAAAGGCTGAGAAAGTGGCTGGGCTGTGGAGGGAGAAGCAACCAAGAGAAAGGGAAGGAAGCTGCCCACTTGCTTGGGCAAAGGAGCTCCTGCCCACTCCCCACCTCCCTCTGCAGCCCAGCCCCAGCAGAGGAAACATGAGAAGTTGTTCCTTTTGCACGTTTGTCTTTGCCAGTGCAAGTGCCTCTCTCCTCCTGGGCCCACCCTGCTTGCTTGGGCAAAGGCAAGCATGCAGGCAGGTAATTTAAGCTGGCAAGACATTGCAGCTTGCCAGCCGCCAGCATGTGCTGTGCTGGTTGGTGGCCAGGGAGCCGCAATGTATTTGCTAGCTCAGAAAGTGTGAAACCAGTATTTTGATCTGAACTTCACACTGGTTTCAGATGATGAACTGAAATATCACCCGGCTCATGTCCTGTTGCCCCATCCTAGACCTTGAAAACTCAGAAAAGCAGAAGAAAGCTTTTCCTGAGTCTCTGCACTAAGCAAACTTGCCAAGAAACACTAAGACTTCCCAGCTGTCCTGTGCAGAGGATGTTTTTATTTCCAAACTGAGTATAAACACATCTTTGCAATACCCCAAAATTGGGGAAACTGTGCCCCTCCGCCAGAAGTTGCTAGACTACAACTTCCATCATCCCTTACCATCGGCCATGCTATCAGAGGCTGATGGGGAGTTTAGGGACAGCCCCCAGGTTCCCATCCTTGCAACAACAGAAGTCTTACCGTTGAATAAGAAATGGGAGTAGTACTTGAACGTGTTATAAGACTGCTGCATTAAGCCAAAGTTGGGATGAACAGCCATTTGTTTGCTGGTATCGAAACTCCACGGCTGAGAGATTAACTGGCTACGGAACTTTAAAATGAGGCTGAAGATGCTGTGAATAATGTTCATTACAGGGGCTGCCTTTTCAGTCAACAATCCTCTGTCAAAAGAAAAGAGATGGTTTTGATATTAAGTTAGCAAGCAGCAATACTTTTCATCTGCAGCAATGTTTAGGAGCATCTTAAAAAACATGCCTGCTGAGGTTTGATTGCAGATGGAATTTTTGAATTGTTTCGGATAGGAAAGACAACATGCCAGTTATATAGTGAATTTGTGTCCTTTGTATCTTCTTACCTTTCAGTACTAGGATATAGTTATCCTAAATAACATTTTGATGGACTAGATGCAGCCAGGTACTATATAGCATTTACTAAGGCTTAGCTTGTTTCAGATTGCTACTGCAAGTCAGAGATGCATTTGCCCAGGGGGTGGGCCTGGCCTATATATCGCCTACGACCGGTATTAGGGGAAGATTGCAATGACAGATTCACTCAGTAGTATATCGCTGGTGAAACTGCTGCCTCCTGAGTCCCTCTGCTACCAGCGCCCAGTGCATTGAGGGAAAAACAAGTGGCAGCTGGGTGCTGGGACTCATGAGCAATGGACGTTTCCCCAGCGATATACTGTTGAGTGAAACCGCAATCGCAGTCTGCCCTGATACCGCTGCAGAGGGAGAAACAAGCTGCAGTACAGCTTGTTCTTCCCTCTGCTTCAACAAGCCCAGCCCTGCTAATTGGGGGTGTGGCATTCCATCCACAGCAAATGCACAAAGACACGCACAGACACCCTCCATAAATGATCCATGCAGACCAGCTGTGGGTGTGGGTATCTTCTTCCTATTATTATTATTATTATTATTATTATTATTATTTTATTATTACCCAGCCCATCTGGCTGGGCTTCCCCAGCCACTCTGGGTGGCTTCCAACAAAATATTAAAATACAGTAGTCTATTAAACATTAAAAGCTTCCCTATCACCCTCTCCTCAAACGATTAGTCTGATAATTGGGGAGGGACAAGATGCATCCACACCAAGGGGCTGGGCTTAGAGGTTTAGGTCTTTCTGCTCTCCTCTGTGCTGTAATTTCCCTGCTTTGGCCCTCGGAGACATTTCTGTCTCCATCTTCCTGCTCCTTCCCACTTCACTTTTCCCTTCCTCAGTCCATAAGCTGGGTGAAGTGAGAGGCATTGTGCAGTCTGTGAGAGAATTGGTCTGGTTCTCTTTCTCAGATGTTGCAAATATGTTGAAAGCAAAGTGCAACTCTCCTTAGCCCTTTGCCCAAGTTCCCATATTTGCAATGCCTAAGTGGTGGGGCCTACTAGTTCCTCTCACTGTCTACATCACAGTGGCAGCAGAACTGGTGACAGAAGCCTATAAATGAAAAGACACGTCCACCCAACTTTCTAGTTACAGGAGAATTGTCCATCTCTACATGCAGACAAGGGAAGGCAAATTGCAACGCTATGTTAAAGAATCGTCTTACCGGAAGATGGCTTTGTTGAGGTAGTCAGCATGCGTTCTGTAGATTTCCTCCAAGTTCCCCACAGAAGACAGTTTATTTCCAAATTCACACCACGTCACGTGCAGGATTTGGTTGGCAATGTAGCCTTGAATAACTTTCACAAAGTGCTGCATTTCGTGCTTATAAAGCTGGAGCTGTCGAAACTGAACTGAGTTGGATGCATGCTTTACCAGAGCTGAAAAACCAAAATGACAAGGATGGCTCGCAGCGCCTGAAAAGGCGCATGCCAAAGCAGAAGCAGCCAAGGTGCAAAGCGGGCACAGTTTTTACTAACAAATTTTGTGAAGAGCCACAAAAATATGTTGGGATCACAGTAGCAGGTGGCCTATGGGGGCAGTCAGTAAATGTTTTAAGTTACTTTGGGGGGGGGGAATCTAAACTCTTCTTAAAATAGAAAAATCTCTGAGGCGTCTTGCAAGGGCACAAAACACTTAGCATGGCATCACAGCAGGTGACCCACAGGAGCTGTCAGATTTTTTAGCGTGGAGGTCATAGTATGTAGCCCACAGATTCACCATCCTGGTTTAATACGACTAGGACAGGTTTTCAATCATTTCTGAGTCCACGGCTCCCTTGACCAACTGCATTCTTTCTGTGGCAACCCTGTGGGGCTTAGGAGCCCAGTTACGTCACCCCTTGCCTGCAGAGCCAGCTGCCTCTCACCCTTTTTCGAACACCCTCCCTTATGGAGTATTCCCTCAGCCTCCTCACCCCTTGGAAGTCCTCTGGGCAGCTGCAGCCCCAGACCTGTGAGTCTCTCCCCCCCCCCCCCGCCCCAAAGGACCCCCTGGCCAGCCCCAGAGGTAATATTTGCCTGGCGAGCTCATAGCCAGGGCCACTGCAACAAACAGCTGTAGAAACCTTTGGGAGGCAGAGATGTGAGGAGGGACAGAGGCCAGTGTTGCCCGCGGCACCCCTGACTATCATTCAAGGCACCCCAGAGTGCCACGGCACACTGGTTGAAAACCACTGTACTACGAGACCAGATGAGAAATCAAATAGATCTTCCTTGAAACAGGCTTTCATAAACTCACCCTCAATCAATATATCCATTTGTCTTTTTGTGCTTGGTTATGTTTTTCCTCTTTACTATTTCAAATATGGTATAGTGCAATACCTACAATGTACTAGGTGAAGCAGGAGTTATTATTTCTTGCTATTGTATTAATATTTCACAGAACAAACTGGAATACCACCCTTGGAAGACAATTGGCCTTTCTTTTACTCCATTTGGATGAGAATCCAAAACCTCTTCTGTTGTGTCAAAGCAAACCGCTTTCACCTTCAGTTATATGGGTTTGCTGCTGAATAATCAAACTCTCATGGAATATACTGTATTTACTCAAGTCTAATGCACCATCGAATCTAATGCGCACCTTAATTTTCAGAATCTTGAAACCAAATAAAGTATTTGATGGCAAATGTGAATGTGCCATCGAATCTAATGCACACCTCAATTTTTACAACGTAATTGGGCCAAAAAAGGTGAGCATTAGATTCGAGTAAATAATGGTAGAAATAGGAAACACAGAGACTTTAGATTTAACTCACATCTGAATCTTCTGAACAGGTTAGCTTTCAAGCTAAATAAAAGCAGTCAGATTTTATCTTACCAGTTCGCTTTAAGTGGAACCAGACATCCTTAAGAGTCCACACCATATGCTTCAATTGCAGCAGGAAGGAGAAAATCTTGTTATATTTATTCATGCAGTTCTCAGTAATGACGATGTTCATGGGCCAGTCAACCTATAAAAAAACAAAAAAACCTATTATGACTGCATGCCTCCCGAGGCGTCAGAATATTCCGCTGCCTGTTTAAGATTAGGATTATGTCACAGTTAGCAGAACAGAATGCATTTCTAAGTAGCATCAGAGAACAAGCAGGGTCAATTAACTGCAACGCATATAGGGGAATCTTAAAATCCGGCTCACTTCTCAACTCTTGTGTGTCTTCTCACCTTATAGCGTAGTTCTAAGCAGTTTAGGGCATCGGGCGCATTGGGCTTGAACATCTCTGGAAGGTACTTCAGTGCAAATGAGAGATTGGAAGCCAAGTGAGTGTCCCCATGGAGACTATATTGCAGAGCCTTATTTAAAATGGAATTGAGGACTAGTGGGTTCAAAAGTTCGCCAGGTGTCTGTCCTGATCCAAGCTGAAATTAGAAAACACATTAGATACTGAGAATTTATTTGTCAGAATAACCTTTCCAAAGTAGATAATGGGATTTTTCTAAATGTTCCTACAAACACAGTTCAAGCCAGAAAGTCCCTTCTATTTAAAACGTCCAAGAAAGGTTGTTCAGGTTGTGATCATTGAAACTACTGCCAAATGCTACACAATCCCTATATTTAGTAGCATATAATATGATTTCCCCACATGCCGGCAACTAGATATATAGTCAAGAATCAGGCGTTTAAGGAAAAGCCTTTGCTACCTTTTCAAAAAGTAGATCGCTGAGTGACTGAGCAAACTCTCCATCTTCCATCAACAAAAAATGCCTTAGTGCTCCAAAATGCTTCTCAATATTTAGTTCCACAAAATAGTAGTCAACAATGGCTTTGTTCACAAGTGAAACACTGGGAACAAATGAAAACAAACACCAGTTACTTTTTTTAAAAAAGCAAATAAAAAGGTAAAACAGCATTTTAGCTTTATGTATAGGGTAAATTAAAAATGGCCAACGTTTTGATCCCCTACCCACAATCAAAATTATAGGCTCCCTCCAAGTAATCTACTTCTATTGGGCCGGTACCTTTTGGCAATCACTTGCAAAAAACACAGGATGCAGCAAGGATGTCAAGAAAATGCCCTTTGAAAGAAATCCCAGTTGCCCATTGTCACCTCTGTTCATTACACTTGCATGTAATTCTTTCTGCACTGTTCAAAATCTGTAACAGCTGCTATGTACTAACTAGAAGCTTTATGGTTTCTCATTCTAGAGCAGAACACCAAACCTTCACTATTAGGCCCTGTTCAATACTTCACTGGTGGTAGGTAGTGTTTGCACTGTGCATGGGGAGGAAGTGTGCAGAACCAAGCAGAGGCCGTCAAGGCTCTGAAATGGACAAGAGAAGTTTAAACCTCTACCACCTAGCAGATGGAAATTGCTCCCTTCCCTGCTCCATCAAGTGAATGATCTGCATCCCCATTAAGGCACAAGGCTAGGCTAGGCAGAGAAGTTCAGACCTTTTTGTCCAGTGTCCTGAAGGGCACGGAAATTCCGATGAGGAAGAAAGGGAGCACAAGACTCCCTATCCAGTCCAGCACCTTACATTCAGACTGCTCTGTCCCTTCTTGGCTCTGCATGCTTTTCACCACACTCTCTGAAATCTGACTTTAATTGCCACATTTTTTTTTTAATGGGACGAATCCATACTGAGCTCTCCCACCTGAAGAGCCATCAGTTTCAATGAAGGAAGCAAATCTCTATTCAGGTTCTTTGTGTGTATGACCCTGATTCTCCACTGAAAGAAATAGGATTATACATGGGGATCTTCATAATGGGTGAATGGCAGCAATGAGTTTGTAGTTTTTACTGTGTTTGTGTGGTCTGTGGAGTTTTGGCCAGCCCTAGAGGGTTGGTGAAGGGTCCATGAAGACCTCAGGTTCTCAGGTTGAAAAACATTCCCCCCCCCCCCATTACACATTCTGAAGTGAATGGACAGTGGATAAGAACTCTGAGGCACATCCATCCTGGAAAGGAAGAAATTTGCAGTTTAAAGATCTGCTAAAGAATGCCGTCCAATAAGAGATATCTGAACTATATACTGCTGAATCAGTTCACATTTCTTGTTGCAACAGTCACTGAATTGCTTACCTTACTAACCAAATAAAAGGAAAGAAGGTCAATGTATGTACTGGTGTGTTTCCCCATTAAGGAAAGAATATGACCAGCAATGCAAGCTATATTATTACTACAATGTTGACCGATCACTTCTGAATTTTACTTACTGAGAAACCAAAGGGGCAGTGATTGACCGTTTCATCAGTACTGGGAGTGATAAGAGCTCGCTCAGTTGTACAGCTGTTTCGTCTGTTGCTGACTGCGCTGATGGGTCCACAGGGAAGGTGTAGGATCTTGGTATCACATGATGCAGAAGATGGGAAACTGGAAGTTCTGCTGTGTTAGAGCATAGGTAAAAACAATGATTACTGTTTCTAAAGCACTTTCAAAACAAAATGCTATACAGCAAATAAAAATTAGAGGCACCCATTTCGGATTAGAGGCAACCATTTCGGCCAGTGAGCCCATTTCAAATTTCAAGGAAGTGCGGGTGGCAGTCACGGAGGGGGGGAGACACAGCAAAATACAAAAATAGTGTGTGGTAACAGCTGCTCCACGTTTCCCAAGATAACCTCATGCTTGGAAGTCACCCATGTCCTGCTGGTCGAACAATACTAATCTCCCTGGCGCACAACAATGCTGCTGTTGTTTAATAACAGGGAGCATTCCTTCCTCCATTGCAAGATAAAATACACAAGTTGGCCACACTTTCTCTCGCACACAGCACACTCACTTCACATATGCACAGCCACATATACATCTCTCTCACCACACATAGCTACGTACATACCTCCCCGCACTTCTTCACACACAGGGCCACACATACATCTCCCCTCGCTCTGCCCAAATATATCTGTCTCAAACACACTGTACACATTCAGAAGAGCCTCTCAATTGGCAAAAGAAGTGCCTGTCATTAAAAGAAATTCCAAAACTGTGAACAAAAATATATTTAAATGATGTTCCAAAAGAAAAGTCAGAGGGGCGTTTTAATATCCAGAGGCAGGGCATTTCAGAGGTAATTAATAATGAGGAAAGGGTACAAATGAATGCAATTTAGAGTTTAACCAAATGAGGTCTACAGAATCCTGCGCAAACGTGTGCCGCAACACTGCTGCAGTCTGGTACTTATTTGTACCTGGGAGAATCCGCGAAGGATTGACACAATCTCTGTGTGCCTTAATGATACCAAGTGTGCAAAGTCAGCATGATGGCACAATAAAAAAACCTTTCTGTCTAGAAGAACAGGTATAGAACAGCATATAAATTCAATTAATAAATAATGATAATGATGATGTTACCCATACCATGTGTGAGCAGCTTTTATCTGAGTGACTTGGATAAAGTTGAAATGTCCCCACAGCACAGGTGGGGGCCCGCTGTGTGAATCCCCATCATGGAATTGACATCCTCAAGAGACCCCAACCTACGTGGCTGGATCATTTAAATGTGACCCAAGTTGATTGCGGGAAAAAGACTCGCCAGAAACGTTTTTAGTGAATGACGCTCTAGACTACAAAATTCCACAAGCACTACTCTCCTTGAGGGGTAACAGGATATATGTGGTTCCATTCTCTTAATGCACCTCATGTTAGGAGTACTCACACATCAAATCGTAGCTGTCCTGGTATTTTTCAAGGCAATACTGATCAGATAAGGCTTTCACATAATCTTCCTCTTTCTTCCACTTGGCAATAGCGGTGCTTACGCCTTCTGAACTTTCAGATGTGCTGACTTCAGAGAGAGAAATCTGCTGAGTCATAAGAACCAATTCGGTCGATTTTTCAGGTTCCTCTACCTGATGAAAAAAAGTGGAATGGACATTGGAGAAAAGGAGGCTCATTTTTGATCCAGAAGGGTTTGCACTCTTGCTTAAGTACACTTATCGTTGCATCTTGGGTTTTCCTGAACCTTCAAGATTCTTGTCATTTAAGCAGACCTCCATAGTGTTGTTGCTTGTAATACGTATGTTAAAGGATATATGAGAAAATGGGCTAGAGTTATCCTCATCTTAAGCTTAATTTTTTCTCTCTGCCCTTTTCACTTTGATTTTAGCTAAGCGATCTGTCAAGTCGGTATCAGAATTTTTGCAAATTCCTAAAGTCAGAGGGCCCTGGGAGAATAAAACAGGGTTCAGATAAGGAATTCAGAGGGCACTTAGCTAATCAGCAAGTAAAAACAATAATACTTTCTGGTAATATTTTCTGTTTAGGATATAAATGAGTGAAGATAGGAAATAACATTGGGGAGAATTAAAGTAATTCATATTTGGGAGAATTAAAATAATTCAAAGGAACATCGTGCCCACTACTTCAGTAATTTTACTTGAGCGTCACAATGAGATTCATCTACTTAAGATTAGGGGGTTAGTAATTTGAAACTTAAGTTGCTGTTTCCTCACCTGTACATCCTGAGAAGGCGCTGTGGAGAGATCTTTGGCATCATCCATTATGACTGCTATATTAACCAAAATAGAGGGGACTTGTTACTGGAAGGAACTGAGAAACATGACAAATATTGTCTGGCCTTAATGAATATAAAGGCAGTGTGAAATGTATAGAGCCTCACAAGAAACACAAGCATTTCAAATACATGATTTAGTCTCCCACTCATGTTACCCAGCACCAATATAGTAATAATAAAAAACTATCAGGCTTTTCTTCTGTTTCATAATAGAATTTTGTCTGTTAATGGCAATGGTCTCTTGCATTTATGTGGATCTAGGTTTCCTTTGTAGAGAAAGCAGTATTTAGGAAACATGCACAGTTAATTCATTTCTGTTTTAAGTGCCCATTAAAATATAGTTAAAATAAAATAAAGTTAAAATAAAGTTTTTATTCAGTACAGTCATAACTTGGTTGTCGAACGCCTTGCGACTCAACCATTTTGGCTTCCAAACGCCGTAATCCCGGAAGTGAGATTACAGCATTTAATGCTGTAATGTTTTTAACACTTTATTGGAAGCCGCTCAGAGTGGCTGGGGAAACTCAGCCAGATGGGCGGGGTATAAATAATAAATTATTATTATTATTAAGTGAGTTCTGGTTTGCAAATTTTTTGGAACCCAAACATCCGACGCGGCTTCCAATCTAGTACAGGAAGCTCCTGCAGCCAATCGGAAGCTGTGCCTTGGTTTTCAAACATTTTCGGATATCGAACAAACTTCAGGAACGGATTCAGTTTGAAAACCAAGGTAGGCCTATAACCTGACCACAAACCCACTAAGGCCCAGATGTAAGCCCATTGACTTCCACTGAAGACAAAGAATCCTAATTGGTTCGTCTCGGCCTGAATAGACTTCTATTTTAGGGCTCTTAATAATGGAGGGGAGGGGGGAAAGTCTACCAAGTAATTCGTTCACTGATTGCCACTCACCCCCCTGTTCTTCTAGGCTTCTTTGTGGTTTTTCATCCAGGTTATCGCTTAGCACACAACCAGAAGGCATTGACTCTTGTCCTGTATCATGCTCTTTGATTGTAGGGAATTCTCCGTTATACAGGAATGTCTGAACTGTAGAGTCAGATGCAGGGCCAGAGACGGCTTTAAGATGAGGTATCGGATCGCTGAAAGTTGAAGGAGTCCACTCTCCTATTTGAATACTCGACTGCGAGGCATGGCCAAAGAGACTCCATCGAGGCACGGAAACCTCCGAATCAGAAACCATGTCTCCAATTTTAATGTGCGACTGAGAGGTGTGCCCGTGAATATTCCAGCGAGGTCGCGAGGACACAACATCAGACGTATTCTCCCCAACTCTGATATTAGCGTCCGACGCGTGGCCATGGATGTTCCAGCGAGGTCTAGCCGGCTCTATATTTGACACATACTCGCCAATCTTAATATTGGCATCCGAAGCATGGCCGTGGATATTCCACCTTGGCCTTGATGGCTCGAACTCCGAGGCATATTCCCCAACCTGAATATGAGCGGCAGAGACATGCCCGTGGATATTCCAGTGTGGGCGGCTAGGTTCGACCTCGGAAGCATACTGTCCAATTTTGATGTGTGAATCCGAGGAGTGGCCATGAGGGTTTGAATGCGGATGGGAGAGTTCAGCGTCAGGTACGTATTCCCCAATTTTAATATTTGCATCAGACGCATGGCCGTGAATGTTCCAGCGAGGTACCCTGTCCTCAACATCAAAGACGTTTTCTCCAGCTGCAACATGGCTGTGCGAGACCGAAGGCCTGAGAACAGTATTAAAGTCATACCCGTCGTATTCGGAGACTTGGGTACCGATTTCCCCTTCTGCTGCACCTTTCAGTGCAGACCTGTTTTCATCTGTCTGACCGTGCAAGGAAAGATCTGAACTGATATTCTGCAGGGCTTCATCCAACAAGTTGGTCTCTTGGGCACTGGGGACAACAAATGTTTCTTCCTGAGGCTTTGGTAAAAAATCTTCAAAATCCAGACCAAGTTCAGATACACTCTTTGGCAGAGTAGCTGCTTGCTCCGTATGGAGTACCTGAGATGCAGTTTCTGTTTCTTCGGACTCTGAATAATCATTAGACTGTATATTTGTTGCCTGCAGTAAGCCTGGGGATATCACTAGTTGAGATTCTGGGTCTCTGCCGATGTCCACACCATCAGGACACTCGGCCTCTGCAGAAGTTAACTGAAATGGAAAAAAGAAAGAAAATTAATTACTAGAACAGATATGCAACTCACTTATACAGCTGGGATATCTTCACCTTCATTATTTCATCCATAGTTTCCGAAACTACCTTTTAATAGTTTTATATCACTGTTTATTTTTTAAGCAGTTTAGGGTTATTATCATCTTCACCGAGCTTTTCAAATGCTCCAGTAGCTACTTCAATCACTATGGAAACAGTTGATATTTGCTTGCATAACCAGCTGTATTGTTCGGATATCGGGTGAAAACAAAGACCTCTGTCTGAAATGCTGGTTTCTACATTTTTTTTAAATTGCACAATCCATAACCCAACAGTGTAACACTTGCTCAAGAAAAAGAAGATAGGCATAGAGAACAAATGGCAGGCTATTCTGTACCTACTATTCACACTAACATGCAATATGGTCCTCAAAGCTCCCAATTTAAAACCAGAATAACAGGCCACTTTATAAACTCCCCTCCTTACAGGTATGACGGCAGTTCTACTGGGCTATAAAACAGGCACCCCCAAACTCAGCCCTCCAGATGTTTTGGGACTACAATTCCCATCATCCCTTACCACTGGCCCTGTTAGCTAGAGATGATGGGAGTTGTAGTCCCAAAACATCTGGAGGGCCGAGTTTGGCGATGCCTGCTCTAAAATGTGGGTCTTACTGTGCACACTGTGACATGCAATCTTACAAAGCACAGATCACAAAAAAGGAGGAAAGCAAAAACAAAGGGAAGTTCTAGGGGTGCCCAGAAATGACTAAATGGTGATCTAAACATCAATAAATCTGACACATATAGTACAAAATGCCAGAAGAACAGGGGGTGGTGAACCAGCAGTTCGAGGTGTTGCTGGACTACAACTCCCATCATCCCTCACCACTGGCTATGCAGGATGTTGCTGATGAGAATTGGAGTCCAACAACGTCTGGAGGGTCACATTATCCACTTTTACTATAAAATACAATGTTTTACTCAGCCAAATCTTAAAGGAACAACTCTACCTTTTACTCTAACCCAAAAGCTTTGTACCCTTGAATGGCTCTACAAAGGATATATGCAGACAATAGTCCCATATAGCTGGAGTTGAAAGGAAACAGGATTAAAGCTTGAGGAATAAACCTCAAAGAGTACGGGAGATAAAATAACTCTTTACCAAAAGACCCAGAAATAGTGCAAAAAAAGTTACAGACTTAAAAAACTGTTTTTGAGATAAATAATACAGCAGATGTCTCAAAAATGTTAATAATGGAATACAAGTAAAACCATTTTATGGGAGCAATTTATAGCGGCCTGTCTGAACAAAGAAATAATTAATAAAAGCATATATGAAAGAAATAGAGGAGTTAGAAAAGAAACATTAAAAAAGAAAACAAGATTAAAAGATGACTTTAAAAAAAATATATTAAAAAATGGTCACAAATACAGAGAAGATAGCTGAAGAGTTTATTACATAATATATTACTTTATTTAAATAATAAAACCTGAAAAAATGGGATACTTATGAATGAATGGATGAATGGGAAAGTAGTCCTTGCCACAGGTGAATCAAGAAGATGATGGTGTTTATGGAACACGAGTTTTCTTAAAGGAACACCAACCTGAATGCTGGAATCACTGACTGGCACAACTGCGGCGGAAGTCTGCTGACACCACCCTTCCCCAATGTCTGCTTTCCTCCTATACTTTCCACCTGGAAGTTTCTCAAGCATGTCCTACACATCAAATGGAAAAGATCAAAGATTTAGACATACCAATGCATACATAAATAACCACTGTCAATGTGCTTTCTAAAAAAAAGCAACAGCAGCAGCATTTAAGCTACCTCGGTACGCTTTTGATCTTCCATCAAAAATTTGAGACGGGCCGTTTCCAATTTGTGCCTCTGAATTTTCCATAGGGCTTTTCTCTCTCTACGGGCTGCCTCTTCGGAGAGTTTGCTATAGTGGTCAATCAGCTCTTGCCTAAGTGAAAAGAAAGCTAGAATAACTTCACCATGTAGTTTTACAGGATATATACCATGATAGAGCAGAGTACAACAGGAAGGCATTTAGATTACTTAGGCTACCATCCTGAGTAAAAATGTAGCTCACAAGCTCAAAATTTAGTGAGCTAGCAAGTAGGATAATTTATCAATGCATCATATAACATGTTGAAGTTCCTAAGCAACCAATGCTCACTGAAAAATAAATAATTCTAAACCTAATTATAAATTCTGGGGACGCAGGTGGCGCTGTGGGTTAAACCACAGAGCCTAGGACTTGCCGATCAGAAGGTCGGTGGTTCGAATCCCCGCAACGGGGTGAGCTCCCATTGCTCGGTCCCTGCTCCTGCCAACCTAGCAGTTCAAAAGCACGTCAAAGTGCAAGTAGATAAATAGGTACCGCTCCAGCGGGAAGGTAAACAGCGTTTCCGTGTGCTGCTCTGGTTCGCCAGAAGTGGCTTAGTCATGCTGGCCACATGACCCAGAAGCTGTACGCCGGCTCCCTCGGCCAATAAAGCGAGATGAGCGCCGCAACCCCAGAGTCGGTCACGCCTGGACCTAATGGTCAGGGGTCCCTTTACCTTTACCTTTAATTATAAATTAAACAGGTGAAAATTTGGGAGCTTTGTGTCTGTTGTGTTTTCAAATGATACATACACTGTGCTGTGCAGTCAGATATTTGTGCAAGCTTAATGCTGTTCTGTAACAGCTCAAACACAAGAAAAGCACCTTAAAGCTGTATAGTTTTGGCTGTTCACTAAATACCAATGGCTATAACGTACTCAAAGTTATACCATTTTTCATTCAGAACTAGCAGCACACAGTTGAGTCAATAACAGGGCTGAGTTTAGACTAGCAGGGCGGCAGCTCTCAGCTGACTTCCACATTGCTGCTGCATGGTGAGGTTGGCATGGTGCAGGCACATGAGCAGAGCCGATAAAAGTGTATCTACACTCGCAACCACCATATTGTTCCAACTCTGATATGCAGCAGCTGGGCTGCCAAGACAAAACAATGTAAAGACTCCTGGTACGACATACACAGCAGCTAGGCTGGCAGAGCATAAGGGGAAGTTTGTAGCTTATTAGCAAAACCTTCTTCCATTTTGAAAGATGAGAAACTGGACTATCCATTTTCCAGCTTGGAAGCTATTTTTGTAAACATACAACTGCTTGGTACAAAATTCTGAACTTGCAATTTTAACAGCCTTCCTTCCTTCCACACTTTTACCTTGCCCTTTTCTCCAATTCCTCTTCCAAAGCCTTCAGTCTTCTTTCCCTCTCTCTCAGTTCCCGAGCATAACTGAAATCATCATCAGTCTCCTCCTGTTTCAGAGCACGTCGGCGCTACATAAACATTTAAGAAAGCTTTAGAAACCACATTCCAAAAGCACACATTGTGCTCTGCATCTTTTTATCCAAGCATGTTCTAGATAAAGATTCTCTGTCTCTTAACGTTGCTAGCAGAAAACACACGTTGCAAATACCTCTTTATCTTTTTCAAATTGTTCTTTCAGTTTCTGAAACTGCTCACGCTTCTTTGCATCCAGCACCATTTTCTCTGATATTTGTTGATCTGAAACAAAAATTTAAGATGCAGCAATGTTAAAAAGAAATAAAGAAAACAGTCGCTGTGAAAAACCAACTGGACTGCAAAGACACCTGTAACTTACCAGTAAAGGCTTTTAGAGCTTTGGTAGCTGTTTCTCGAGCGTGGAAAATTAGCTCCTGTTTTTCAATTTCCATGCGCAAGTCCTAGGAAGCAATTTCACAGGATTTAATGTGGTTTTCAAGCATAACTCGGGTCAGTTCAACTTTATTAATAATCCACTAACCCTAAAACATTTGGATTTCATACAGTGGGGGGAAATAAACACAAAAATACAGAAAGGTCAATTTTCAGTACTATATATATATATATATATATATATATATATACACACACACACACACACACACACACACCCCAGCACAAGATTAAAAAAAACCAAACCCTAGCATCCATTATGTCAAAATTGCTTAGAAACCTTTATAGCTAGAACATAAATCACAACCAATTCATTTATCTGATGGTTCAGGACCCACTAAAGGCTCACAACCCAATCAATAGTGGAATGCAAAAGTATCATTTCTGCTATACAAACATATGATTAAAAATTGAGAAGCAGGTTCTCAAATGCATGTTTTGTTAATTGAAGGTTCTAGGTCATAAAAGATTGAAGACTACTGGTGTAAAAAGGCTGTACGCCACTCTGAGAAGGGTGTGATCAAAGAAGAAACAAGTCTGGTTCTGTCACCTCTATTAAAAAATACACAACTCTTTACTGACACACAGAGATATACAAGATTTGCATATGGAGTGCCATTAAGTCTTCCTTCCAAAAACAGCTGACGGGAGAACATTGAAGTGGATGAATATAAAGGCTTTCCTGTATTTGGGGACAAATCAAAAACCCAAAGCATGTAGTCAGGTGTGCAATTTCATGAGGGAAGAACAAGTTATCAGGTAAACAACTTAAAGAAACTATCGTACCTATAAATGCGGGGTCTTAACTGAAACAATTACAGTATTGTAATTTGATGGGTAAAATAAAGCTTGGCTTTTCATTCGTCTGGGCCTAAGATCTGCTGCGCCAGTAGCACCCTAATGCCTATGCCAAGGCAGCACGCTTTCTCACTTGTCCCAGTGAAATTAATGACATTTTCGAACACACATGCGCAAGGACCACACTGTTGTTTTCGATGCACCATACAAAGGCAGAGTCCACGTTCTGGGCAATGGCACTTTCCTGATACAAAAAAAGATTTATTTGGTTGAGTCAGTTTACCTTTTCCTCCTTGCTGATGGTACTATAGCGTGCGATTCTTTCCATTCGGCCCACGTACACTGCACAATCTCTCTCAATCTCTCTCAATTCGTCGAGGGAGAAGATGACAGAAATCCGAGGAACGGGGATGTCGGACCAGCAGATGTAGTGCTGCAAAATGTTTTAATGTTGTATTTTAATCTTGTTTTTAAGTTGTATTTCAATCAATTTGTTTTTATATTGGCTGTTAGCCGCCCTGAGCCCAGTCTTGGCTGGGTAGGGCGGGGTATAAATAAAATTAATTATTATTATTATCATTATTATTAAAGAGCAGCAGTAAACATCTGAAGAATGCAATCCAAGCTTTCATGCACTTTAGAACTGGAAACCTATTGGTAGGGTCTCGTTCAGTCTTAAGTCTGTTGTGGACTGGGGGTGGGAATCCTCATGACCTGGGCCTGGAACAAATGTGGCCCCCCTGGCCTCCCTAAATGGCCCTCAGGGATCTCCCCAGGCCACACCCCTCCCTATCCAGGCTACACTCTCTCCTCTAGTTCTGCTGCCTGACCAGAGAGATGTACTGTATGTGTAGAAATGCATGTGCGGCTGGCCCTAGTCAAATATAAGAGTAACATCACTTGTTCCATGTGCCACTGACATGGGTTCCCTGGAAGGGATTGTGGCCTTTGGGCTTAAAAGAGTTATCCGCCCTTGTGACAGTATTTATTATATTATTCCATTAACTGCTGGGCTGTGGGACTATAGTGACTGTTTCTGATGTTCTTTGTGGAACCTTTTGTCGTGAACACCTCCATGGGATATGCTTTGTCGTTTCTTTCGGATTGTTTCATTGTGAAAGGTTCGTCCGGTTAGTTTAGATCAAACATAAGGCAGCCAATTATGAAGTGAGGATTTTAAACTTACGTTCCACGATAACGTGACACGGAAGACAAGCAACATATTCATGATATGACAGAGAGCAAGCACAGAATGATTTGTGGTAAAAAAAAAAAATCAAATCATAATTAAGCCTATGAAGAGATGCTCTACTTGGAAGTCTATCTTTGCATGAAAAATGAGGGGGAAGCAAAGAATTCAGCTTTTTATTTAAATTAGCTGTCATTTAGTCTTCATTTTAAGAAACATTCTAAACTTAAAGATTCCTGTAATTGGGGGCGTGTGTGTAATTGGCCTGTTGCTTTTATTTTGATTATATATATCGTGGTTTTTATGTTGATCTTTTCTGTGGACCGCCCTGAGACCTCCTGGTATAGCGTGGTATATAAATTCAATAAATAATAATAATAATAATAATAGCTTGATCTTGGCCAATAACAGAATAATCTCGGTAGAAAGGTCCTATAATGCATTTGGGTGGGGCAGTGGCTTACAGTCTAGGAGCAAGGAATTTCTATGTATGAAATTAACCCAAAATATGGACGTGCTGCATGAATGTCATAGTTAGGGAAGGTGTTCTCAGCCAATCCGAGAGACTGCAAGGGGAGTCATAGTCTCTTCAGCTAAAACTGACTTTCCAAGGGTATATGACTTCAAATGTACTTGAAAACAATGCTTACTCCATGATTTTCAAGAGCAAGGGGTACTTACCCTGGGACAACACAACTTTAGCAAGTTTATGGTTTTCCCACAAATGTAGACATCATTAGCAATATGTTTCAAAAACACAGGCACACAGTCTTCTACTTCCTTGGAAATTAAAACGTACCCATGGGTCCAGTAGTGTTTGTCTAGAGATCCAAAAGAACAGAGAGGTCAGAAAGTGAGGCATATAAAGAGTACTTTGGTGTATTAAGTTTATTAACTCAATAAAATTAATAATAATAAAATTGTTGAACAGAACCCACTGATTTACTCTGCAATCACTCTATTTCATTTCAAGCAAAATCCACAACTTCATCCAGATGATGCACCTTGTGACTGGCATTAGGAATATGGTAGCGCTAGTGTCATTGATGTCTAGTGTCTTATGATATTGTTAGCTGTATAACCTCTGAGAATACAGTGGTAGCTTGGTTGAAGAACAGCTTAGTTTATGAACAACTTGGATTCAAAACGCTGCAAACCCAGAAGTAGGTGTTTTGGTTTGTGAACTTTGCCTTGGAAGCAGAACATGTTCCACTTCCTGTTGAGTGTGTTCCATTTGTAAATTGAGTCCCCTGCTGCTATGGGAAAGTCTTTACTTTAATGCTTTACTTTAAGAACAGACTTCCAGAACAGATTAATTTCGTAAACCAAGGTACCGCTGTATTTACTTAGCACTAGTTCTAAAAAGGTTTTCTTTGTTTCTCTTTGTTCTTAAGTCCACAAGCCAAGCCCACAAAACAAGAGTGCATGTGGTGAAAAGGGAAATAGGCACAATATACATACATGTTTTGAACACCACACACAGAAACAGCTAAATACCGTATTTTTCGCCCTATAAGACGCACTTTTTCCCCTCCAAAAATGAAGGGGAAATGTGTGTGCATCCTATGGGACGAATGCAGGCTTCAGGAGAGCCCCACCGCCAGCCCCACAAGCTCGGGGGACAGCGGGGAGGCGGAACGCCGCCATCCCGCTGTCCCCCGACTTGGTTAGAAGGCTGGCGGGGGGGAGAAGCCTGCTCCTCCCCGTCGCCAGCCCCGCAAACTCAGGGGACAGTGGGAGAGGCGCAGCGCGCCATCCCGCTGTCTCCCGACCTGGTTTGGAGGCTGGCAGAGGGCTTCCCCCTCCCCCAGCCCGCTGCTTGCAGCTTTGGCATCGCTCTGGGAGCTTGCGGGGCTGGAGGGGGAAAACCGAGCTTCCCCCTCCCCCAGAACGCTGCTTGCAGCTTTGGCATCGCTCTGGGAGCTTGCGGGGCTGGAGGGGGAAAACCGAGCTTCCCCCTCCCCCAGCCCCCAGAACGCTGCTTGCAGCTTCGGCATCGCTCTGGGAGCTTGCGGGGCTGCAGGGGGAAAACCGAGCTTCACCCTCCCCCAGCCCCCAGAACGCTGCTTGCAGCTTCGGCATCGCTCTGGGAGCTTGCGGGGCTGGAGGGGGAAAACCGAGCTTCCCCCTCCCGAGTTTGTGGGGCTGGCGACAGGGAGGAGCAGGCTTCTCCCCCCCCCCTCGCCAGCCTTCTAACCAAGTCGGGGGACAGTGGGATGGCAGCTCTGGGTCCCGTTCTGGGAGCTGGGGTCGGGGGAAGCTCGGGCTCGCCTGGGGGGGGGGAATAATTTTTTCCCCCTTTATTTCCCCCCCCCCCAAATCTAGGTGCGTCCTATGGGGCGGTGCGCCCTATAGGGCGAAAAATACGGTACACAAAGAAAAGAAAACAAACATGGTGTTACGTGTAAAAGAAAGTTAATGCCATCTCCCAGGGAAACGGTAATGGAATAAATCAACCATATCTTTTCCAGTTGTCCGGCATAGGCCCTTAAGTCACTAGCCAGAGGAGAAAGCAAGGGAGCCACAGTGATCATGCCTGGATTCAAGGAAGGCAGGAAGTGAGCTAGAGCATCACTGGAGATGCCAGCTTCCAAAGCTTTCATTCCTGCCATTCCCTGCTAGCCAAAGGGTAATTTCAAAAGAAAGCAATTCATTTGTAACATACCTCTAAAGCCAAGATAATCCTCATTCACCTGAATCATGAATTCGCCATACACGTCTCTGAATACACCGCTATAAACCCAATCGTGTATAAACCTAAAGGCAAAAGGTTGAATGTTGAAAAAGGTGTTTTATAAAAAGGTAAAGGACCCCTGACAGTTAAGTCCAGTCGCGAACGACTCTGGGGTTGCAGTGCTCATCTTGCTTTATGGATTGAGGGAGCCGATGTTTGTCAGCAGACAGTTTTTCCGGTCATGTGGCCAGCAAGACTAAGATGCTTCTGGTGAAAACAGAGCAGCACACAGAAACGCCGTTTACCTTCCCACCACTTTGACATGCTTTCGAACTGCTAGGTGGGCAGGAGCTGGGACAGAGCTGGGGGAGCTCACCCCATCGTGGGGATTCGAACCACCAACCTTCCGATCGGCAAGCTGTCGGCTCAGTGGTTTAGACCACAGCACCACCCGCATCCCTGTATTTTATAAACACCCTCTTAAATAAGGGTATGCTGTCCAAATAGAAAACAGATCTGATAAAAATACTACCACTAAAATAACTATTCAGGTTAGATAGCAACTGTAAAGACCTATGGCTCAGGTTCAAAACGGCCCCCAAAGAAGATACCTGAATGCTATAACTGCTCAGTTTTTCACTAGTACTGAAAGAGATAGATTAACTATCATGTCAAGCAGAGTCTCATATTAATTGGGATTTCTGCTTTGATACTTGAGGTTTCCAGAAGGGTCTCTCAGTGTCTTGATCGTTGTATAAGCATTTAAATAATAATAATATGCCACTCTGAAATACACAGAGAATTATTTTAAAGTGCAGAAAGAAAAAACTTTAAAAGGTCCCAGAACATATTTCAGTAAGCATAGACCATTTTAAGATTTTTGCTACAATCCTATACCTACTGACCAAGGAGTAAGGTCAACTGAAATCAATAGGACCTGAGAATATGCAAATAGGAGTGAATTGCTAGCTTTATTTCAGTACACTAAAATAAGGCTACCGCCATTCAGAAATTCCAGCTCCTTTTAAGAACTCACAGGAACGCCATCTATAGGAAATGCATTAGATCATCTTTGTAACAGCAGTTCCACAGTGCACAATTTTAAACTGAAATACTTACCGTGTATATGGTTCACAGCTTGTTTTTAGTAGGGAGAGAAGAACTGGGTAATGTTCATTGCTGCAGTTATTAAGAGCTTCTTGGTATAGATAGGAAAGTAGTTTCACACCCTGAAATAAATGCATAAGCCACTCATTGAAAGGAAAACAATAAACACGTATAGGTACTTCTGATGATGCTTAGCTTCATTGGATAGTTTTATTGCATTGGCAGGACTCAGCTGGAAGTGCTGGTTTGGCTGGAAAAATCCTTAAAGCCTTTTGCTGACTTTTGGAGATACCTTTTTATTAATGCTGAATGAAAGCAGAAATGTGCTCCTCCTAACTATATTTCTTTTAAAACCAATACATTCCGACACGTCTATACAATCTGACATGGTTTTTTTAAAATACTGATGAGCAGACACATTACAAGCTGATTCAGTGGTGGAAATCACTTTTCTTAGAAATGGAAGCATACAGAATGGAAACAGCACCCAAAGCGTTCTGAGATTGCTTGCTTACGTTTGAATCACACCTAGTCGTTTCATGCTTAAAAATGCACACCACTCGGTTGGCTGCGACTGCAAAGAGAAGCGGAATCATACTCACTGTTGGAAATGAAGCAGCAGCAGCAGTTCCCTGCACAGTCACTCCTATGCCGCAGAGTTCAGCTATATACCTTCACAAAACACAACAGCAGCAAATTACACTTGTGTGGTACCTTTAAGAGCACGGGGTGGGAGGAAGACCTGTGGGCCCCCAGATTACAATTTCCATCACTCCTGGCTATTGGCCATGCTGGCTGGAGCTGATAGAAGGTGGAATCTAAGACCCAGAGAGCCACAGCTTCCCGTTTAAGAGCCTAAGAACCAGTTTACTGGACCTTCCAGGCTCAAATTCTGTCTCCCCCAGTGGATAACTAAATGCTTCTGCGAAGTTCACAAACTATCTGTTTTTCAGTATTTTGGCCCCTGCAGCTGGTGCTGAGATGTATAACAAGGTAAAAAGATAAAGGACCCCTAGATGGTTAAGTCCTGTCATAGGCAACTATGGGGTTGTGACGCTCATCTCGCATTCAGGCCGAGGGAGCCGGCGTTTGTCCACAGACAGCTTTCCGGGTCATGTGGCCAGCATGACTAAACCACTTCTGGCACAACGAAACACCGTGACGGAAACCAGAGTGTACAGAAACGGCATTTACCTTCCTACCACAGTGGTACCTATTTATCTACTTGCGATGGCATGATTTTGAAGTGCTAGGCTAGCAGGAGCTGGGACAGAGCAACGGGAGCTCACTCCATCGCAGGGATTCAAACCGCAGATCTTCTGATCGGCAAGCCCAAGGGGCTCAGTGGTTTAGACCACAGCGCCACCCACGTCCCTACAGATGTATAGCAACTCTGTCGGTGAAGGTTCCATTTAGCTATCAAGCCTAACAGCTGCCAATAGACCTACATACTTTTGCCTAATCCCTTTTTTTAAAAAGCTACGTAAGCAAGTAGGCAACACCATATCAACACTAACGCTTACCGCACCATCCAAACTGTTCTTAAAAATGTCTTCAATTTCAGCCACACTGTCTAATTAACGGCCTTGTTTTCAACTCCATCAACTGATTGTTCCAGTTTGCAAATGTTCTTTGGAACCTGAACGTCTGTCGCGGCTTCCGATTGGCTGCAGGGGCATCCTGCAGCCAATCGGTAGCTGCACCTTGGTTACCAAACGTTTTGGAAGTTGAACGGACTTCCGGAATGGATTCTGTTTGACTTCCAAGGTACGACTGTGTATATATATACTCCAAACTCGGGAAGCTGTTATGGCAACACTACAGCAACTTTATTGTTATTCGAAAGTTACAATACAGTTACAATGCAATACATTTTCTATCAATATCTCAGCTTTTCAACACATGTCAATTTGCCTAGTAAAATACACTTCTGGAACAGTATCCAGCTCCCCACATATATATGCAGTACCAGGAAATAAAGAAATAATCCAAGTTAAATGGCAAAAACAGCCCAAAAAAGTGTGAAAACTGGGGGGGGGGGTGAAAAGAGCAGGGAAATCAGCCAGCAATCCCATGAGCCTTTGCACCAACCACTGAGGCCTGTGGAGAGTTGGTATTTGAGAAAGGAGGCAATGAGGAAGACTGAGAACCACCAGTGCTGCCATTCATGCCAATCTGGTATGTCCTACTTACTGGTTATCAGGGGTTTAGAGGGTGTTTATAGGCTTTCCCCCCACTATATGCAATTTCACATATACAAGGGGTACCCGGGAACGAAAGCCCCATGTAAGTGGAGAGTTGCCTGTACAGAAGCTGGAAACCCTGGTTCTAGTGCAAATAATACAGGTTACTGAGGAAGGGAATAATATATATAAAGCGGTAGGGCATCTGCCTCGCATGCGAAAGGTCGTAGGTTCAATTCCCATCATCTCCAGGTAGAAAGAGGAAATCTTCTGCCTGAAACCCTAGTGAGCAACTGCCAATCAGTGCAGACAATACTAAGCTGAGATGGACCAATGGCATGACTCGGTATAAGTAAGTTTCCTACGCCCCTATGGTTACTTAAAATGTCTCACCTATGAACCCACCGTCTAAATTAACTGACTAAAAATATTATGCTACAACTATGCTGCATAAGCAGACAGTATAACAGTGAAGGAGACGGAGAACTGAGCATCAGATTACAGACGATAGGAGAAGCAGAACAATGCTAGCTAATCTAGTCTGAAACTGCTTTACCAATGAGGACTAAACTACAGCAATGCTATCAGCAGTTTAAAGGGCACGTCTCTTGATTCCTTTGTGGTTTGGATCAAGCATGGAAGATGTCAAGGCTTCCTTTCCGTTAACTTTTAATGCCATGGTATTACCTTAGCTGGCGTCCTAGTTTCCTGAAGAGGAAGCTGATGGTTAGAAGCGTCAGAGTGGAAGGAGTCGACAAAACACACGCTCGGTAGTACTGCAGGTATTTTCTCAGCCCGCTTGTAAATGCCTGACAGGAGAGAAGTGAAAAGAAGATCTGCTATGAAAATTGTTTGCGCACGGCATACATTCAGTGTATGCCTTATAGGAAAGTGGCAACTGGGTGTACTATTCTTGTTGAGCCTCCTTCAGATGCTTAGGATCTGTGCAAGCCCAATTTACACCCTATGAGCAGACGCTTGTTTTTAACTTTTTTTTCTAACTTTTTTTTCACTTGCATTGTATGGCTTTTATCTTTTTAATGCTGTAAACCGCTTTGATATTTTTTATGATTTTGTGGTAAATAAATATTTATATAAATATTTATATAAATAAACCAAGCCTTATGAGGAGCTGGGTATGTTTAGCCTGCAAAAGAGGAGATAAGACACTTTTGGCAAGATTTGACTTCCATTATTTTCCTTTATAGATGAGACAGAATATGCTTTCATTCCACCCACAACACAAGAATCTCTGTGTAGAGAATACTTGAATTGACAATGCACAAATAAACGTACAGCTTGTGTACTGCATATGAAACTTAATAAGAATGTACCACTGGACAAGTTACTACATATAACTGTAGTTATATGTTGTTCTTGTATTTACATGGTTTAACTGATTCTTAGTTTTTCTTTGATCTCACATCATTCTTGATACTACTACTGAAATTAGTCAAATGCTGCAACAAAGTTTTAACTTCTGTAATTGTTTTTCAAATATATTTTAAAGACTTCCCATTTTGAAACAAATACCTGTTTTGGTTTATTCTTTATTTTTTTAGACAAGTTATCCAACTCTGTATATTCAGTCAATTTTTGGATCCAATCTTGCATAGATGGAAGTTTGTCAGATTTCCAATTTGCAGCAATTAAAAACTCTTGCTGCAACCGTAGCATATAAAAAGGTATCCCTTTTTTTTTGGGGGGGGGGGGTATATCCAAATCTGTAATCCCCAGAAGGTAGGCCTCTGGTTTTCTATTAAAGGAGATTTTTAGCATTTTTTGCAATTCTAAATGAATGCCCTCCCAAAACACATTAATTTTCTTTCATTGCCACCACTTATGGTAAAGAGTGCCTGGTTTTTCTCCACAACTCCAGCAATCGCCTCAGACACTTTTGTACATCTTTGTTGGAGGTTTCTGTAGCCACAGCAGGTGCTGTAATTCTCCAGCAGTTTGACTTCACCTCTGGAGGTGGTGAATTGTCTCTTGAGACAGACAGATGCCAACAACTGTCCACAAAACAACCTAGACTGATTGCCCTCACTGCTTGGATAAACATTACATTCTCATTACTTGTTCCTGTAGTCCCCTTTCATCAACTTCCCTCCCCGACAACCGGGTCCCAAACTTCCGCAATCCACTTTGGGAAATCTAACTAGATCTAACTAGTAATTCTTATCCACAACCCACCCACCTAATGACTAAGCCCCAAGGCACGCCACATTTATTTCCTTCCTCTATCGTCACAAAGACTCGATGTAGTAAACCACTGTTGCTCCCAGTGGGTTGAAAGAGGATTTCAACAACTCCCGGACCCAATTTCAACTCCAAATCCATTGCACCAAACTGGCTTCTAGGCAGCTGTATAACAACTCATTTTGTTCAGAGGAGAGACTATACCTCTCCCCACTTCCAGAAGAAGAAGAAGAGTTTGGATTTGATATCCTGCCTTTCACTCCCTTTAAGGAGTCTCAAAGCGGCTAACATTCTCCTTTCCCTTCCTCCCCCACAACAAACACTCTGTGAGGTGAGTGGGGCTGAGAGACTTCAAGGAAGTGTGACTGGCCCAAGGTCACCCAGCAGCTGCATGTGGAGGAGCGGAGACGCGAACCCGGTTCCCCAGATTACAAGACTACCACTCTCAACCACTACACCACACTGGCACCAGTCGTAAAGCAGGCATGTCCAAAGTCCGTTTCGGCAGCATAATCTGGCCCGCAGGTCGGTTTAATCCGGCCCCTGTGGCAGTTTAATTTTTGGGGTAAAATTCTAAAAAACCACCTACTTCAATCCTAAAAAAACAACTTCAGTCCTAAAAAATGGTTAACAACTTTGGTCAGCCCTCATGGCCCTTCACCTCATCAAATCTGGCACTCTTCGAAAAAAGTTTGGACACTACTAAAAGAGTTTGGGTACTCTCCAGAGATCCCCATATTCTACTGATAGAAAGGGGTGCTCTGTTCTTCTTTCCCCCTTGCTTCTCCCAAAACTCTGCTCAGGAGTGTTGGGGACCCTACAGTACAGCTTGGGAGGTGAAGCTGGAGGATCCGAGCTGCTTTCATGAACAAGAGGGTGCAATTGGATCTAACCAACAGACATCAGATAAAGTCAGAAATATAGCAGGACATCAAGATAGACTAGTGATAGCAAAACTGCCAGCATGCTACCTGAAAAACAAGTCCTTTTCTGTACGAAGAGTCCAAAACTGGTTGGACAGAGAAGCGGCTCAGTCGTGTGTAATAAGTTCCATATTCAGCAACTTCTGACAGGAGACTGCTCATGCTTTCAGGTGATGTTCCAGATACATGTAGACCCTGCTTGGCCACAAACAGCACGGCTGCCTACAGGGTTGTAAAAAAGAGGAAGGCATCAATAAAAATGTACAGCACACAAAGTAGTTACAAAATTGATACACAAGTCCTCATCATCATAAGTTAGAGCTACTAAATAGGTGCACTGTTTGTCTTTAAAAATCTTTTTTTGGGGGGGAACCTATTATGCAAAAAACCACTAAGTGATCATTAATAGCTTATCAGCAGATTCAATATTATGGCATTAGGTAGAAAAATAAATATACACACATGGAAAATTATAAAGAAAATTAAATCCATAAAAATTCACATGGAAGCCCTTATTTTCTAGGGAACAGTTCCCAAAACATTCCTTTCTGTACAATGCAAATTGCATTTTATTGCCAGATCTACCATGCCTGGATTGTGTGCTTGGGTCCATACTGGCAATTAATGTCAGTCTCTTCTTAATCTAGATTTACTGTTATTATTATATAGGTATTGGTTTTACTGCATATTTTGTACTATAAACCCGTTTGTGATTTGTATGTGTATGTTTTTTTAATGAATACTCTTATGATGGATACAACCCGTATTAGTTTTTTCTGTCTACTTAGTAACTCTTCATAAGCATACGGGTATATAAATGATACTTGCAGAGCATCTTAAGTCTTGTTTTCATATGCTCTGCAAAATTCAGTAACATGCATCCTCTCTGTGAAATGATGAATGTTACTATAATATTATTTCTGCTGACATAAAACACAAGTGTGCATGCTGGGTCTTAAAAGCAAAGGTTAGAGCTCCTCAGCAGCTATTTACATACTTCTGTATACCTGATTAAATGAGAATGAAGTAGATACCACCCCAATAAGGACATTCAAAACATCTTTAACAAGTTCTGATTCTTTTATTAAAACACGTTGTGGAAGCTGAAGTTTGGTACTGCTGAAAAACTGCAATTCCCCTTCTCGAAGTCTGCAAAATTTGTCAAAGGCTTCTCTGCCAGCTTCAGAAAGGTACGGCTCCTCTTTTTTCCCAGGAGGACTGTGTTTGGGGGGGAAAACAAATAACAATCAAATGTATAAAGTGCCACTCTGAAAAACTTAGGCCTGTAGAAGAGAGATATTCTGAATGGCTTTCATCCAACCCACCATAAAGCCTAGGATTTTCATGGCCTCTATCAATTCAGATGTTACAGCAAAAAATGCTCATGCAATTCTAGGCTGCATCAACGGAAGTCCAGATCTACTCTATTCTGCCTTGGCCAGACACCACCTGGGGTCCTGTGCAGCACAATTTAAGAAGGATGTCAACAAGTCAGTGTGCAGAGGAAGGTGACCAAGATGATAAAAGGTCTGGAAACCAAGCCTAAGAGAATCGGTTGATGGAGTTGGGCACATTTAGCCTGCATAACAGGAGACTGAGAGGAGATATGAGAGCCATCTCCAAATATATGAAGGGCCGTCACACGGAAGATGGAACAAGTTTGTTTACTGCTGCTCAGTGGGTTGGAGAGACCCAAACCAATGGATTCAAAAGACAAGAAAGGATAATCATTAGGAAGAGTTTTCTGATGGGAAGAGCTGTTTGACAGTGAAACAGTCTCCCTCGAATGGTGGTGGACTCTACATCCTTAAAGGTTTTTAAGCAGAGGTTGGACAGCTATCTCTCAGGGTTTCTTTAGCTGTGATTGCTGCACTGCAGGGGGTTGGACTAGATAACCCTCAGGGTCCCTTCCAACTCTACCGTTGTAAGATGATCTCCTTGAAGTCACAAGGAGCAAAGGAAAGCCTGGGATCCAAAGGTTCACTGCAGCTGATTTTCATAATGGTAGACCATGGTTCAGAATTACATGCAAAGTCTCCCAATTGTTAGGATCTAAGCAGATCCATGGGAATGCCTAGAGCACATTGGGGGTTTGCCAGATTCCCCTCAGTTAATAGTACAATGGATGCCACTCTAGAGATTCCCCATCTGCCAGGCTCCGTAACTTTTTGGACGATACAACAGGAAGGCCTGAGAAGCTTATGTGGGTATGGCCTTTTGGATCCCAGTTTCCATTCAGCTGCCATTCTCAAGTCCCAGTTTTATTGGGAACGTTAGAGGGGTGGTATTCAACTAAGTTTTAATCAGAAAAGACACAGTGAAATTAATGTACAAGTTAGGTCTATTCATTTTAATAGGTCTACACTGAGTAAAAACTTAGTTGAATACCACCCTAGGTCTTGAGTTTTGCTATTTCAAAAATAATTTTGGAAACTTGTTTCAAATTCACTGACAAATATTGACTTGATACTAATCATTCCAACAAAAACAGCCCAACATTCTGAATCTTAAAGACAAATACGCACCATCCAATCCTCTCCCAACATCTCCGCTTACTAGGTCCATAGGTGAGCACTGCTTCCCAGAGATCAATATCTGGTGTGACGCTGGGTTCTGACTGGGAGTCAGGGGTGAGATTGGATGCAGACTGGAATCCCTCATCTTCTGAAGGATCTATACTTTGGGGGACCTATAAAAACATGTACCCAGTTGATTATCTTTTAGCACAGTGATTTTCCATAATTGTGACCAAAAGAGTTAACTTCTTAGCCTGCCTCCCTAGTTCCTCATATTGTTCCTGATGCATCTCCTAATCAAAAATTCCTAGTACAGTGCTACATATTCTATCTACACCCTGGTGGACCAAGATTAATAGGTTTTTATTTACTCTGAAATAAGTGTGGCAAAGCATGTATTGCCCAACTGTAAGGAGCAACTTGATAAATTAATTCTTACATTTGAGATGGTCTGTACTGTCTCTTTTACTAGGCAGAAGAACTAAAGGGCACAGCGAGAAACAATACTGACCATGAATGTGGGTTCAAATCCTTCTTTAGCCATACAATAAGATGTGGTTCCCCCGTCCCCTCTTCAAAATGAGAACGCTAATGAGCTATATTACAAAGTTGTTGCAATATACAGATTGTGATGAGATCAGGATACATCATTTGGTAGGATTCAGGAGAGAAATACATGAAGCATTTCCTTCAAACAAAAATACTGCCTTCTCCCTCCCCCTGCTCCTTAAATTTCAAAAGTTGTTTACAATGGTGTATACTGTTATATACAAGGTGTTGGAGGAAAAGCAAGTGAAAAAGACAACAAAAGCCCTGCTGCACATATAAATCTGACACACAAGATGGTGGCTACAGATTGTACCCCTTTGGATTTCAAAAATAGTGTGACATGTGGAAACTACTATTTGCAAAGGAGCTGAATGGGTCAGAATGCTGCAAGTGCTCTCAGATGCACAAGCAAGAGAGAAAGGGAAACACCAGCTAGACAACAGAAGGAAGACACGAGGAAATTATTAAAAAAGAATTTTGCTCACGAGCGTCTAACTGAAAACAACAGCATTGATGAAGAAGATGCCCAATTTATTACAACCTGCATGCTCTAACAAATATCTATGCTAAATATAAATAAAATAAGGGTCACTGAAAATGTTCCATACCTTGATTGCAAGTCCAGACAAATCTGCACTGTCAGGCACTGGTGGAAAATCCAACTTGATATCCATGTCGTATGTACGACTGTGAATAAGAGCCCCAAAGAGCGAGACACGGGTTTCTCTCTCAAACTTGTCACCGACCGAGCAGCTTTGTGAAAATAACTCCACAGTAGGAAGACCTGTGCCAGGTGCTGCCTCCATGATCTGCAGTGCCTTTTGAACTGTATCACTAAACTGATGTTCCTCATTTGCAATTAAAGCCTGCATATCGGCTTCAAACACACTAACATCATAATAATCGTAACCTTGGTATTTTACATTTCTTCCAACATATTTGTTGTTTGCAAAGTAGTCTTTCTTGGGTGGTAAGCACTGAGGTGGTCCAGTTCCTGCAAGCTGAACCAGAAGATCCAGAACAGAAGTAATTTCAGTAAATGGTAAACAAGTAGACCTTTCCAAATCATCTACAAGCTCCTCCAGCCGGTCAGCTTCCTTCCCCATTCCAGCAACTCTCAAGTTGAAAGATAGCATTAGAATTCTGTTTTTCACTGGAAGTCTAGAAACATTTGACTGTGCCTTTTGGGTCTCATCCACGAAAAGGGTAGAAAACAAAGCATTATAAGCAATTTTCTTGAGGCTTTTACTGGATCCTTTTTTGCTGTTCTTTTCCCTGCCCAAATGGACCTTCTTTGACAAACCTGCTATGTGGGCCTCACACAAATCACCAAACAGCTTTGTAATACTCTCCATGGCAGGAGCAGCAGTTAACTGGATATCCTCTTGAAGTCAAGATCGTGTATAACCAGTACTAAGAATCTGCTGGGGATCCATTACGCTGCTTGGAAAAGCAAAAAGAGAATAATTAATGATCTTCTCCCTACTGAAATAAAGTTTCAATTACTTTATTAATGCAACATCCTTACCAACTGTGCATTAAACGTCTTGATCAGTGGTTCCCAATTAGCTAAGTACTGTGGGACCCCTGTTCTTCAAAAGTCAAGCCATGGACCCTCTACATTTCAAAATTTCGGTATCTCTACGATATTTTTAATATTCGAATGGAGCCACGAACCCTCAACAACCCTACCTATATCTATACCCCAATAACCATACCTGCATTTATACGGGCGCCTACGGAGATAATCCATTTCAAAAGCAACGGTACCCAAATGAATTGTCATGAAAGAAATGGGTGGGGGAGAAGTTTGCCCTCCTTGCTCACGGTACCATATTATTATTATTATTATTATTATTACTAATTTCATTTCTATGCTGCTTTATATTTTTAAGAAAAACCGCAAAGCGGTTTACAGCACATTAAAACATCAATAAAACAATCCAGAATTAAACATTACTGAAGAAAGTAAAAAATACAGCAATACCTAACACGGCGATTGGCAAATCCTAATGGTAGAATACCTGCAGCTAGCAAAGACGACAGGAAGGATAAGAGGCCAAACAAAACAAATAGTCTATAAGGATTGGATAATTTTTAAAGAATACTTTAAAAATTACGATATAAAAGGAAACTTCTTGGCAGAATTAGACTGAACCTTGCATTGTATAAATATAAGCTTGTAGGGAAGTTAACAGAAGCTATATAAGAAATATGTAACTGTGCGGTATAAGACAATCAACAGATAAAGTACAGCGAGACTAATTGGAAGTAATTTCTTGTTTTACAAGTTTTACAATCATTCACATCATTGGGAGTACAAATAATGTTAGCTATAAGAATTGTGTTGTTTCATATATTGCTATTGTCTGTTTGTCAATTTATAGTTTGTTTATTTGATTGTATGTTTGTTGGTTGGTTTGCTTTCCTGGCATAAATGTATCTATTTTAAAGCAATAAATACTGTATATATATATATATATATATATATTAAAAAGTCAAATATAAAGCATACAGTCAAAGCAACACAGGGGCTCCTTGTGTGTGTCCCCCCCGAAAAAAGCTGCCTCCTTTTGGTCTCCATCCTTCATATTACCAAAGTGAGCCCCTGCCCCCCCCAAAACAGACCCTACTTTTTTAAAAAAAGAAGGGACAGTTAATGGGGCTTAAAAGGAGCCAGGGCTCACTAGGATATAACACCAGGGCTCCAATTCAGCCTGTGCTGAGTGCCAACCCAGCACCACCCTGAGAGGCCCCCATACCACCTAGAACGAAGAAGGCGGGAAGAGCTTCTAGGGTGGCCCTCCATAACGCCTGGCGCACAACTCCCCCCCCATCACGGTTTCCATGGCAACGCCCCATACCAAACAGGCCTCCCGTCGCTCCGGGGTGTTTCACGGAGACGCGAACCGCCCGCCCGCCCAGTATTTGCCTCTCTTCAGCCCATCCCCGCTGAAGGGCGGCGCGAAAAACGGGCGCCCCGCGGAGCTCGGCGAGCCCTCAGCGCTGCCGCCGTCGCCGCCGCCGTGATGGGAAAACGCGCTCCTCTGCGAGTCGCGGCCTTGTGACATCACAGGGGAGCGACGAAGGCGGGAATGCGGGGGTTTTTAGAACGCTGAGGCCTCGCCGCCAGAGGGGAAAGGAAAGGGGGCGGGGCTAAGCAAGAGCCCGAGCGCGGATTCCTCCCTGGAAACGCAGCGGCGGGGGGGGGGGGGTGTTGTGGTTGTCGGCGTGTGGCGATGACGCAGTGCGCATGCTCAGGACGGGACATGGCCAGACCACGGGAAGTAACTTCCAGGGCTGCTGGAGCTAAAAGAGGCGCACGCCCTAAGCAAATGCCCAGAAAGCATTAAACTCCTTTCCTACGGTAGCCCTTTCTAGCACGCAGGAAAGGTGTCATCAGGGTCTCCCAAATTTGGGTCTCCAGCTGTTGTTGGACTACAACTCCCATCATCCCTAGCTAGCAGGACCAGTAGTCAAGGATGATGGGAACTGTAGTCCCAAAACAGCTGGAAGGCAGATACAGTACTGTACATTATAATTCAATGGCAGGGGGAAAATGCACTATGCTCCTAATGAAAATCAGGTGGATTTTTTTTGGTAAAGTGTTTAACGAAATGGAGGATATTCAAAAGGAGATTTCAATATGGTATTAGATAAACAATTGGATAAGTCAAATCCTAAGCCAGAGGAAATACGTAGTAACATTCCAGGATTAGCTAAAATTATGAAAAGGAAAGATGAAAGATGTTTGAAGAGTGATGAGGGGAGGAGAGAAGAATTTTTTGTTCTCACCAGTGCATAAGACCTACTCAAGGATCGATTACATCTTTGTTTCAAAAAACTTAGTATCTAAAATAACAAATACGGAAATTGGAACGCCGCAACCCCGGAAGTGAGTGTTCCAGTTTGAGAATGTTCTTTGGAAGCTGAACATACAGCACGGCTTCCGATTGAGTGCAGGAAGCTCCTGCAGCCAATTGGAAACCGTGCTTTGGCCCCCTCCCTTCTAGAACCCACCACTCTCAACCAACTCTCAACTGCCTCCCCCCCAAAAAAACATTCAAACTCGCTTTCAAAGCCGCCTCCGATCATCACTCTCCACCAGAATTCTGGAATCCAACTGGCTGCCCTGATGTGGAGGGCAAGTCCCTCTTGAAAGGACTCACCTGTACTCTTTCTGAAAGCTAGAACAGTCTCCGCCATGTCTCAGTTCTCCAAAGGTGAGAGCCTGGAACCCCATGGGCTTTTGCCACCACTTGGCAGAGAGAGGGGAGGCACCCAACTTTTGGAACAATATTTTATCCACCCTGCTCTGTGCCCTGTTAGAAGCACTTGAGATTCCCGTTCCTGGTTCCTAGGAAATTGGGGAAAGTGAGCTGGAGGTTCTCTTCCCTGCTCCAAAAAGCAGGTGTCTTCCCCCAAATGATCCTAGGAATTGTAGTTTCCTAGGGGTTCTGGGAATTGTAGATCTGTGAGAGGGAAGCTACAATGCCCAGGATCATTTGGGCGACGTCATGTGCTTTAAATGCTCATTGGAGGCACTTTGAATCGTAGGATCATAGAATTGTTGAGTTGGGCGGGATCCCCTGCAATGCAGGAAACTCAGCTAAAGCATCCATGGCAGACAGCCACCCAACCTCTGCTGAAAACCCTCCAAGGAAGGAGAGTCTACCGCCTTCCGAGGGATTTCCTCCCACTGTCAAACAGCTCTTGCTGTCAGGACGTTCTTCCTGAAGTTGAGTCGGAATCTCCTTTCTTGTTGCTTGAAGCCATGGCTTCAGGTCCTGAGGGCCTCTGGAGCAGGAGAAAACAAGCTTCCTCTCTCCTCCCTGTGACGGCCCTGGAGATATTGACAGGGCTGCATGGTGTGGCTCTCATATCAATGTCCTGAGGGACAGAGAGCAAAACGTTTCTCTCTCCCCTTTCTCCACCCCCATGCAGAATTGCAAGGGGTCAGTGCATCTGGCTAGTAAGAAGATGGTCGGAGTTTGGAGCCCAGATAGGGCTGGCTGTGGGCAGGATCCTGGCATTGTTGGGGGTTGGACCAGATGGTCCTTGGGATCCCTTCCAACTCTACCATGCTATGATTCTATCGAGCAGCTAAAGAAACAGGCGGGGGAGCAAGATGCAGAACAAGGGGAGGCACAACCACACACCCCAACAGCACCCTTTGGGCTGACCCACAGTGGCCTCATCCCAGCACACTTTGAAACCTCACCCCCCCTTTGATTTTCTTCCTATTAATTCAGCTGCCTGACAACCCAGCAGCCTGGCCCCTGTTTGTGATGTCACAAAGTGCTGCTTTGCAAGCAAGCCTTATAGTGCCCAGCAAGAGGGATGCCTGTCAAATGATGGTGAGATACTTGCTGGACAAGTGATGACAAGAATGAATTCTGAAGGTAGGATGCCCAGAGGAGATGAGTGGCATTATTATTATTATTATTATTATTATTATTATTAGCGTCACCCGTCATTGGTGCCTGTGGCTTGGCTCCTTGGCTTGACTTGTCCACAGATGTTGTCAGCTTGGCAGGTCCTCAGCTGTGGTCCCCAGATTATATTTTCTGTTGTGAATATCTGGTTGTTTACAAGGTTAAACCATATGACCTTTCCATGCCTCTATTTTCTTAACTCTAAGGCTTGAAGTCACTGGGTAATTCCATTGAAATATCAACCTACAGACTCATCATTCCTAAATAAGTTGTAGATCATTTTAAAGAGAATTTCCCAAAGTTTCAGGATCTTGTCACTGTGTGGGATGGTTTTTAACAGGAAGGAGAATATACGTTAATTTAAATTTATCCCTCCAAATACCCACAAATGTGAGATGAACAGACTTTTAAAATCCCCTCCTTGACAGCAAAACTAAAAGCTTAGGAGCAGCCACTGGGACCATACAACACTGGTCCTAAAGGATCTACAATGGCTCCTAGTACGTTTGCGAGCACCATTCAAAGTGTGGGTCCTGTATACCTGAAGTAGGGTTGCCACCTGGTTCTTAAAAAACAGAGTTTTAAAATCCCATCTTTGACAGAAAACTTAAAAGGATAGGAATTAGGCTGTGAAACCTTGTTTGGAGCAAGTCCAGCTATGAAGTCAGCTGCCCACTTCAGAAAGAATCAGGCCGCAAGCTGAGAAGTTTAAAAATAAGCCTTTCTTACTTTATTCTCATGCATTGGTTCATAGCAACAGTAGCAGTAAGAAGTATGCAGGCAAAAACTGTTATGCATTTGCAGGGGACACCCCAAACCCTAGAGGTAGATTTGGAGTACAGTGGTACCTCTGGTTACAAACTTAATTTGTTCCAGTGGTCCGTTCTTAAGCTGAAATCTTAAGCTCCTTCCCGGCCCTGTTTGGCGCAGAAGCAGCAGCCAAAGTTTCCTCCAATTAAAACAGCATCTCAACTTATTTCAGAGAGTTAAGAGACTTTGGCTGCTGCTTCTGAGCTGGGCTGACCGGGATGGAGCCAAGATGCCCGTACAGAGGCCAAGTGGGGAAATCTTGTAAGATCAGGTGAGAGGAAATGCCCCCTTCCCATGTCCCCCACCCTCCTGCCCCAGACTGGTGCCAGCATGGCTGGGAGCCAGGCACCTGCTGTCTCCGTTTGTTTTGCAGCAAGGGAAAGACTCAGACCTGGAGGGACTGGAGCCCAGACTAAGGACTCTTGCCTCAGAGATAATGGGACAGGGGAAGGAGAGTGGCCTTAGGAAACACACAAGTAGGGCCTGCAGGATCAGGCCAAGGGCTCACCTGATCCAGCCTCCTCTTCTCCCAGAGGCCACCTAGATGCCAGTAGCAAAGCCACAAACAGGATTTGAGTCCAAGAGCCCTCTGTCCACTTGGGACCTCCTGCAACGGCTTTTCTGAACCACTGTCATGTCCATCAGGACTTGTAGCCTTTGACCGGCCTTTCCTCCCTTTCAGTCGCCTAATCATCTTTTAAAGCCATGCAGTCAGAGATGCTCTTCTGCTGCATCTCCTGGTCATCTGTTGGTTCCTGCCAAAAGGCGGCTCTTGTGAGCAGTGGGATCTGCTTTAAGTCCCTGGGGTGGGTGTCACAGCTGGATGGGCGGCCGAGGGGACGTTCTGCCCCTGGCGTTCGGTCTGTGAAAGACCATTCACATGTTCAGGGATTCTTCCCTCGAAGCAGCGCATAGAGTCGAGTTCTCCCCTGCGTCAAAGATACCTTCTTTCCTGCAGGATCTCCTTTGTGCACCGCCAAAGCCACCATATAAATAGAACAGGTAAGAGAAAGGATTTGATATCCCGCTTTATCACTACCTGAAGGAGTCTCAAAGCGGCTAACATTCTCCTTTCCCTCCCTCCCCCACAACACACACTCTGTGAGGTGAGTGAGGCTGAGAGACTTCAAAGAAGTGTGACTAGCCCAAGGTCACCCAGCAGCTGCATGTGGAGGAGCGGAGACGCGAACCCGGTTCACCAGTTTTGAGTCTCCCGCTCTTAACCACTACACCACACTGGCTCTCTCCCTGGACAGATCAGATAGCGTGGCCACAGCAAGCCATGCTCTGGCAACCTCCAAGTTAGATTACTGCAATGCACTCTGTGTGGAATTGTTTGTGAACATAGTTCAACAGCTGCAACTGTTGCAAATGTTAAATCAAACTATGGTTTGGCTCTGGGTAGTGTGGCAGAACCGAGAGAAGCAGTTATGATTTTTGCTCCAGGAACATCCTTACTCATTCACATTAAGCCATACAGCAGTTTTGTTTAGTGTTACACGCAAACCAAGCCAGCGTGTTTATTGGCATCCTTAGTGTTGGCAAATTTATTTCTTACAACCTGAAGTTAACACAGTCTTGCTTAATTATAGTTTAATTTAAAAAAGATAGAAAAGTATTTTGTGAAATACATAAATTCCATTTGGAAAAGATAGAAAAGTAAAATGTGAAATGATTCTTGCAGTATCATTCCTGATGCGTAGCTCACTCGTCATTCTTTTTCTCTGCTGATTTTCTAGATAATCTTCATTTTCCCTTTTATTTTGATTCTGGGTATGCAGATCAAAAGGGAGAGCCAAAATGACAGCCAAGTAAATTTCATCTTTCAGCAATGGAAATGTTTGCTATACAAGGGAGCGGGGGGGGGGGGGGAAGAATCCATCAGATTTTAGAGCATAAAGCAACATGAGCTTTTGTAATGGCAGTTAATTCAGGGCCTTGAAAAAGCACAGAGTATTTAGAAAAACAGTACTAACCACTCAGTCCTATGCACTCAGAAGCAAGCCGCATAAGTTTAACTTGCTTCCCTTCTAGATAAACATGTTTAGCACTGCAGTCTAAATTCAACATCCATTTTAATTTTACTTTCCTTCTATACTTGATACATACCTTATTACTTGCCTGAACACTGAAGCAATTTCCATTCATTTTGAAGTTGCTCTCTTAATTTTATTACCCTTTGCACATTCTCCTTCAGATCTGGTGCATACGTTCCAAAGGAAGGTGTAAAGTCACTCGTCAGGGGTTTGATTATATCTTGCAAGAGTGTTTCCTCAGTTTCCTTTTTTTAAAAAAAGCCAATAAACCATATTATTCCAATGAATCCATACTGATTTATGGATTACATCCAGGAACTATAACTGGTTCTTTCATTTTTAAGAACATCTTTTGTTCTGCTTGGTTGTTCGATGATTTTATGCTGGCTCCCATGTTTTAATTGCTTCTGTTTTAGTTGTTGATTTATTGATCTTGTTTTTATGAGGAGGGGGTGTCACTCAGTGGTAGAGCACCTGGCTTTGTACACAGAAGGTTCTGGATTCAATTCTCAGCATGTTCAGACAGGGCTGGGAATATCCTCTGTCTGATACCCTGAAAAGATTCTACCAAGGAAGAGAGTTCAAAAGATGTGATTGATAAATCAGCATCGGGGTCATGTGCCTCAAATACATGTTTAATAGGGTTATGAGAACCACTCTTGATCACTGGTATGGGGATAATGAAAGCTAGATTGTAATTGCTATGCATGTGCACATTTTCCAGGGGACTAGAGAATGTAGAAATGTGGAACAAATACAAAAGGTAAAAAAAAAAAAAGGGTAAAGGACCCCTGGATGGTTAAGTCCAGTCAAAGGCAACTATGGGGTTGCGGCGCTCATCTCACTTTCAGGTTGAGAGAGCCGGTGTTTGTCCACAGACAGCTTTCCGGATCATGAGGCCAGCAGGACTAAACTGCTTCTGGTGCAATGGAACACCGTGACAGAAACCAGAGTGCACGGAAATGCCGTTTACCTTCCTGCCACAGTGGTACAGTGGTACCTTGAGTTACAAACGCCTCAGGTTACAAATGCTTCGGGTTACAAACTCCACTAACCTGGAAGAGTTACCTCAAGTTGAGAACTTTGCCCCAGGATGAGAACGAAAATTGTGTGCTGGCCACGCAACGGCAGCAAGAGGCCCCATTAGCGAAAGCACGCCTCTAGTTAAGAACAGTTTCAGGTTAAGAACAGACCTCTGGAACGAATTAAGTTCATAACTTGAGGTACCACTGTACCTATTTATCTACTTGCACTGGTGTGCTTTCGGAGTGCTTGGTTGGCAGAAGCTGGGACAGAGCAATAGGAGCCCCCCGTTGTGGGGATTCGAACTACTGACCTTCTGATCAGCAAACCCAAGAGGCTCAGTGGTTTAAACCATAGTCCTGAAGGGTATCACATGCTGGGGACATTCTTTAATATGAAAATGTAATTTTGCACTGCAATTAGGCTCCAAGACTGTTCAACACTTTACATAATACATGGATGACACAAAATTTAAATGTGGGGAGGCAGAAAATGCAATGTGTTCTCTCTGGTTCTTTCCTCCTAAAAACCCAATATGATATACTTGTCATTAAGACTAAAATCAACTTTTTACCTGAATCAGAGCAAGAATGTGAGACTGTGCCAAGCCTTGCAGTAAGCGAATAAGCAAGGAAATCACATTTTGCCCAACACTTTGGTTTGGTCCAAGAACTATAATGGTTAGGTCAGGCTGATAGCTGTATGCAACCGGAAGAATGAGTCCAAGGGCAGGAGAGAAAAAGTTGTTTGTTTCAGCACCCTTCAGTTTAAAAATAAAACAAAATTAATACAGTCGTATAGTCACAAACCCAGAGTCGGTCAATTGGCTTTTGTTTCTAAAAATCGACATTTCCTAACCACTAGGTGCATGTTTGGGTAGTAAGCTCAGTGCAACACATTTGCAAAGCAGGGTTTCTAAGCAATTTATGCTGGAGTTCATCTACCTTCACACAACAAATGTATTTACGGGACACATATCGATATTTCCTGCAGTCAACAAGTAAAGCACGGGCTTCATACATGCGTAGACACACAGCCTTAAGAACATATCCACATATTTGCAATCCCTAACTGGCTCAGGGTTCCCAAACACTTGGGTGTCATCAGCCCTTGAAATCAGGGGATATTGCTCAATGTTTAGCTCAGCTTCAAGCTCAGACTCTTCCACCCTCTATAAATCATACTTAGGGAAGAAAAGGAATCTGAAAAATATTACACCTACCTTTTCCCAGTTCACGGTTATATTGTATTTGGTGTCCGATTTTTTCGGCGCCTTAGCACTGATATTTATCAAGAGAACTTTGCTGTGAAACAAAAAGGAGGAGGTAGATTCTACCAGAGTGATGGGAAACCTGTGACACCCACCCACTGGCTGTTGTTGGATTCCCACACTACGTCAATTCCAGCCAGAATGGTCAGTGCTAAGGGAGGATGGAAGTTATAGTCCAGTAAAACTTGAAGGGCCACAATTTCCCCATTCGTGTCCTACTAGATGCTAAATAGGAATACTTTATGAATTAAAGCAACAAGTAACTGGGCTCTTGTAGGGCTGGTTGAAATCCACATAACAATCCTCACATTTTAGGAAGGGGTCATCTAGAGTCATAGAAAACATGGGAGAAACTGTCTGTAAATAATCATGATAGCCAACTCGTCTGTTCTTTTTCCATTTTAGCAGATATGTTTTCAAAAGATGCTCTGGAAACCAGTCTGGCAACAGGAAAACCGATTTACAGTTCAGCCATAGGCAAGTACACTAAGGAGGAAGTCCTACTGATTTTAATTAGACTTGCTCCCAGGTAAGAATGTGCAGAACAGTAGACCGAGGAAGGAGTCTCTCTCCATCTCTTCAATGTCATTTTTAAAACTTGCCCAAATTGTCATCAGCAATGTAATAGTATTGTCTGTAGTTTGGGCGTTTAAACCCACCTAGCAGGGAGTGGGTATGAAATCCTTACCCATCATCCAAATCAGTTTTCACATCCACGTCACCGACAGACACACACAGGACTCTGCAGAACGACATTAAAGCGTTGTAACATACATTAAAATATATGTGGCATTCAAATTAAATTAAATAGATACCATGCACAAAAAGACCACGCCAATAAGCTGTACGTAAAAAGAGTGGCATGGCGAGCAGTGCAAGTAAATTTACAAAATATAGCCAGGTAAGTCACTAACAAACAAACAAGCAGGCAGGCAGAAATGATGACTAAAGACCTAGGGAATAAACTGCAAATGGATGATAAAAGGGAGAAAGAAAAAAATTGTGCCTTGTATTCTACAAGCATGTGTCCAAGCTCTCTAGTTTACAAAAGAACCATTTTAGGATTGCAGAATCTGGAACTAAAAATATCTGCATACATGGAGTGTCACTCAGAATAGTGCACCTGCATGTGAGAAGCTACAAACATATTTGCACCAGAGCAACGTAACAAGTGTCTCTTCACTCCCTGTGCAGGAGCAAATATGTGTTTTTCGTCACATCTAATCCTGGGTCCTTCTACCCAATTACACAAATAAACTGAAAATATGCACACAAAATATATTAAGATTTGTTTTCCTAACTGTCAGGAATTATCCCAGTCCCGAAAAAAGGTAGACATTATTGCTCTGTAGCATTGCTGCACTCATTAACAAAAGGTAGCACTAAGCATTTATATAACCAAAGCGTCTTAAACGTTTTGTAACTGAACTGCACAGAAAAGCACAGGATGCAAAAGGCTTTTTACTCACTTTTGTACCTTCAGGTTACGGCAATGTTTTAGAGCGATGGCGGAAGAAAGGGATACTTCAGATGAGACTGCGAGACCGTTGGTCACCTAAAGAACAAGGATACAGTGGTACCTCAGGTTAAGTACTTAATTCGTTCCGGAGGTCTGTCCTTAACCTGAAACTATTCTTAACCTGAAGCACCACTTTAGCTAATGGGGCCTCCTGCTGCTGCGCCGTAGGAGCATGATTTCTGTTCTCATCCTGAAGCAAAGTTCTTAACCTGAAGCCCTATTTCTGGGTTAGCGGAGTCTGTAACCTGAAGCGTATGTAACCTGAAGCGTATGTAACCCGAGGTACCACTGTACTTTTATTTCTATTCTGAAACGCAATCAAGATGTGTTTAAAAGCACAACTAATAAAAAGGTTCCCCTTAAAACAGTCTGTTGAGTATATCTTTGTGCTGCAAAGTAAATGAGACCACGTTCACCATTCGTAGGAGCCAACTCCTAGGGACAGAGGCCCCTTCACCCCACCCCCCATAAAATATTTGAGGGGGCCCGGCTCCTCCAAAGTTGATGGGCATTGCCATTCAAATGGCATGTGTGCGCCATGTTTTGTGATCAATTACGCAAGACGGGCTTACCTGGGCCTCCCAATATTTTATTCAAATTGGCACCCCTGTCACCATTACTAACTGAATTGGTAGTCGTGAACCCAATTTTCTCTGGATTTCCCCCAATGATCAAAATAAGCAAGAAGCTAGAAAACAAATGTAGCTATTGTCCCCTAATAAGCAGGATGCTGAAATTTAATGGGGAATGTCTTTAACAATGCAGATGTTGTAATCTTTATATCATAGCGAGGGGTGATACCCACCTAAGTCTGAGTCTGAGTAATGTTAGCTATCACCCAAGGTGTTTTGAAACATATACGTAATACCAAGATTCAGACTTGTATGCATAAGCTACATATACATGTAAAAGTAACACAGGTTAATAGACATAATACCTAAGGAACACATCGGCCTCTAGAAACTTTTAAGCAGAGCCTGGATAGCAACCACTCCCAGACTAAAGAAGAATCAGGAGCTACAACATGCACAATTGTAACTTTTGATATTACCTCCTTTTTAATGATTTTGTCAAGGACAGCCAACATGTTCAAAAATGAGTTTAAGTCCTTTCCTTCTTTCACAAGATCAGCATCAAGTCCGCTGCAAAAGACGTGTTTTTTGAAAGAGGTCACAATCTGGGAAAGATGGAATAACTGTACAATCTGAATAACATGTGAAGTTTTTAAACGTGTATCAAGGTGTATAACATGGGTAGGCAAACTAAGGCCCGGGGGCCAGATCTGGCCCAATCGCCTTCTAAATCCAGTCCGCAGATGGTCAGCGTGTTTTTACATGAGTAGAATGTGTCTTTTTATTTAAAATGTATCTCTGGGTTATTTGTGGGGCATAGGAATTTGTTCATTTCCCCCTCCCCCCAAATCTAGTCCGGCCCCCCACAAGGTCTGAGGGACAGCGGACAAGCCCCCGCTGAAAAAGTCTGCTGACTCCTGGCGTATAATTAACCAGCAAAGGTTATGCTGTTGTTCTTCAACGAGGAGCCGTCTTTTACTAAGCATTAGCATCATTTGGCGCATTTTGCAAAAACAGAAAATGAAGGCAGAGAGACATGAGGGTAAATGGGAGAAAGCCAATCATTTTGTTAGTGCATGGTCTATAATTGTACATTGTTCCTGTTCTCCTAACTCAGTATTAACTGGTTTGACACACTGCATGCCAATATCAGAGAAACTGATAATGAAGTTAGCTGCAGGTGACGCCCAAAAAAAGGATTAGAAATATTCCAAGTGTAGGAAAAAAAATTGCTTTGGAATTTGCGTTAACAGGCTGCAATCTCTCATAAACACACTCTATTCCTGACCTGGCAACAGTATGGCTAACCTGAGAAGGGCCTTGAGTTCTTTCGTATCCTTTCCCTTCTCAATTTGAACAGACGGCGAAAGCAAGCGTGCATTGCTTTCATCAACGGCGACGGTTGTTTTAACGTGAGGTCTTGGAAATGAAATATTTTTCATGTGGAGCTCCAGAAACTTGTCTGTTCTGATGGTCTCTTCACTATTCGGTCTTCCAGCTTCTAGTGGGTGTAGGAGTTGTGCCCTGGTACTGAGGTCTTGCAATGGAGCTATATCTGAAAACAACAGAAGACATGAACACACAATGAAAAGCTTAACTCTTAACAGAAGACAATCTATGCCAGTGTTTCTCAACCTGTGGGTCTCCAGATGTTGTTGGACTACAACTCCCATCATTCCTAGCCAGCATGACCAGTGGTCAGGGATGATGGGAGCTGTAGTCCAACAACATCTGGGGACCCACAGGCTGAGAACTACTGATCTGTGCTGTTAACACTGCATACGTTTCCATCTTCTCCAGGACTTCCAGAGGTCTTCAGGAATGAACAAGGTTCTGAAATTCTGCCCACAAATGAGGGATAGCCAAGGTGGTACTTTCCAGGTGTTGCTGAACTCATATCCTCCCAGATCATTGGCCACACTTGCTGGGGCTGATGGGAATTGGAGTCCAACAACATCTGGAAAACGCCACCTTTGCCACAGATCATACTGTGTGTATGACTCTAAATAGATGGAACGGCTCAGCAGAAATCAACAGAGCAGGTTTCTAGGAAGGCAATGTTAAAAGTTACATACATTTTATTCAGAATCCTGCTCTAGCCTTACCTTTTGTAAACACCATATAATATTTAACCATTCAGGAGGGAAAACCTGGAACCACGTGCTATGCTCTACAAGCCAGATGAATTGTTTCCCTTAAACTTAAACATGTTTAGCCCCAATGACTTCAACCCAAGTATACTGGCCAAACACCCCCCTCATTAGACTATCCAGTGTAAACTTGCCATCATTTCATTTGAGTGCTGGGTTGGAAAGTTAGGGGGGGGGAACAGACTAAAAATTATCCATGTTCATTCAATCAGTTATATTCCCCCACTTACACAGAATCCCCATCCAGCTATATCAAGGTCTAGCCAAAGTTCCCCCTAAACTGACAGACTAGAAAACTTAGTTGAACGGGAGGTCTAACTGGAGGATTATCTGAACCTGAAAATATGTGTTGCTTTAATACATTCACCGCATTTGTTTTATCGATTTATCTGCACTTTAGAACAAATTTTAGACAAGTGTGCCATTACCTTCATGCATCAAGCACTTCCAGTATGGTTTGTGTACAGCTCTTACATTGTGGATTGATTCTAATGCACTACAGAAGAGACAAAAGAGTGTAGGAAAGGTTATCTACAAAATACACACACAAATGAGTATCAACCCAGTCCCTATATTGTTTAAAAGTAAGAATCTGTAAAGTTGTTGCATTAGCAAGTTGCAATGACACAGGACAGAAAACAAATGTAAAAATATCACAGGTTTTGTGGCATGCTAAGGACTAAAAAATATATTTTTGGCATAGCAGCGTCTGGTCCTTCAACTATATTAGTATTCAATAGACCAGGCATAGGCAAACTTGTCCCTCCAGATGTTTTAGGACTACAACTCCTATCATCCCTACCTAACAGGACCAGTGCTCAGGGATGATGGGAATTGTAGTCTCAAAACATCTGGAGGGCCGAGTTTGCCTATGCCTGCAATAGACTGTATGTGCTTCTTCCTCAAACTGACCAAGCTAAATGTTGTCCAATCACAAAAATAATAGCAGATTTGAATTCCTCACACCAAGAAGCATATTTTTAAGACCATTCCCTGAAGAAATTTGCAAAAATTAAGTTCAACCCCTAAAATGACATGCTTTATTACATTAACTAAAGGGCCTAGAAGCTCCAGTCAGTGAAGTGGAGCCCAGTATACCTGAAGGAGCGTCTCCACCCCCATCGTTCTGCCTGGACATTCAGGTCCAGTTCCAAGGGCCTTCTGACAGTTCCCTCACTCTGAGAAGTGAGGTTACAGGGGAATCAGGTAGAGGGCCTTCTTGGTAGTGGCGCCTGCCCTGTGGAACACCCTCCCATCAGATGTCAAGGAAATAAACAACTGACTTTTAGAAGACATCTGAAGGCAGCCCAGTTTAGGAAAGTTTTTAATGTTTGATGTTTTATCGTGTTTTTAATAGTCTGTTGGGAGCTGCCGAAGGTGGCTGGGGAAACCCAGCCAGATGGGCAGGGTATAATAATAATAAATCAATATCTAATGTGGAGTCCTGAGTGGGTGTATGCCTCCCATCTTCCCTTGATGGAGCATTAATGGAATCCAACCACCTTGGAAAAGATTACAAACTAGGTTGATTATGAGTTCCAGCTAGTAAAGGAAACATGAAAACAGGTGTGGCCAGGAAAAGGCAAGAGATGAACACCACACAAACAAAACTTCCCCATAGTGTAATTATGGGCACAATTGTTCGATCCATGCTAACAAGAAGAAGAAGAAGAAGAAGAAGAAGAAGAAGAAGAAGAAGAAGAAGAGTTTGGATCTGATATCTCGCCTTTCACTCCCTTTCAGGAGTCTCAAAGCGGCTAACATCCTCCTTCCCCTTCCTCCCACACAACAAACACTCTGTGAGGTGAGTGGGGCTGAGAGACTTCAAAGAAGTGTGACTGGCCCAAGGTCACCCAGCAGCTGCATGTGGAGGAGCGGAGACGCGAACCCGGTTCCCCAGATTACAAGACTACCGCTCTTAACCACTACACCACACTGGCTCTCACAACAAAAATATGTGACATTTGCTCCACTCAGAATAAGCTGTGTATGTCAAAATCATAGCAAGGATAAAACCCAAATTGTTGGCTCTCTTTCCAACATGCAGAGTTGCAGAATGAAGACAAGAAAAACCGGCAAATGGGGGAAAGCATAGATGGAAGTAGGAGCAGAATTGTGCCAGGATGAGGAATGCAAAGGGGGAGAGGCATTTTGCTCTTTACATGAAGGTCTGTGGTTTATATTGCAAAGCTCTCCGTTGTACAGAGCTGGGGGAATCCTGACCATGGACTAGCAAACAAACAAAAAGAAACTATGCAAGTCAGTCGGTAATCAACACATTTTTACATCATGTGTTAAAGGATGACAGGCATGTCCTTCCTTGCCATGCAAGTGTTTTATTATGGTGCATGGAGCTCAGCCCAAATTCCAACACAGTGACTATACACTGAGCTCAGCAACCAACCTCTCCTCTGTAGGTTTGCTAGTTTTCCATTGTTGACAATGAGGTTTCACTTTTAAAAGTCTCATTAAGTTTAACTTCTTCATTAAATAAATAGTAAAGGTAAAGGGACCCCTGACCATTAGGTCCAGTCAGGCTGACTCTGGGGTTGCGGCGCTCATCTTGCTTTATTGGCTTTGGGAGCTGGTGTACAGCTTCCGGGTCAAGTGGCCAGCATGACTAAGCCACTTCTGGAGAACCAGAGCAGCGCACGGAAACGCCGTTTACCTTCCCACTGGAGCGGTACCTATTTATCTACTTGCACTTTGACGTGCTTTCGAACTGCTAGGTTGGCAGGAGCTGGGACCGAGCAACGGGAGCTCACCCCGTTGCGGGGATTCGAACCGCTGACCTTCTGATCGGCAAGTCCTAGGCTCTGTGGTTTAACCCACAGCGCCACCCGCGTCCCAAATAAACTGTACATACTTCCAAATATACTACCAATGTCTTCCAAAAACAGCAACCTCATGCATGAAGATGGGATACAAGACTTGCTTATTACAACAGGGAATGATTGAGCAGGGAATTAAAACTTCCTCAGTTAAATGAACAGGACTTAAAATGTGCTCCCCGTTTGGCTGAATTCTGCTCACATATGGAGATAATGTTTACACTGGAGTTCTTTTCAAGCACTGCTCATGCAAAAGGAGCATGGATGACTCCATGTTCAGCCACCCCACCCCACATGTGATTCCCACAGCCCTTTTCGCTTGCCCCCGTCATGTGAGTAACTCCTGAGGGGAGCAGCAATCTTTTATTCCAGACATGCAGACACATGCGCACAAACCTATACAAATACCTTAAGCATGGCGCCATTTCTCCGGACAAACGTGGCAATGGATCTCCAAGCAAAGTTTTTAGAGTCATACAAACTGATTCAGACAGCGACCTCAGATGATATCCGCCCTAAAATACATTTGAAAATATATACTGAATTTGCCATAGCTCGCCATCACCATCTCGTGTCACATTTTCACATTGCACTTTACAACACACTTGAAACATTTCATTTGCAGCTGTATAGCTGAGTTCCAGGTGGGGAAAAGCCAGCAAGGCAGGGAGCAGGTCTTCCAGGACTCACGGCCAATATGGGCACAGCCAAAATGCAGAAACAGCCTCCCCTCAGAAGGACGTATCCACAGACTCCATTCTTTTCAAAGTATGTTAAAAAACAAACTTGATCACCCAGGAGTTTCTTGACTGTTAATTTTAATTGGGCATATTCCTTTTTTTTTTTTTTAATATAAATTTTATTTTATAATACCATACAAACAAAAAAGACAAACACAACACGTTCACACCAAAAAAAAAACATATACATACATATACATACTCCTGACATAAGACAACAACAAATTAACTACATTAACTACTTAACACACAACACTGACTGACTTCCCTTCATCTCGGTTTCGGAATGTGTTATAAAATTTTCTATCTGCAGTTTCTTTTCCTCAAAAAAATTCTTTACATCACCAGTGTTCTATCGCCCGTACTGTGTTTTTGAGTTTTTTTTACCTCTGTTTCCATGTATGCCATGAATTTATTCCAATCTTTATTAAACTTTGTGTCTTTTTGATTTCTTATTTTCTGTGTCATTTTTGCCAATTCTAGATAGTCGAGTAGTTTCGATTGGGCATATTCCTGGCTCCTTCATTACACATTTTTAGGCACCAGGCAAAATGATTTTTCTTCAATCAGGTGTTTGGCTGATTAACAGTCTATAATCTTTTAAATGTGTCTGTGAGAGGGGGTTATTGGTTTGGTTTGGTTTGGTTTGGTTTAATTATGTATTTTGTCTTTTCATTTTGTCTTTTTATGATGTGAACCACCCTGTGATCTTTGGATGAAGGGCAGTATAATTAATTAATTAATTAATTAATTAATTAATTATAAATTCCAGTATCTTGGTTTATTATTGTTTCCTAATGTGTTTTATTACTTTTGTACAACACTTTGGCTATGGTTTGTTTGTTCTTGGTACAGAGTGGCAAGTAAGTGCTTTAAACAAATCACAAAAAAAGCGTGCAGCATTTAAAGTTTACCTCCAGAACCACACACAATTTTCCTTTCGCCAACTGCATTAGGAGATGAGTGAGATGGGCAAAACATTCCGGCGTAGCGCTCATCTGACCCTAGAAAATGAGAAAGAAAGATACAAGCAGCTCATGAAACCAGAAAACCACTTCTGGGAAATTTGCCTGTTCTCACTCTTATATGAAAAGAAATTTTAACTCTAAAGTCAGGGAGGTGGCAAATATATATGTAGAAGATTACTTACCTCTGGGTCACCAATTCCGGAATCGTAACCAGCAGAGACCAAAACAAGTTCTGGATCAAACTAAGATTTTTTAAAACAAAACAAAACAAAACAAAACTGTGAATACATTATAGTGCACTCTGAATGAAGTTATAGAAATCTGCCAGTAATTCATCAATTCAAACAGATACATTGGCATGTGGGTATTGATGGTCTACTTAAATGGACTGCAAATACTGCTTTCTCATTCTCTATAAACGGTACACATAAACCTGCCTTACACCAAGTTAGACGGTTGTCCATCTCACCCGCTCTTCCCCAACCTGGTGCCCTCCAGACTTTTTGAACTAAAACTCCCATTTTCTGTAGCTAGCATAGCCAAAGGTCAGAGATGAAGAGAGCTGTAGCCCAGGAACATTTGGAGAGTGGTACCAGGTTGAAGAGTAGGGACGCGGGTGGTGCTGTGGGTTAAACCACAGAGCCTAGGACTTGCCGATCAGAAGGTCGGTGGTTTGAATCCCTGCAACGGGGTGAGCTCCTGTTGCTCGGTCCCTGCTTCTGCCAACCTAGCAGTTCAAAAGCACGTCAAAGTGCAAGTAGATAAATAGGTACCACTCCAGCGGGAAGGTAAATGGCATTTCCGTGCGCTGCTCTGGTTCGCCATCCGTGTATACACGGATACACTCCCTCATATTATTAAATCTGAGTCTCCAAAAATAGGGGGTGTCTTATACATGGGGGCATTTTACAGATGGAAAAATACGGCAATCACTATTTCCCTTAGTCATGGTGGCCACATGACCTGGAAGTTGTACGCCGGCTCCCTTGGCCAATAAAGCAAGATGTGCGCCACAACCCCAGAATCGGCCACAACTGGACCTAATGGTCAGGGGTCTCTTTACCTTTACCAGGTTGAAGAAGTTTGCTCCGATTGGACTTGTAGCATCTGGAGACCCTAGGGACTGAATCTAGACCTTTAAGCATGCAAAGCATTTACTCTACCACATACAAATGGCATCTCCACTAACAGAACGCTCATTGTACTCTAAGACGGGTCGCCAACCTTTTCAGGCCAGTAGGCACATTTGGCATTTTGAGAGTGTGCTGTGGGGTGCCAGCTGCTGGGGTAGGGTACAGCATAAAACAAAATGGCTGCCACGTGGAGTGTGGCATAGCCCAAAATGAGAGAGGCCGACCCTCCCTTACGCTTACCAATTGGAAATCAGATATGTCAGGTCGGTCCTGATTGTGTAAAATCAATACTGCGTGATCTCCACATACACAGAGGTGCTGTTGTTATCAAACAGGGAGCATTCCTCAGTACCAGGGTGAAAATACAAGATGGCCACCACACAACCACCCTCATTTCACAGAAATCGCTTAGAAGATACCTGCACGTTTTACCTCATAATTTTTTTTCTAGGAGGGCTGGGGACTTTTTTTAAAAATGAAAGCTCAGAGTCCAGGGCATCTGTCCAGGGGCACTGGTGAAAGCCTTCGCGGGCATCACGGTGCCCACGGGTACCAGGTTGGCAACCCTTGCTGGCAACCCTTGCTCTAAGCTCCTCTAAAACCATCACCATTTCAAGGCTTCTATTTACTTTCCTCTGTGCTTGCTAAAAATAGCTGTATATTTCTTTAATCACTCCCTAGTCAATGCAGTTCTATCTGATAACTGCCTTCACCCCTGCGGACCATTTTTCTAGAAGCAACAAAATACAGTATTTTTCCATGTATAAGACTAGGGGTTTTTTCCCTAAAAAATAATGTCAAAAATTAGGGGGCATCTCATAAACGGATACATCTCCCCCCATTTTCTTAAATCTGGGTCTCCAAAAATAGGGGGCGTCTTATACACGGGGGAGTCTTATAGACGGAAAAATACGGCAATCACTATTTCCCTATAGCAGAAGATCATTTCTCAAGATGCCACTACCAAGGAATATGTTGAAATGGCTTTTAGATACAATTTCTAATTCATGCAAACGAGATTTACAACATTCAGAATGGGGGAGGAAAGTTACCTCAAAAGCCAATGGAAGCAACACGTGAAGAAATACGGCTACATAATCTGCATTGCCCATTCCAATCTGCAAAGGCAATGGATTAAAACAGAATGAACAAATCGCTTTTAAAACTGTCAAGGCAGTCTAAGATTTCATTAAGATCTCAGGGAACTGATCCAAGGCTTCAAAGAATGAGGCAGAGCTGTGGCTCCTGCCATTATCAGAAGGATCAATTCCTAAAATTGTACGCTGAGTGGGAAGAATCTTACGCGCCTGTTTAATGCTGGATTGAGTCACAACTGACAACATGTAAATAGAATACAGATGTGAAATTCAGTTACAGGGTTTGGCTGTGTTTGTTACCATTACGACGGAAGCCATGTCAGTACAAAATCAATTAGCATACCTGGGAAATGCTTTTCTCTGCTAATTAGAGATTACCGCTAACCAAGGGATGTGTACATGGGAAATGAATCTTCTCCTTATTTGTTTGTTAAAAAGTTATCAGAACACATGCAACACAGAAAGATTATCTGTGAAACAGTATCATGCAGATGCAGTTATCTGTATGAACTTTGCTATGTTACATATCAGTTTATAAATCCCCTTTTCTAATCTGTTATTCATATAATCATTACAAACTCTTATCACCAATTCCACAACCTTCAGCTTCAACTAATTTTTAACAAACTGGGTTCTACCCATTTCACACTTCTCTTGATACCTTACTATTGCAGTCTAAAACATTTTTAAAAACATAAATAATCAAGGTAACAATTGAAAAACATTTTTAAACAGAAATTGTACCAGGTACATGACTTCAAGAGCTTATCACAGTTGCATTCTTAAGCTATCTTGTGATTTACCTTATTCCAAGGCACATTTATATTGAATCCTTTTCCTTTCCCCTGACCAACTGAATCATAATCAGACTCTCTAAGCGTAGGCCAATACTGCTGGTGTTCATACCGATGCCAGGAAAAATAGAGGACACTGGAAGCAAGAACAAAACAAGGTTAATTATGCCATTAATGCTCACCTGAAAGTTTTTTTCAGCATGTGCAAACACCAAATTTGTACCTCAAGAGTGAACATGAAACATGACAACATTACACATTGGCCTGGTCCACATGTCCACTAAGCCAAAGCATGGCTTGGCAGGAATATGTGATTTACAGGAGAGGAGATAGTGAGCATTTTGCCCCTATTCTAGTCATTCTGCTGCCTGACATGTCATCCAAACCTGGGCTCATCGCTTAGCTCTCTCTCCTGACTAGAAATGAGCTGTAACCAGCATTTGTCCTGTGGTATACAGTTCATAAGGGACGTGGGTGGTGCTGTGGGTTAAACCACAGAGTCTAGGGCTTGCCGATCAGAAGGTTGGCGGTTCGAATCCCCGCAACGGGGTGAGCTTCTGTTGCTCGGTCCCTGCTCCTGCCAACCTAGCAGTTCGAAAGCACGTCAAAGTGCAAGTAGATAAATAGGTACCGCTCCAGCAGGAAGGTAAACGGCCTTTCCGTGCGCTGCTCTGGTTTGCCAGAAGCGACTTAGTCATGCTGGCCATATGACCCAGAAGCTGTACGCTGGCTCCCTCAGCCAATAAAGCGAGATGAGCATTGCAATCCCAGAGTCGGTCACGATTGGACCTAATGGTCAGGGGTCCCTTTACCTTTATACAGTTCTTGGTTTGTCCAGGATACCTAAACCGCAAATCTGGATTCAGATGACATGGGAAGCCAAACCATTATTATTACAGCAAACAGACAAACCACTCTCTCTCAACTTTGGATTTCCAAGTTCACCCAGAAAGCTAACAGATAAATTGGGTTTTGAAGCCATTGTCCTAAACACAGGCAAACCTGGAAAAGGCCTGTTGTGGTTTTTTTTATACTCTCAATGGAGCTATCCCCAGAAGAATTACAGGATAAACTGGAAGAATGAAGATGAGCATGAATAATAAAAAATATAGAACATGATGCAAGACACATAATGATAAAACAGTTATGTTACAACTGAACTTCATTCTAAGTGTGTGTTTGTGTGTGTGTGTGTAGATTTTACAATGATCAGTTTTAATGAAATATGCATCTTAAGGAGATCAAAACGGCGTTCCGTGTGCTGCGCTGGCTCGCCAGATGCAGCTTGTCACGCTGACCACGTGACTCGGAAGTGTCTGCGGACAGCACTGGCTCCCAGCCTCTAGAGTGAGATGAGCGCACAACCCTAGAGTCTGTCAAGACTGGCCCGTACGGGCAGGGGTGCCTTTACCTTTTTTTAAGCAGATCAAAAAGTGCCAAAATATGTCAGGAACTGACATGTTCTATTAAATATGCTTGATACCCACTTCCAGACTAATTGCAAGCATTTTGAAAGGCATATACAATGTTGCTCCAAATCTGTAAAAACAAGTAAACAACAAACCTTGGATCTTCATTAAATATATATTGAATTCCTTGTCCGTGATGCACGTCCCAGTCAACAATCAGAACTCTGCATGAACCAACAATGACAATATTCACTAGAGAAGCTAGAAAACTCTAGGCCAGAAACTAATAAATGTAGAGACCAATATATACTTAACCTCCGGAGACCATATTTCCTTTGGGCATATTTTGCTGCTATAGCAACATTGTTGAATATACAAAACCCATTGGCTGCATTTCTCTGGCTGTGGTGGCCTGGAGGCCTGCAAGCAAGCAAAGCAGTAAATTAAGCATTAATTAATAGAACCACAGGAACCTAGATTTGGAAGTGGGGCCCATAGGTCACCTAATCCTCTGGTCAACCTAGGAAATCCAGAGCTAGAACACCCTCAGTGGATGGCCATTGAGGTTGAATCCTGACAAGATAGAAGTACTGTTTTGGGGGGACAGGGAAAGGGCAGGTGTGGAGGATTCCCTGGTCCTGAATGGGGTAACTGTGCCCCTGAAGGACCAGGTGCGCAGCCTGGGAGTCATTTTGGACTCACAGCTGTCCATGGAGGTGCAGGTTAATTCTGTGTCCAGGACAGCTGTCTACCAACTCCATCTGGTACGCAGGCTGAGACACTATCTGTCCGCAGACTGTCTCGCCAGAGTGGTGCATGCTCTGGTTATCTCCCGCTTGGACTACTGCAATGCGCTCTACGTGGGGCTACCTTTGAAGGTGACCCAGAAACTGCAACTAATCCAGAATGCAGCAGCTAGGCTGGCGACTGGGAGTGGCCACTGAGACCACATAACACCGGTCCTGAAAGACCTACATTGGCTCTCAGTATATTTCCAAGCACAATTCAAAGTGTTGGTGCTGACCTTTAAAGCCCTAAAAGGCCTTGGCCCAGTATACCTGAAGGAGCGTCTCCACCCCTATCGTTCAGCCCAGACACTGAGGTCCAGCTCCGAGGGCCTTCTGGTGGTTCCCTCCCTAAGAGAAGTGAGGTTACAGGGAACCAGATAGAGGGCCTTCTCGGTAGTGGTGCTCACCTTGTGGAACACCCTCCCATCAGATGTCAAGGAAATAAACAACTATCTGACTTTTAGAAGACACCTGAAGTCAGTCCTGTTTAGGGAAGTTTTTAATGTTTAATGCTGTATTGTATTTTTAATATTTGATTAGAAACCGCCCAGAGTGGCTGGGGAAACCCAGCCAGATGGACCAGGTATAAATAATAATATATTATTATTATTATTATTATTATTATTATTATTATTATTATTAATCTAGAGCTAGAACATCCTCAGTGGATGACTGTCCAGCCCTTGCTTGAAGACCTCTACCAAGGGACCAGCCCTCTAGGCCTAATTTCATGCTGATGATGAGGAAGAAGAAAACCTGGGGAGAAAGTGGGTGGCAGGAAGGAGGAGAAAAAGAGGGTGCCCTGCTCCTTTTTGACTGTGGACCCACCTACCACTTCTTCCTGCCTTGGCCCGCCACCAACATGCCGTATCAACAGATAAGCTTCTGAGGAAGCACAGCCCACAATGGGGAAAAGCTCCCCATCCCTGCTCTAGGTTACTGGTCCCATTGGCAAATGGGACTGGAAAACACACGGGATTTCCAATAAGAAGAATTATCACATTGTTACCTTATCAGAGCCATCCCATTCCGTGTTTTCCCTGACATCACAGCATCCACCATGTCCAGAGTTCCTCCCACAGCCAATTTGGCACAGCGATACGTGGTCTGAAGAACAGCAGATGTTGCAATTCAAGTCTTTCACCACAACCTCTGAGAAGGAGCATTTTGGAGCATATTTCAGCTCGTCAAAGTAAGCCTAGTATGTTCCCTCCCTTCTCTCTCTCTTGACATGAGGCCCAGCAGAGTGACGCACACGGAGATTTACCCATGTGAAATGTTCTATATCAGAGTTTCCCAAACTTGGGTCTCCAGCTGTTTTTGGACTACAACTCCCATTAATAGGCAAGATATTAAATTGTTTTTATATGCAACAACTGCGGCAAGAGTATTGTTAGCCCAGAAATGGAAACAAGAAGAAATTCCAATGAAGGAAAAATGGCAGACGAAATTAATGGACTATGCAGAATTGGACAAAATGACAGGAAGGATTTGAAACCTGTGGGACCACAGATTTACAGAAGATTGGAAGAAGTATATGAATTATTTGAAGAGCAACTGTAATCAAAAATTACGCTAGTAGGACTGCAAGAAGTTTTGTAAGGAGAAATATACAAAGTGTTACAAAGTAGAAAAAGATAAGAGATATTGGTTATGAGTTTAAAATGTAATAGGGAAGATAAGAAATGCATACTGAGAGATTAGATTGGAAAATTTTCAGACAGGATTGATGGAAGTCAAAAATTTGAATAAGATGTAAAAGTATGTTTAATTACTGTTGAAAATGATATGTTAAAAAAACTAATAAAATTTTATATGTGTGTATATATATATATATATATATATATATATATATATATGAAGACCCAAGTTTGGGAAACCCTGTTCTATATAGAAAGTGATCATTATTGTGTCAGCACATACCGGGTGAAAGAAAACAGCATCGTAACCAGCCGAGGTTTTTCGGAGCTCCTCTTCTGTCATTTTCGGAGCTCTCTTCACAGTTTCCAAATAATCCGAGCTGGGGAAGAAAAAATGCCTCAGATCTTTAAGGCGGCGAACTTGCAGCCTTCCAGGCGTTGTTGGACTACAACTCCCATCAGCCATAACCACTGACCAAGCTGGCTGGCACTGATGGGAACTGGAGTGTAGCAACAGCTGGAGGGCCACAGGTTTTCCATGCCTAACCTAGAAGGACAAACAATTCTACCTTTTCTTTTAGGCAAATGGGGCCTAAGAGATTGGAACAGGCCACAAACTTGTATTCAGGTTTGGAATTGCTTGGCCGGAAGTGCAGGATATATAAATTTAATACATATATACATAAATACGGGATGCAGGTGGTGCTGTGGGTTAAACCACAGAGCCTAGGACTTGCTGATCAGAAGGTTGGCGGTTCAAATCCCCGCAACGGGGTGAGCTCCCGTTGCTCAGTCCTTGCTCCTGCCAACCTAGCAGTTTGAAAGCAGGTCAAAGTGCAAGTAGATAAATAGGTTATCCAGCGGGAAGGTAAACGGCGTTTCTGTGCGCTGCTCTGGTTTGCCAGAAGCAGCTTAGTCATGCTGGCCACATGACCCAGAGGCTGTACGCCGGCTCCCTCGGCCAATAAAACAAGATGAGCGCCGCAACCCCAGTCGGTCACAACTGGACCTAATGGTCAGGGGTCCCTTTACCTTTTATACATAAATAAATACTCACCCCACTTTCTCTTCACCCCTCCTTTCCCTTTTTTGAGCTAACCATGGTGCACTGTTATGCCTACACCAATGCTAGGGCTATTCCTGGTTCGCTTTAAGTAGCCTTTGCCACCACGGTTAGAAATGAGTTTTCAAACTCTCATTTTTGACTAAGTATAGTTAGTCAGCAGAGACACAATGCTTCACCATGATTAGGTCCAAAAAATGGGGGGGAGCCATGAGCGGAAAGGAAGGCAAGAAGCAAGTAGGGTCACAGCTTGCCCTCTTAACCATGGTTAAGGGGAAAAGGAGTATTACATCTCCAATTAAAGAATTTCAAGTTCGGATTTAGACTAACTTGTATTGAGCTTCAGCTACTTCCAATATCTTTCCTATCAACCTGAACAGTATGAAGTATTTCCTGTCTTTCAACCTAGGCCTCATTGACTTTTTGCAAAAGGCCGGGATTTCATTTCCCATTTTACATACAGGTCTTAGGGTTAGGCTATTTCATTATAAGAACAAATTGTGTGAGGAAAGTTTGAGGAAAATATCAAGGGGCAAATGCCTTTTCTATTTCTCGAACATGGCGATGGAAACGCATCATGACAGACGTCGGACCTGTGAACCAACATGACCTCTTCCTCAGTTCCTTCTCTGACAGGTACAGAGACGCATCTTTCAACCAGGTTATAGCATTTAAGGCGCTCATAGCAGGAAGAAAGCCGCTCGGGGACTTCAATGTCACAGACTGGGCTGAAAAAGAAGCAAACGTTTTATTTTTGCAGTAAAATCACCAAGGAAGCATCCATATTACTATTGAGAGAAAACAATTTTTGGGGGCAGAGGAAATTAAAAGTGGACATTTTTTTTCTCTTTAAACCACAACTTTAACCCCTGAATCTGAAGTCCTGAAGAATGATTATTAACTTTTAAAAAATGTTTTTAAATCATCCATAGGCTAGAACAACAACAAAAAGGAGAACTTCAGAATAGCCTTGTTCACATGTTGCACTGAACACAGGTACAAGTTGTCAGTACACTCATACAAGTGTTTGTGTGAAAGAGCGTACACTTGTTGATCTGCAGTTGTGGGTTGTTTAGCAGAAAACAGGATTGCACATGTTCTCAAGCCACATTTGTAGTTGTTTTTTTAAAAAAACTAAGATTTAACTTATTCTTATTAGTAGTAGTAGTAGTATTAAATTTATATACCGCTCAGGGGTCTCAGGGCAGTTCACGGAATAAAATCAAGATATAAAAACACAAAATACATAATAAAAATAAAAACAACTCAATAGCGCACCCCCCCCCAAAAAAACACATTTTAAAAGGGCAGAGAACTTACTCATCCCAAAGGAGCTTATGGCTGGTCATTTCATCATCATAAACCAATGCTGTTCCAGAAGCCATGCCTCTAACTGAAACAAACCAAACACAGAACATTCGTACACGTTTTAGGCACGGAAACATGAACACAAGTGTTCCCAAAACGGAAGTGACCGAATCCACGATGACATCCTGCAGTGTTGTGTTTAGCGCACTTTCTAGATGACTTCTAAGCACACTTAAGAGCCAGGAGAATTTCAGAGGCATCTTCACATAGCAGATATGGCCCCTACGTGAATATGTACTAACATGCATTTGGTCCAATGGTCAGAGCAGTGGTTTTCAACCAGTGTGCCGTGACACCCTGGGGTGCCTTGAATGATGGTTAGGGGTGCCACGGGCAACACTGGCCTTGTCCCTCTTTCTTCCCTTCCCTCCCTCCTCTGGTGCCCTCTTGCATTTCTGCCTCCCAAAAGCATAACGTATTTTTCGCCCCATAAGGCGCACCTAGTTTTTTGGGGGGGAGGGAAATAAAGAAAAAAAAATTATTCCCCCCCCCCCAGGCGTGGGGCTGGGGCAGGGGAAGCCCGAGCTTCCCCCGACCCCAGCCCCCAGAACAGGCTGCTATCCGCAAGCCTAGGGAGCCCGGCGGGAAGTCGCGCCGGTCTCCCCAGGCTTGCGGATATCTGCCCGAAGCCCGGGGCGCGCTACTCAGCACGCCCCGGGCTTCAGGATGCAGGCAGCTCTCCGCAAGCCTTGGGAGACCGGCGGGAACTCCTGCGGGCTCCCAAGGCTTGCGGATAGCTGCCTGAAGCCTGCACTCGCCCCAAGGGACGCACAAACATTTCCCCTTCATTTTTGGAGGGGGAAAAGTGCGTCCTATAGGGCGAAAAATACGATATGTGGCTGTTTGTTGTAGCAGCCCTGGCTACAAGCTCCACAGGCGAATGGTGCCTCTGGGGCTGGCCAGGGGGTGCTGGATGTTGGGAAATTCCATTCCACCTTTAGTTGCAGACATGGAACTGTTGCATGTCATATGTCTGTTTACATACCAGCACAGGTTGCTGGGAATTTCCGTTGTGTGTATAGCTTTTGCTTTTCTCTGTCTCCCTGAGAAGACAAAGAGAGAGATGACATGTTTCTTTGTTCTGATTTATGATTAATAAATCCGTAGTTGTAGTATGCTTCCGCAAGCCTCAAGCCTATTCTGTGTGCACAGTTCGCTCGGCTGCTATAGTGTGCCCTGGCTTTGAAGCCTGGGTCTCTGATTTACATCGGAGCAGAGGCTGATGGGTCGTCGCAGCGGGACGGCTGGAAGGAGACGACGCAGCTGGGGCTAGCCAGCTGGCCTTGCGACCCTCTGCATGCCAGGAGCAGAGGTGGCCTCGGAGGAAGCAAGCAAGCGGGCGAGGGAGCCCAGCTAGCCAGTCTGCCAGACCTTGCTGTTGGGAATGGACAGAAAAGTGGGAAGCTGGGCAGGCAGGCACCGTGCTGGCCTTTCTTGTGCTCGCTGTGTGAAAGGCCTGCCTGGGAGCTGAGTGCCCAGCGCTGAAGGGCACACCATGCAGGACCAGCAATGCCCACTGCTGCCTCACAAGGTGAGGAAGGTGCTGGCCCTATGCTCACCTTTGTTCGGTCTCCAGTGGGCTACTAAGGCTGGGGGCATCCTCTTCCCAAGCCCCTCTTTGGGGCAGCTCAGAGACCAGGGGCTGCTGCCCGGAGGACTCTCAAGAAGAGGGGAGAAGAGGCTGTGGGAACACTCCACAAGGGAGAGTCAGGGCCGGATTTAGGTTTGATGAGGCCCTAAGCTACTGAAGGTAATGGGGTGCATTATATGTCAACAACAAATTGTCGCTGTTTTTTGTGTTGAATATATGCTATATGGTAATTTATAATAATAATAATAATAATAATTTATTATTTGTACCCCGCCCATCTGGCTGGGTTTCCCCAGCCACTCTGGGCGGCTTCCATAGAAACAAAAAATACAGTAAAATATCACAGATTAAAAGCTTCCCTGAACAGGGCTGCCTTAAGATGTCTTCTAAATGTCAGGTAGTTATTTATCGCTTTGACATCTGATGGGAGGGCTTTCCACAGGGCGGGTGCCACTACCGAGAAGGCCCTCTGCCTGGTTCCCTGTAGCTTTGCTTCTCGCAATGAGGGAACCGCCAGAAGGCCCTCGGCGCTGGACCTCAGCGTCCGGGCAGAACGATGGGGGTGGAGACGCTCCTTCAGGTATACTGGGCCGAGGCCGTTTAGGGCTTTAAAGGTCAACACCAACACTTTGAATTGTGCTCGGAAACGTACTGGGAGCCAATGTAGGTCTTTCAAGACCGGTGTTATGTGGTCTCGGCGGCCGCCCCAGTCACCAGTCTAGCTGCCGCATTCTGGATTAATTGTAGTTTCCGGGTCACCTTCAAAGGTAGCCCCACGTAGAGCGCATTGCAGTAGTCCAAGCGGGAGATAACTAGAGCATGCACCACTCTGGCGAGACAGTCCGCGGGCAGGTAGGGTCTCAGCCTGCGTACCAGGTGGAGTTGGTAGACAGCTGCCCTGGATACAGAATTGACCTGTGCCTCCATGGACAGCTGTGAGTCCAAAATGACTCCCAGGCTGCGCACCTGGTCCTTCAGGGGCACAGTTACCCTATTCAGGACCAGGGAGTCCTCCACACCAGCCCGCCCCCTGTCCCCCAAAAACAATACTTCTGTCTTGTCAGGATTCAACTTCAATCCATTAGCCGCCATCCATCCTCCAACCGCCTCCAGGACCTAATAGGTATCTAAAGCCATTTGCACATAACAAAATGTTTTTTATTTGATATTTTGGAAATGTACATCCAGTGTTTTTCTCCTTTAAATTTTTTTGGGGTCCCCCAAGAGAGTGGGGCCCTAAGCTATAGCTTGTTTAGCTTATGCATAAATCCAGCACTGGGGAGGGTGTTCCAAAAGGGGTGACGGTCTGCCGCCTCTGCAGGCAAGGGGTGATGTAACTGGGCTCCTGAGGCTCTGAGTGTGTTTCCACACAGGGGAGCTGCAGAAATAATGTTGTTGGCCGAGGGAGCCACGGACTCCGAAAGGTTGAAAACCCCTGGGTTAGAGTGTTCACTTCATCAAATCTGGCCCTCTTTGAAAAAGGTTTGGGCACCCCCAGCCCTGGTGCTGAATTGAGAAAGAATTCTTTTATTAAATCTTAAATTGTAAAGTTGGAAGGGTCACTAGTCCAACCCACTGCAATGCCTAGAACCTGGCATTGGGCTGCAAGAATGTACTGTAAACTAACACATTTTCAAAATGTCTGATAGCCAAGTTCCACTACTTTTCACAGGCTGGGAGTAGTGGCTCCCTCATATTGTAACCATTATGGAATTAAGACTTGAAAACAAAGTACAGTGGTACCTCAGGTTAAGTACTTAATTCGTTCCGGAAGTCTGTTCTTAACCTGAAACTGTTCTTAACCTGAAGCACCACTTTAGCTAATGGGGCCTCCCGCTGCCGCTGGAGCATGATTTCTGTTCTCATCCTGAAGCAAAGTTCTTAACCTGAAGCACTATTTCTGGGTTAGCGGAGTCTGTAACCTGAAGCGTATAGAACCTGAAGCGTATGTAACCTGAGGTACCACTGTACTAGCACAGTTTGTGTTGTGGATATGCTACTTCCATAGTTTACTTGACATGGTTCAGACTGACCAATGCATTGTTTTCAGTGACAGTTCGTGGCAGCTGAAGCTGTGAAATGTGCTAGGGGCAAGAATTTCGTTGTTGTGAATTCTACTCATGTTAACAACGTTATCTGACCAATAGTAAGCAAAATCTCTTAATTTGAGGAAAAAATATACCATACAATGTACTCTATCAAACTATTTTACATGAATAACGCAGGCATTCTGAAATTAGAAAGAAAGCAACATTGTTAAAAACAAGGTGTTACATAATAAGATAATTTGTCTTAAATCTGCCAAAAACAGTGTGGTGGTGTCATATATATAAATCCATTGTTAATAAACAAGCAACTTAAAAAGTTTGTTTATGTTTCCTGTCCCCCCCCCCCCAAGCAGAGATAATGTGTAAGCGTGGCGTCAGCTCCCTTAAAAAACGGTCGAAAACTCTGGGAAAGGGGCGTGGGCCGCCGGAGGGATCTTTGCACCACGGCGCCGGATATGCATAAGACGGCCCTGCAGCTCCCCTCCCAAAAAATGAAATGCAAAACATTTCATGCGTCTCTTGGGGTTACCACTGAGCAGATCCTTGTTGACGGCTTGAAGCTCAAGCAAGGAACCCTTAATGCCCGACGGTCAGCAAAAGGAAGGAGTGCCTCTGAACATGTGCAGAGTGCAGTTTCTGCCCCACTCCCCCGCAACTTCGACCAACTGCAGCGGGAACGGCAAAGGATCAGTGCAGGTCCCTGGTTTGATTTAAGACTTACTTTTGACCTACCTAAGGTAAGAAGGGTCGTTGCTTCTGTCTGCTGCACCCAGCGTGGAAACAAAGGTTAAGCAAAGGGTTAATAGTGGAGCTCTTCCCTCCTGCTAAACCTCAGGGACTCTCCGTTGTGTGTAGAGAGGAAAGACAGATCAAAGGGCTTGAAGGGCGGAGCGAAAATCTGCCGCTCCTGATTAGCCAGGGGAGATGGAGAAGAATTCTTCGTCGGCCCAATGAGGATCCGCAATGCAAAGGACAGGGGCAGACTTAGGAGCGTCAATCTGCATCGCTGCCTCTCATTGGGCTATCGGGACTACTAGCTAATCCATTCATGCTCTGAGTGGCGCGCGAAAGGCGAGGCGGGCAAAGCATTTGCGGCCGCGCAGTCACGGATAAAACAAGGTTGTCAGTGAGATAGTATCCGTTCTGTAGTTACAACGTGTCGGCTGTTTAAAATGACTTTTAGGTGTAAAAAAGCATTGTGAGTTTTCACTGAACTGGCGTTTTCCTCTGGTTTTGTAAATAATAATAATTAATAATATTAATATTAACAATAGTATTATTAATAATATTAGTAGTATTATTAATAGTATTAATATTAATTAATAATATTGATATTATTAATACCCGCCCATCTGGCTGGGTTTCCCCAGCCACTCTGGGCGGCTCCCAACAGAATATAAAAAGCATGATAAAACATCAAACATTAAAAACTTCCCTAAGCAGGGCTGCCTTCAGATGTCTTCTAAAATGTAACACTAATGTGTCAACAAATGAAACTTATCTGTAGAAAACGCAACTTGAAAAAAGAGAAAATGCATGTATTTTCATAAACAAAAAAATCTAAGTGTACAGATGTCTTCTAAAAGTCAGATAGTTGTTTATTTCCTTGACATCTGATGGGAGGGTGTTTTGTATGGCAACTCCATACCTTCCAACGTTTCTCCAGTGAAAATAAGGAGGTCCTTTTATCAACCAACCAATCAATCAATCAATCAATCAATTAGTACCCTGACCATCTGCCTGGATTGCTCCAGCCATTCTGGGTGGCTTCCAATGTATATAAAAACATAAAACATTTTTTAAAAAACCTTCCCTATACAGGGCTGCTTTCAGATGTCTTCTAAAGGTTGTATAGTTACTTATCTCCTTGGCTCAAGGGGTCGCATAACTCCAGACCCTCCAACATTTCTCCGATGAAAATAGGGACGTCCTAAGGAAAAGCGGGACATTCTGGGATCAAGTCAGAAACCAGGACGGCTTCCCTAAATCCAGAACTGTCCCTGGAAAATAGGGACACTTGAAGGGTCTATAAGATCCAGAAATTTCAAGCCACTAATCAACAAAAGGTTTTCAGTGGTGCTAATAATACAGACGCATACACAAAACCAGCGTGCAGGCGCTTCATACATAAGTGTACAGACTAAGGGAGGCGCTTCTGGCTTCAGGTTTTTGCTGAAAAGGCCGAGAAACCACAGGTATAAATCAAATTCAGATGCCAATCACAGAAACATCCCTCCCTGTTATCTGCTGTCTTGTGATGTCCAGTTTCTAGGCTACAGGGCAGAAGTTGCTGTACTTTTGCAATACCACCCAAATCTGCCATGTAGCAAAAAGTATAATATAGAGATATAAAAACAGGGCTGGTTCTGACATGGTCCCAGGCTGCTATCCTGTTCCACCTTTTGGGAACTCAGTACTGCTTCCTGTGGTCTCCCATCTAAACATCAGTGAGGTCCAAACACAGATATTTTTAACAATGCTATAGCCTCAGACACCACATGAACGGGCCATACCTACTTACTCAGGTGAGCCTAGTTTCATCCTAAACATTTTATACATGGTACTGGGATGAACCAGGGACTCGGGTGGCGCTGTGGGTTAAACCACAGAGCCTAGGACTTGCCAATCAGAAGGTCGGCGGTTCGAATCCCCGCGACGGGGTGAGCTCCCATTGCTCGGTCCCTGCTCCTGCCCACCTAGCAGTTCGAAAGCACGTCAAAAGTACAAGTAGATAAATAGGTACCGCTCCGGCGGGAAGGTAAACGGCATTTCCGTGTGCTGCTCTGGTTTGCCAGAAGCGGCTTAGTCATGCTGGTCACATGACCCGGAACCTGTACACCGGCTCCCTCGGCCAGTAAAGCGAGATAAGCACCGCAACCCCAGAGTCGGTAACGACTGGACCTAATGGTCAGGGGTCCCTTTACCTTTTTACTGGGATGAACCAGGCTAAAGTTTGATTCTGAGAACCCACCACATGTGGAATGATCCAATTTGGGGCCATGAGCGAATAGAAATGGACATGAATTTCATGCCAAGTCTGAACTTACGGGCTCCGTAAAAATACTTTAAAGCAATTGGATCAATTAAGAGCCTTTTCCAGCTATTTTACAAGCCCCTTTGGTTAACACGAATGCTCTTTCCCTGTGTTTCAGCATGAAGTAACTAAAATGTGAAGTACAATTGATAATTGTTGCAACCCATCAAACAATCATATTGATTGGAAACCCAAAAAGGGGGCTGTAAAACACAGAGAGAAGGTTCATAACCTCCCCAAAGCTTAAACAAACAAGAAACGAATTGATATTCCCGGGTTTCGTTTTTTATTTTACTATTGATTTTGCTATTTAACAGATCGGTCAGGCAGAAGAATGGGTAAGGAGCCAAATTGTTAATCAATCAAATGTTTAATCGGTTTGCCATTGTTGTTAAATGTCAATTAGGTGTTGGCACATATTCCTTTAGAACATGCAGGTGAAAGCTGATGTAGAGGATGGACTTGCATTGGCTTTAGTGCTTGGTGTTGGTGACATGAATGTACCTGCTTAGTTCATCTGGCGAAAGTCCAAAGTCTGTGAAACAGGCCTTCATCATGGAGAGGAAAGCACTCTACTCAGTCTTTAGTACACCTGCGGCTGCAATTCTCACTTTCATTGATAGGTTGATCGATTAACTGGAATCAGCGGTTGCCCCTTAGTCCTGAACATGCAAAAGAGCAAACGCTCAGGTAATCCAGTTATGCTAAGAGAGAGTTGTCAAGCTTTTAACACAAGCCTCAGCTTAGCACCTCCATCCATTTGTTAATGCAACAGATCATAAGTTAAGAACAGAGCTTCATGAGGAAAAAACCAACAACGGCGGAAAGGAGGAATCCAGTTGGTCCAAGAGGCATATTGGCTGGGCTGCTGGAGGCTGCTCTACATTCAAGGTTTGTGATGGCCGAACTTATCCCGGTAAATGTTGCTGCCCCTCCCAAAATAGGAGCGCACACGGCAGGGGTAGCACAACCCTTCATAGCAACTTTCCCGGTAGCTTCACCTGGTATTGGAAAGAGAGAATATACGTAATAAGGTGGTTGTCAGCCACAAGAGGGCGGCAGTTGATCATCTAAAGATCCACCCCCTCACTCTTATATTTCAAGAGCAGAGCGCAGATTTTCTGGGAATTATTATTTTGTTCGGATAGACTGATATCCTGCCTCACAGTACTACACCTGGAGTACTGTGTCCAGTTCTGGGCACCACAGTTCAAGAAGGACACTGACAAACTGGAACGTGTCCAGAGGAGGGCAACCAAAATGGTCAAAGGCCTGGAAACGATGCCTTATGAGGAACGGCTAAGGGAGCTGGGCATGTTTAGCCTGGAGAAGAGGAGGTTAAGGGGTGATATGATAGCCATGTTCAAATATATAAAAGGATGTCACATAGAGGAGGGAGAAAGGTTGTTTTCTGCTGCTCCAGAGAAGCGGACACGGAGCAATGGATCCAAACTACAAGAAAGAAGATTCCACCTAAACATTAGGAAGAACTTCCTGACAGTAAGAGCTGTTCGACAGTGGAATTTGCTGCCAAGGAGTGTGGTGGAGTCTCCTTCTTTGGAGGTCTTTAAGCAGAGGCTTGACAACCATATGTCAGGAGTGCTCTGATGGTGTTTCCTGCTTGGCAGGGGGTTGGACTCGATGGCCCTTGTGGTCTCTTCCAGCTCTATGATTCTATGATTCTATGATTCTCTTTCCTAAAAGTTGCAAGGCAGCTCACAATCAAATGCAATACTCCAACAATGTAGAACAGAATAATATTTATTGTGTTGGTTTATACACGGGTGGCGCTGTGGTGTAAACCACTGAGCCTTGGGCTTGCCGGTTGGAAGGTCGGCCGTTTGAAACCCCACAACAGGGTGAGTTCCCATTGCTCTAGCCCAGCTTCTGCCAAGCTAGCAGTTCAAAAGTGCAAGTAGATAAATAGGTACCGCTCCAGCGGGAAGGTAAACGGCGTTTCCGTGCGCGGCTCTGATTTCACCAGAAGCGGCTTAGTCATGCTGGCCACATGACCTGGAAAAACTGTCTGCAGACAAATGTCAGCTCCCTTGGCTTGTAAAGCGAGATGAGCGCCACAACCCCAGAGTTGTTTGTGACTGGACTTAACTGTCTGGGGTCCTCTACAGGTAGGTAGCCGTGTTGGTCTGCCATAGTTGAAACAAAATTAAAAAATTCCTTCCAGTAGCACCTTAGAGACCAACTAAGTTAGTTATTGGTATGAGCTTTTGTGTACAGTACCTTTACCTTTTTTATAATAGGGTTGCCATATTTGAAGAAGTAAAAATCTGGACACAAGTTGCTTTAAAAACAACAACACAGCAAACAAAAACAACAATGCAGTAGACATCAGAATCAACAGAACAGCCCATAATCAAAGGAACAACCTTGGTGCCTTGGCTAATTCAGCTGATATCTCATGCTTAGTTGAAAGTTAATAAATTCAGTCCTTTCCCCAGGGCTAAGCAAGTGTGAGTCTGGGTAGAGCTTACATGTTTTGGAAGGAAGGTGGGATATAAATGTAATAATTTTAAAAAATAAAATAAAATTAGAATTTCATTTGCAGCGAAACCAAAAGAGAATTTATTCCCGTGGGCATAAATTGACATGGGAAGCTGACAGCCATCTGTTTCATTCAGCCGCACAGTAAAGAGAATTTACCACTGTTTTGCTCCCCCAGATTTCTGATCTGATGAGGTAGGACTAATACAAAAGTTTGAGGGGGCCCTGACAAGTGCCTGCTGGCACTATTCTTTGTTGGTGGATCCATACTTGGTGAGGTGGTGATAGAAGGTGGCAGCAGCAATATTCCAAAAAGAACCAGGCAATTGGGTCCAACTGCCATTTTCATTTCCAAAACAGCTCCCACTATGGCATTGTTCCAAGGCATTGAGGGAAAGGTAAAGAGTCTGAACTTCTTGAAGTGCCATGCCAGATATTTTTTTAAGGCACCTGAACTGAGTTTATGATATGAAGATAATGAGCGAAGTCCGAAAGAAACCAAACCAGATTCATGCATGGGAATGAATAAATTACCTGTATGTATGAATCCAGCTAAGTCAATGCAATGAGATTCAGATCCAACACAATCCACTGTTTCATCACTGCATGAATCAGAAAAGGAAGCATAGCAGGCTGGGCAGCGAAGGCCGTTGAGTTTGGTTTCCAAACGCTTCACTGAACCAACAGAGAAAAAGTCAACTTCCTGAGAACATTACTGGGTGCTGCAAATATAACTGTGTTGCGCAGTAGCGTGAGAAAAAGAGTTGTAAAGTACGACTAGTAATAATTTAATAATTTATAATAATTTTATTATTCATACCCCGCCCATCTGGCTGGGTTTCCCCAGCCACTTTGGGCGGCTTCCAACCGAATATTAAAAACAATACAGCGTCAGACATTAAAAACTTCCTGAAACAGGGCTGCCTTCAGTTGTCTTTTAAAAGTAAAATAGTTGTTTATTGCCTTGACATCTGCCGGGAGGGCATTCCACAGGGCAGGCACCACTAATAATAATTTCTAGCTTACATTAAGCTAGAAATTCCAAGGAGGAGGGAACTGGCCAAGGGGACCCCATTTTCTGCCACTTCCCCATTGTTATAAGAAAAAACTGCTCCTTTTCCCTTACCCTTACCCAAGAGCCAGTACAGAGTCCTTATGTAGGTTCTCTATCAGTAGGAGAAAATAACAGAGGCCAACCAGACAATATCAAGAAGCAAGGTAGCTAGTAAGCCTGATCTTTATTAAACTATTGCAACAGGGTGCTCAACCCCCCCCCCCCGCCACGCAGGAGGGAGGAGGAACTCAGAACATTGGTGTGCAAACTCTTATACAGACTTTCGAAATTGCCACCCTGTAGCTCAAGACCACCCCAAAAACATCATACATACATCAGTGAAGGGGCGGCCTACAGAAGAAAACCTGTCTGCCAGGATACCTGATAATGGTCACTGTTTGCTTTTACCTGGGCATTCTGGCCATTCTTTTGTGATGGTAAATACCCGGTTCGTGAATCCAGGCCACAGGCTTACCCTATTCATACACAGATACGCCCTTAAGACAGGATTTGTGAGCAAAGAGACAATGGGGAGGTTTTCCCATTTCCTTCCTCCTTGCAGAGGTCAATTTGGGGGAGTCAAAATGGATTCAGGATTGTTCTCCTGTACTATTTCAGACATGTGGTTTATATACTTGTGTATGTGTTTGCCTTGTACATTTATGAACATTTACTATATATATATATATATATATATATATATATATATATATATGACCTCAGAATTCCTATAACACCATGTTGGGCGTAAAATGCAAACTGGATACCAAGGCACATGCAGTACAAAGCAATCTCTTGGGATAGCAATGGTTTAGTCTAGCCAATGGAGCAGTGAGTGAACAGTGAGCTCCAGAAAGCCCTTGAGATGTTGTTTGAGGGTTATATATCCGATAAATACTAATAAAGGGAGAGGGCAAATGCCTCAGGCCACCTTGTCCTGGCAACCGGACTTTAAACAAATCGGGTCCTCCCTTAAAGAGGGCACGTGTTGCAGTGAGACCTGGCAACCAAACCCTGTGTTGTGGGTGGGTATGATTGGATAGCCACAACACCCAATTGGTAGGTCCCTTGATGCTGGGTTTAATCAGGCCAATGGGACGCAAGCTAAACGGATCAAGGGACCTATATATACCTATGCACGTGACCCAGAGCTTCCTTTTTTGGTGCATGCATTGGAACACCTGCCCACCTCTACCTATATTTAGGGCTGCGTGCTTGACCTTGCTATGCCGTCGTGTGTCGTCTGTTGTTGGGACAGGGGCACGGCAGGAATTTTCCCCACTTGGCTGATTGGCTGGTGCCATTTGGGTTTCGCCTGCCGCGTAGCAAATCATCACAACTTGTAAGGTTGCGGATAGGATCTGGTTCAGGTGATAGGGATGGAGGAACGCTCTCGCCATCCCTATGTGAAGGGTTTTCCGTTAAAGGAATCCAGGGACTCAATGGTTTGGTCAACCCCTGAGAGGGGGTTATGCCCATGCCTGAGTCCAGGGGGACAACTGGGTGGTGGACATAGCCTGTTCCCAGCTTTCCGCTTATCCAGGTGTTCACCCTAGGCTGACCTGTGCTGGTGCCCTCGGTCAGCGCTACCTGCAACGGTGCAGGGAGCTAGTCGAACCCAAGCCTATGCAACCACCCACTTGCTGTAATCAATAAAGTTGTGGCCAAAATTCTGCCAAAAACCAAACCAAAATTTGAGTCTTGTCTGAATTTATTTAAGGGGGAGGTTTAAAGGTCTGAACACGCAAAAGCTCCAAAGGCATGTATACAGTGGGGTGTGCAAAAGGGAACAGAAAAGGAAAATACAAACTGATACCTACATTTGGCAGGAAAGGCAGTATTGCAAGCATCCGTCTTACAGCAGGAAACACTGGTTCTCGATCTTCTCTTTTTACCCAAGTTAATATCAGCGGAACCGACTTCGCAGTAATTGGATGGAACACAGTTCTTAATAATGCCATTAACCTTTACATTTTCTGCAAGATAGTATGGGGAGAAAGATGTGAGACTTCCTATCAGATGATGAGGATAATGCACATAGCACAGAGGCTCAAAAGCCAAACATTTCTATAAAACCATATATTACTGAGAACTGGGAAAACTAAAGACCCCTGCTGTCAGCCCCCTCGCACAATGATACTATGTTTTTACAGTTCTTAAAAAATAATTTTATTCTTATGTATTTCTTTACCACAATTACCTCCCACCTTTTAAAAAAGGAGTTAGAAGCAGCACACATAATTAATCCCCTTTCTATTTCAACTTCACAAGGTAGATTAAGCTGAGAGTTAGCCCAACTCTCTAACCTCTGCGTCATACCGACTCCACCATCCCCTTCCCTGCCAATATTGCACTCTGAAACGCTTAACAAAATTAACCGTGGTGCAATAAAATAGAATGCAGCACAACAAAATACAAAAGTCTAAAACCACAGTCATTCTGCTGCTGTACCAAGCTGAGCTGAGCATGCCTTGGTTTAGTGTGTCGCCAGAGCCTGGACTCATGGTTTAGTTGTCTCCAGGCTAACCATGGTTTGTTGTAACCATGAGCTGTAACCATGGTTTGTCCTTTGTAAAAGTCCATGAGCTGATGGTCACCTAACAGTTCACGCCTCATCCCCAGTTACACCGGTTAGGATGGGATCTATCCCCCTGCCCCAGTGTAAATGGCTTACACTGGTGTAAACCTGGTGAATATTTTCCAGCCATATTTTCCTAGTTAGTATTGCTCTACCCAGTGTGAGTGCTTTTAAGAAGGAAAGTATTACACCCCTAGTTGATTGGTTCTGCTAAGGCAGAGAATTACCATGGAGAGAGGGGGCCACCACAGATGAGGCCCTTAATAAGACAGTCATCTGCAGGCCTTCCAGTGGCAGAGGCACCAATAGTAAACCCTCACCAATACGCAGCAACAAAGCATGGATGCATCCCACCGCTGACACACAAAAAAAAAATCATCAAAAAAAATAATCATGAATACCTTCAAAAAGTTCACTTTCAAACAAAGTAATGCCACAGAAATTGTGGTCTTGGGGGCAAGTCACCACTTCACCAGTGCAGTTTTGGCCTAGGCCTGTGCAAGCTTCACATTGTAAAGCAGTCGCTGGAAAAGGAAAAGGAAAAAGAAAGGAAATATATTATGTCAGTTGGTTTTACTAGTTTCCTATGATTTCTTTGTACCTCTCTCTGTTTTTCCAGGGAAGGAAATGTCCGGTCCTAAATAGCTTTAAAGGATGAAGTTTCCTCTCAGACCAGATGCACTTGTCTGACAGGATCAAAACCAGTCCCCATACTTAAGTTATGGGTGTGTGTACACGGTTTCACATGCTTTTGAGAAGCGGGGGTGGAATGTAGACTGGGTATACATGTAATTAATTCCTAGGATTTGCATAAACTTAAAGCTATACAAGCCAAGATACAGAGGACATCTTCTGACCTCACATATATTAGGAAAACACCTTGAGGTGCTTCTTTCGATTTTCATCAGTTTCAGAGACAGGGGATGAGTTCCACCACCATCCGTCACTTAAGCTGACTTGACCACATCGCCAATAGCAGAAATCTGCTCACCTGGTTCACATACCTGTTCAGCGTCAGCTAAGAAACATTTTTGCTGGCTTTGGGTGAGTCATTGTTTCTAAGTTTAGGCTAATTCGCCGGGTTGCTGACAGAACTTAAGCTTCAAAACAAAGCAAATTACCTTAAGTATTGCAGGGGAAAAGTAGCATCCTGAGACCTGCGATGTTTTGGAAATAAGGTATGTATGCACGAATTTGCATAATTTATTCTGCTCAGGGCCAGCCCAGAACATGTTTGTGGCCTGAGGCAATGGTGTCGCCACCATTCTATGCGTGGAGGACAATTGGAATGGTAGTTAATTCAATGCTAACCATGGGCCAGTGTTTCCTAATGTGCCTGAAGGCAACAGGTTTTTCCTAGGGGGTGAAGGTCGGGCTGTATGGCATACACAGCTCTGCAAAGCAGTTTAAGAAGCAACAACAACAGTAAAAATATTTTAATTTTTTTAAAGTGATAAACCATTGACTTCAAAGCAGATGCAGAGATAACCATGTGGCTGTTCACTCCATGTTTCTTGCTGAAACACACACATATACACATGATGCAATATATAATAACTGGAATGTATTGTCTTTTCGAAAATTAGGAACATAACAACATATGAAGACTGGATTGCACCAGAAGTCTACCTAGTCCCATATACTGCTTCTCAAAGTGCCTGACCAGCACCCTGGCTAACTTCACAAACAGAGCATGAAGGCTATAACCCCACTCCATAGTACAGTGGTACCTCAGGTTACAGATGCTTCAGGTTACAGACGCTTCTGGTTACAGACTCCGCTAACCCAGAAATAGTACCGGGTAAAGAACTTTGCTTCAGGATGAGAACAGAAATCGCGTGGTGGCAGCAGGAGGCCCCATTAGCTAAAGTGGTAAGGTAAAGGTAAAGGGACCCCTGACCATTAGGTCCAGTCGTGGCTGACTCTGGGGTTGCGGTGCTCATCTTGCTTTATTGGCCGAGGGATCCAGCGTACAGCTTCTGGGTCATGTGGCCAGCATGACTAAGCCACTTCTGGTGAACCAGAGCAGCGCACGGAAAGGCTGTTTACCTTCCCGCCAGAGCGGTACCTACTTATCTACTTGCACTTTGACGTGCTTTTGAACTGCTAGGTTGGCAGGAGCAGGGACTGAGCAACAGGAGCTCAGCCCGTCGCGGGGATTTGAACCACCGACCTTCTGATCGGCAAGTCCTAGGCTCTGTGGTTTAACCCACAGTGTCACCTGCGTCCCCAGCTAAAGTGGTACCTCAGGTTAAGAACTGTTTCAGGTTAAGAACGGACCTCCAGAACGAATTAAGTACTTAACCCGAGGTACCACTGTATTCAGCGGCATCCTATTGCAGAATCTGGAAGTTACATTTAGCCAGTAAAATAACAGCGCAATCCTAAGGAGGCTGTGGCAGAGGAACTGCACCAGCCAGGGCAGAAGGCAGAGGGATGAATTTTCCATTTTCTCTACCATTTAAACCAGGGGTCAGCAAACGTTTTCAGCAGGGGGCCGGACTATAAGCCGCTCCCCCACCGACTCTCCCCTCCCTTCTCCACAGCACCGGACGAGCCCTGGTGGCTGCTTACCTGTGTCTTGTGAGTGGCAGGGGCTGGTGGCAACGGGACGATGAGGAGCGCACGAAAGGGCTCTGGAGAGGGGCTGCTTAAAATGGCGGCTGCTCAAGCGCTGCTACTGGCACCAACAAAGCCCAGCCCCCTTCCTCCTCTAGGCAGGGCAGGGAGAAGCCAGGAGGAGGGTGGGAGGAGGTGCCGCTGCCGCCGCTGTGTGAGGGAGAGGGAAAGAATGCGCACACTGGCGATCCACGCGGCGATTCCCGGACCGTCCGCAGGCCAGATCCAGAAGGCAATTGGGCCTGATCCGACCCGAGGGCCTTAGTTTGCCGACCCATGATTTAAACTAATGAGAGGCAAAATACACTGGCTCCAAAGCCTCAGGTCCTTTTTTGACATTTCCAGGGGCATATCAGGGAACTGAGAGGTCTCTCCTGACTGCCCTCCATAAAGCTCATTTTCAGGACCATCACCACCAGTGATACAGTAATGACCCACCATTCTCCGCTGCTAAACTGGGGAGGTCTCCCTCTCTGCCCCTTTGACCCCCACCCCTCCGCCACCCGCCAGTGGAGAGGCAGGTGCCCAACATCCAACAGCTCATTGGTTGCTCTGTTTGGAAGCTTAGAATTACTTTCTAACTGAGTTTGTATACTTTAGGTAAAATTAAGGTATAGAAAAGCTCACAACATGGTGAGTTGCACTGGATATTGGGGGAAGGAACGGGCAGAAGGAAGAGATGGGTCCACTTTCCTTCTATTCACCATTTTTGAAATAAAACATTGTTTCTTATGAGTGATCTTGTCCTGGAGCTGTTCATAATTTCCAGAGTTGTTTTTTTTTTAACATTAATGAAATAAAACTTAATGGAAGCTGGGGCATAAAATCTTCCAGACATTCAGGGGAGGAGGGGAATGTTCTTTGCGACACAATATGTTTCCAATAGGTAGAAATTACACTCACACAAGTATATTATATTATATTATATTATATTATATTATATTATATTATATTATATTATATTATAATATTTATTATATTAGCATTAAATTAGCAGGGGAGGCAGTCAGGTTATCATATCTTCCCAGCTACGATTTTTATGTTGGAAAGCCCTCAAAATAAGTTCAGTTCTCGGAAACCATTGTGGCAGGGATTTAGGGAGAACAATTGGTTTAGTTCAGCAGTGAAACTGCTGCTGTCTATATCTCACATATCTCTGTCAATGGCTGCATTGTTGGCATAAAAGCCATACAGGACTCGGGAGCTAGCTACATTCCAGAAAAGAGATACATCCAGATTCAGAAACGAGAAACATACAATTATCTCCTGTAGAGCTATAATATTCTAAAGCAAACAGCATTAAGTACGTACAGGGGATATTTAAAGAAAAGGGTGTCAAAGAATCCTTGCTTCTAAAGCAGACACATGCAAACATACATATACATAAGCACAATCGGACGTCTTCGTCTGCCCCAGCTGCAACAAAACATGTCTATCCCATATTGCGATACAGCCACATCGAGCGCTGTAGCTCTCAACTGGCTTGACTTTACCACAAAAGGTCCACACTTCCATTGTCTTCCAGACAGATGGATGCTGCCAATAATATTATGCCCACACCCAGATATAGATATAGATGCTCTAGCTAGAGATGTAACTCTACCTGCATTGGATGGGATACTCACCTCTGGCTATGAGTGCTGAGAGGAAGCAAAGGCCAAGGAAGATCTGCATTGCTGCTGGGTGAGAAGTGGGTTGAGTCTCTGATGAAGCCAACTCTTCAGATGGGAGTTATAGTCATGTCAACAATTACTGCCTAGGAGGGAGGAGCATTTAAAAGCATACCTCCTCAAGGCCACATTGGAGAGGAAGTTCAGCAAGGAAGGCTCATCAGCTACATTTTTTCTCTCTCTTTCTGTCACCCTCATCCTTCCTCCACGGAGCCCAAGTGGGGTGTGCATTTGCGCCATGTTATCCTGACAACAAGGGACGCGGGTGGCGCTGTGGGTTAAACCACAGAGCCTAGGACTTGCTGATCAGAAGGTTGGCGGTTCGAATCTCCGCAACGGGGTGAGCTCCCGTTGCTCGGTCCCTGCTCCTGCCAACCTAGCAGTTCGAAAGCACGTCAAAGTGCAAGTAGATAAATAGGTACCGCTCTGGCGGGAAGGTAAACGGTGTTTCCGTGCGCTGCTCTGGTTCGCCAGAAGCAGCTTAGTCATGCTGGCCACATGACCCAGAAGCTGTACACCGGCTCCCTCGGCCAATAAAGCGAGATGAGCGCCGCAACCACAGAGTCGGCCACGACATTTTTGTTTAGGCATGTCCAGTGCTTTTTTCGGGGTGAGGGGACAGGGGTACGCATACCCCTAAACATTTTGTGCATCAAAATTTGGCCTCATTGAGGGGCAGTATTTCAATATGAGTAGGAAAATGAGAGTACCCCTAAACTTTTTTTTAGGGAAAAGAAAAGCACTGGGCATGTCTCTCCAGACACATAGCTGTAGGTGTGTTTTAATTTATTTTACTGTTCATTTTAATTATCTTTAATTGTTTTTAATTGTTTTTATTGATCATTTTAATATTTCTTATAAACTACCGGTACTTTGTGATATTACTGCAATCAAGCAGTATATCCATTTAGATGATAGCTACATAGAATTCTTCCTGAGGATTCCAGCTTCCCCCCTACAGCCCTGATGTGTTTGCCATCTGAACAGTGCAAAAAGTGATGGAACAGTGTAACACTATCACTGAGTTATTCCCATTAAGGCAATAACTGCCCAGAGTCTTCAGCTTGAAAAATGAATGCCGATAGCCAGAGATCTTCAGGTGATGTCTCTTAATGGGATCCAAGAGTCAGGCAGGCTTGGCTATACGTTTCTTTTGTTAGGGAGATTAGATGCTCTCTCAGTAGCTAGGAAATAGCTGGAGGGTTTCGCATTCTTTTGTTTCAAACTGGGGCATACTTTTTCTCCCCAACCCCACCAACCCAGCTAAGGAGTAATGCTGTATATACAGGGGGGAAAGGCACTGCGGGTTTTTTTAGACATGGGAAAGGACTGACCTGAGTTCTGGATCTCTATAATGGAAGAGTTGATCTGGGAGCAGTGGAATTTGCTGGTTGTATGTGTTAAGTTGTGCTTCTGCCTAGGCCCAACTCCTCTGGAAGCTGTCCTCAGTTTGTACATTTGTGGATAAATTCAAATATTATAGAACTGTTTCCCCCGCTCCCAAAGGAAACAAAATCCAGGTAGGTGTTGTTCCCCTAGAGCCGGAAGCACGTAGAACAAGACTACAGACCATTCACTATCCAATGTTAAGATCAGAATCCTGTTTGCTGTCTTAAAGGCGAGCACATTTAAATTCTCATGGCCGCCAGTCCATTTTGGAAGATGCAATTGCACGTTTAATGGACTGCGGTCCATGAAAGCTTGTGTCATAATGAAGTGGTTATCCCTGACGGTTTCACAAGGCCCATTTGTGGTTTTACTGCAACCCCTCCAGACGTTGAATTATACTGCTAAGAGGATGGCAACTGGATCCTAGTTAATAATAATAATAATAATATGCCACCCATCTGACTGGGTTGCCCCAGCCACTTGAGGTGGCTTCCAGCAGCTTACATGACACACAGTTGTGTGTTCCTTTCATAGAATTATAGAGCTGGAAGGGATCATTCCAGCAGGAGATGATAGATAGATAGATAGATAGATAGATAGATAGATAGATAGATCCAGTTTAGGCTGGAAGAGCAACAGCAGGAGAGACTGCTTATCTCTTTACCTTTTCCAAAACAATCGTTCCCATGCTGATTTTCTCCCCAAGGCAGAAAGATATGGGGACCAGGAGCATCCATCTTAACAATGGTCAAATAGATGTCTCCAATAACTCCATGTGCAAGATATGAGGGCAATAGCGGCCCCCACTCCTTCCTCTGAATTGTGAAACACATTGGCCCGGACAGCAAGCTACGAACTACAAGCCTCCAGGGCACGTGCGTAGCCAGGATTTATGTTGGGTGTTTGTATGTCAGAATTTATATTATGTGGGGGGCACAACCGAGCTATCTGTGACCCAATTGGTCAGTCGGCTAGGTATTTTTATTTATTTACTTGATGGGGGGCAGCTGGCGCCCTTGCCCCCCCGGGTGGCGCTATGGTCTAAACCACTGAGCCTCTTGTGCTTGTCAATCGGAAGGTCGGTGGTTTGAATCCCCGTGATGGGGTAAGCTCCCGTTGCTCGGTCCCAACTCCTGCCGACCTAGCAGTTCGAAAGTACACCAGTGCAAGTAGATAAATAGGTACCACTGTGGCGGGAAGCTAAACGGCATTTCCGTGTGCTCTGGTTTCTGTCACGGTGTTCTGTTGCGCCAGAAGTGGTTTAGTCATGCTGGCCACATGACCTGGAAAGCTGTCTGTGGACAAACGTTGGCTCCCTCAGTCAGTAAAGCGAGATGAGCGCTGCAACTCCAGAGTCGTTCGCGACTGGACTTAACCGTCCAGGGGTCCTTTACCTTTACCAGCTACACCCATGCTCCAGGGCTGAATTCACAAGATGTCCTTAGGGCTGAACGAGATGAGATGCCAGAGATCCAGGATCAGATCTTTCATTTTCTTTGGGGAGGGACCTTAGATCAGAGGTGGAGAACATACTTGGCTTGCCCAAAGTCCCAGGTGCAGTCCTGGGTTCATTTGAAAGGGTTAGGCAGGAATAATAATAATAATAATAATAATAATAATAATATACAGTGGTACCTTGGGTTAAGTACTTAATTCGTTCCGGAGGTCCGTTCTTAACCTGAAACTGTTCTTAACCTGAAGCACCACTTTATCTAATCGGGCCTCCTGCTGCTGCCACGCCACTGGAGAACGATTTCTGTTCTCATCCTGAAGCAAAGTTCTTAACCCAAGGTACTATTTCTGGGTTAGCAGAGTCTGTAACCTGAAGCATATGTAACCTGAAGCGTATGTAACCCGAGGTACCACTGTATAAATAAACCCCAGCCACTCTTGGTGCCTTCCAACAAAGGATTAAAAACGCATTAAAACACCAGTCATTAAAAACTTCCCTAAACTGTATAAGGCAGCCTTACTAGGGTCCTTGATTTTTGTCCCTAGCATCTGATATCGATTCCCTCCAGATGATGTTGATCTTCAACTCCCATCTGCCACAGGTAATGGGAACTGAATCAAGCAAGGTTTGGAGGTCTCTGTCTTCCACCACAGTCGTCGGGCCAACTAAGTTACACTGGCACTGCTTCAAACCTGTAGTTAAGACGTTCCAGTGTAGCTATTAAGACCTAGGTGTAAAGAGCAATGAGTCACACACAGACTTCCTTTGCAACCAACAAACACAAGTAAACAAACTTCCCAAACACACCATTCAGCTACCTGCCTGTCTGCCTCCCACATAGAAAATTTGTCCCTGAGTTGCACAGGACCTTGTCATAAACATCTGGAAGGCCACACGTTCCCATCCCTGATTTTGAGCAATATTTTTTATTGTTTATGTTAATCTTTCCCTTCTCTTTTTCCGCCGGGCTTTCCTCCTTTCTCTTATGAAAGCCATTAAAGGGGGGGGGACGCGAATAAATTAAATTAAAAATTGGCATTACATTGGCTACTTTCCAGTCCTCTGGTATGGAAGATGATCTGAGGGAAAAGTTAGGACATCAGCAATGTCATATTTGAGCTCTCGGGTGGATGCCACCGAGACCCAAAAATTTCTCTCATTTTTATTTTTTTTATTTTATCTATTCTGTGAACCGCCCTGAGACCCCCAGTTTTAGGGCATTTTATAAATTCAATAAAGAAAAACAAACAAATAAATATTAGGACTAGAATGTAGTCTCTCGTCATTTATTTATTTATTTTATTTATATATTCCAACCTATACTTGAGGGGGTGTCAGGACAGTTCACGGAATAAAATCAAGATATAAAACCACAAAATACATAATAAAAACTGTCTGCCTTAATTCCCCAAACTCGTCTCTTTGTTCGGGTGTTGGGATCTGTTGAGAAGACAGACATAAAGAATTAATCTGGCTTCTTCACAATCTCCATATCCGAAATAAAGAAATAAATACCGACACACTAAGCTTGCAAAAAAAGAGGACAGTTTTCGACATGACAGCCCTACTCTGCTTTAGGCAGCAAAATCCCTTTTGTAAGCAGGAACACCCTTTGCTTGTTTCCAGATGCACGTAGAAGATGCTTGCAGCAGAGAGTCATTGCCTATCTACAGCTATTTCTCGTTTCCGGGGTTAATTTGGACTGTAATTGGAGCTGTGGTAAATTCCAAAGACAAATTCCACAAGGAAAAACTTCCGTTGTTGATATCTCCATGGATTCTTAACTAGCAAATATTTCATACATGCACAGGCAATTATTTGCCCGTCATAGATGTTGAATCTAGAAGTGTCAGGTGGGGCCTGGCTATAACAAAATATTACAGTGTGAAATACGCTATAGACTGTTCAGGTTTCCAGTCAAGCCCTCTTCTAGAATATTCCATTTCTCACTTCCAAGTTAGTTGGCATTCTGTGGTCAGAGAGACATTGCACACTTTTGTAAATCAGCAAAATATTATACACACACACTGTGCCCATTCTTCACTGGGATTAGTTTTTTTTGTGGTATGGGTAGGGGATCACCTCTGAAGACTGTTTCACCTCCTAAATATTTGCATACTTCTGCAAACCTTGGGGTTCCCTCAAGCTGGCTGATATCTCCCTCTTGTGTGTGGATTGTACTGTTTTGGCTACATAAGAACTGGCAACTGGAGAATGCAAGTGGCGTCCTAACGGTTTCATTGCGTTCCTAGTTGAAATATGTGTTACCTGAAAACTTTGACTGAGGGGAGTGGACCTCACAAACAAGAATCATCGCTTGACGTGCATTTAAAAAAAATAATCCTACAGTAACTAATAGCTTTTGGGTCATTCTACCATTCTACAGAGCCTAGGGCTTGCCGTTCAGAAGGTTGGCGGTCCGAATCCCCGCAACGGGTGTTGCGCGGTCTCTGCTCCTGCCAACCTAGCAGTTCGAAAGCACGTCAAAGTGCAAGTAGATAAATACCGTAGGTACCGCTCCAGCGGGAAGGTAAATGGTGTTTCCGTGCGCTGCTCTGGTTCGCCAGAAGAGGTGTAGTCATGCTGGCCACATGACCCGGAAGGTGTACGCCGGCTCCCTCGACCAATAAAGCGAGATGAGTGCCGCAACCCCAGAGTCGTCCGTGACTGGACCTAACAGTCACGGGTCCCTTTACCTTTACCATTCTGTAAATACAGAATCTACTTTTAATGTGGTAGTATGTGCTACAGTGGTACCTTGATTCTCAAACACTTTGGTTCTCAAACGCTAAAAACCCGGAAATGTTCCAGTTTTGGAACGTTTTTTGGAAGCTGAACGTCCAATGCGGCCGTCGGCTATTGTTTCTGGGGCACCTGCACCAATCAGAAGCTGTGCCTTGGTTTTTGAACATTTTGGAAGTCAGATGAACTTGTGGAACAGATTAAGTTTGGCGCTTTTGTTTTTGCTATTTATTTTGCGTTTTTGTTTTTGAGGCTTTTTCGGTTAATTTGTTTTTCTGACTGTATGGAACCCAGTTCAGCTATTGATTGATTGTGTGACTGTGGAAAAGAATAAAAGCCCCTCATCCAAACAATGACTATTATCAGTGCAGGTCATAATTAAAAAAAATTAATCATCTGCAGTACTGTCTTATTTATTTTATAGTACAGTATATTGATGATATACCGCAGGTGGCGCTATGGGTTAAACCATGGAGCCTCGGACTTGCTGATCGGAAGGTCGGCGGTTCGAATCCCCGCGATGGGGTGAGCTTCCATTGCTCGGTCCCAGCTCCTGCCAACCTAGCAGTTCGAAAGCACCTCGAGTGCGAGTAGATAAATAGGGACCGCTCTCCAGCGGGAAGGTAAACGGGGTTTCCGTGTGCTGCTCTGGTCCACCAGAAGCGGCTTAGTCACACTGGCCACGTGACCCGGAAGTGCCTTCGGACGGCGCCGGCTCTCGGCCTCTTGAGCGAGATGAGCACGCAACCCCAAAGTCGGTCACGACTGGACCTGATGGTCACGGGTACCTTTACCTTTATATTGATTATTGCTTTCATTTTATGGATCAATGGTCTCATTAGATAGTAAATTCCATGTTAAATTGCTATTTTAGGGGTTGTTTTTAAAAGTCTGGAACAGATTAGTCCATTTTGCATTACTTTCTATGGGAAAGCACGCCTTGGTTTTAGAATGCTTTGGTTTTGGAACAGACTTCCGGAACGGATTAAGTTTGAGAACCAAGGTACCACTGTATATAGTCCAGCCCTGTACACCACTTTTATACTTGTGGAACGATATTGCTATTTCTTTCCCCCTCCATATAAGCAGATGTAGTCAACATGGTTGACTTTGTCGGCCAAGGACCACATACCTCAGAGGAAGGGTTTGCATAAAAATAGTGTGCTGAGCCCAGATGACCTGAGCATTGGTCCTAAGAGCAGCAGAGCATTAATGCCATAAATGCCAACCACAAAGCAATGTAAGGGGTACTAATGCCACTTGGATGACATTCTGAATCCCTTCTAGCCCCTGAACCCTTTTCTTCCATGTGATTCTCCCTCCCCCCACCCCTAAAAAAGGGGGAAAGGTTATGGGTAGGCAAACTAAGGCCCAAGGGCCGGATCCGGTCCAATCACCTTCTAAATCTGGCCCGCGGACGGTCCAGGAATCAGATTGTTTTTACATGAGTAGAAGGTGTCCTTTTATTTAAAATTCATCTCTGGGTTATTTGTGGGGCCTGCCTGGTGTTTTTACATGAGTAGAATGTGTGTTTTTATTTAAGATGCATCTCTGGGTTATTTGTGGGGCATAGGAATTTGTTAATTTTTATTTTTCAAAATATAGTCCGGCCCCCCACAAGGTCTGAGGGACAGTGGACTGGTCCCCCGCTGAAAAAGTTTGCTGACCCCTGGTTCAGGGAGACACAAGTTGCATTAAGCCAACGGTGGTGGTATGCATAAATTGTAAATGCCAGCAAAATCACACATGTGATTAAACCCAAAGAAATCTAAATCCAGACACCTAAATCTAAAGAAGACCTCTTTAGGCTTGATGCATTTTATCAGTAATTTTATTATAGTTTTCTAAATATTATACAATATGATACAACCAAATGTTCTGCCGGCTTGCCGGCTTACCACAAGCAACTGCAACTAAAGTCACACCAGATACTTGTAGCACTTTAAGCATCACAGCTTCCCCCCCACCCCCCAAAAAAGAATCCCGAGAACCATAGCTGAACCCCAGCAGAGCTAAAATTCCCAGCACCCTTAGGAAACTACAGTTCCCAGAATCCTTTGGCGGAAGTGTTGTGCTTTAAATATATAACGTGGATGTGATCCCACGGAAAATATCCAGAGTCCACAGCACAAGTAGACGTTTATATCTGTTCTATCGCACTTCAGAAAGAGGTAAGGCTTGATGTTTGGTTTATGATACACTTGGATCTTACAAGACTCCTTTACCCTGACCCATTGCACCTATTATTCCGGGAATGGGAGCTCCAAATATGTACACAGCCTAAGCCGTCCTGACGCAACTTCTCCATACATTTCAAAAAGGAACATACAGTGGTACCTCAGGTTACATACGCTTCAGGTTACAGACTCCGCTAACCCAGAAATATTACCTCGGGTTAAGAACTTTGCTTCAGGATGAGAACAGAAATCACGCGGTGGCGGTGCGGCAGCAGCAGGAGGCCCCATTAGCTAAAGTGGTGCTTCAGGTTAAGAACAGTTTCAGGTTAAGAACGGACCTCCAGAACGAATTAAGTACTTAACCCGAGGTACCACTGTATTCATATGCCTTCTGTTCTATATTAGCTCCAGTGCCGGATTTACGTATAAGCTAAACAAGCTATAGCTTAGGGCTCCACTGTCTTGGGGCCCCAAAAAATTAAAGGGGAAAAAACCTGGATGTACATTTCCAAAATATAAGATAAAAAACAAATAAAATAAAACCTACATACAGCAACAGTGTTTTGTGTTGTGTAGGCTCCTATGATGTAAGTAATGGGCCCCGCCTGCTAGCCTGCTCCCTAAAATATCACTGGTTTGCTCATTTCTATATACAGTGGTACCTCGAGTTAAGTACTTAATTCATTCCGGAGATCCTTACTTAACCTGAAACTGTTCTTAACCTGAAGCACCACTTTAGCTAATGGGGCCTCCTGCTGCTGCCGCACTGCCGGAGCCCAATTTCTGTTCTCATCCTGAAGCAAAGTTCTTAACCCGAGGTACTATTTCTGGGTTAGTGGAGTCTGTAACCTGAAGCGTATGTAACCCGAGGTACCACTGTATCGGGTGCCTACATTCTGCATGGACTGGTTGCATGGCAACACATGCAAATTGCTTTAGATACCTATTAGGTCCATAAATTACCATATAGCATATATTCAACACAAAAAACAGCAACCATTTGTTGTTGACAAAGGACAGCTGGACATAGAAAGGGCCCCATTACCTTCTGTAGCTTAGGGCCTCATCAAACCTAAATCTGGCGCCGATTAGCTCCCTCCATTGAAGTGAATGGGCCTACTGAGAATATGCTGGGCCTTTGCTTGTGCTCCTGGATCAGCGCAGAATTCACGAATGCTGGAAAATGAAGAGCTACGCACATTTGCGATGCTTCAGTTTCTGCGTTGCCAGGGTCAGCCTGTAATCCCACTTCTGCCAGTGATACACTTGGTTGACAACGATGTTCATTTCCTCGGTGGTCCCCACAATGAGATATACCTTGGGACGGTGGGCATGGACCAGTTGCCGAGTACAGTTTCCGTTGATCAGAAACCACTGCTTAATCACACTGCGAGCATCAAAAGGCAAGAGCGACCCCTGGTTAATGAATTCCACCTGGCAGTCAATGTCATATTCTTGAGCGCCGAAGGCAGGCCGTTTCCTAGACAGTTTCACCTTTGCGGCTGCAAAGAGAAAGAAAGAAAAATAATAATGTGTGTGTGTGTGTGTGTGTGTGTGTATCTTCTCCTGTATTAATATAGAAAATAAGAAAGAAGATGTTGTAGAATCTAGCAAGCCCCATCTCAGGGATGCCTCGATCCTAACTGTGCCAATAATAACTTACCAAAATTGCCGATACAAAAAATGTCCAGCACTTTCCTGCGCGTCAAGAGCTCATCACTGGCCGGGCAAGTCTGGCAGATAGGCTTTGGAAAGGCTGGCGGTTAAGAGGAGAAAAATCCAATTTGTCACAGGGGCATGCACTTGATTCCCACAGAAAATAAACCTGTCATGTCTGGAGATCTCCTGAAGAATTCTCAGACATTTTTTGACAACTTGGAAGATAAAGCTGAGCTCGGGGCTCTGTATATTATAGGATAAGCCCTTAGAATCATAGAATTGTAGAGTTGGAAGGGACCATGAGGGTCAGTCTAGTCCGACCCCTTGCAGTGCAGGAATTTTTGGTCCAACGTGGGGCTCGAATCCATTGCCCTGAGATTAAGAAGCTCATGTTCTGCCGACAAAGCTATTCCAGTCAAATAGAACACTTCAGCAGGACGCCGTATGTGCCAATTGTTATATCTTAGGAATTATACAGTGGTGCCTTGCAAGACGAAATTAATTCGTTCCGCGAGTTTTTTCGTCTTGCGGTTTTTTTCGTCTTGCGAAGCACGGTGTCAGAAAAGTTTTGGAAAAGCTTCAAAAATCACCAAAGTCTTCAAAAACCTCAAAAAAGGCTACCACACCACATGCTATGGGTTGCTCCTCAAAGTCAAGTCGCAACTGTATTAACGGTTTTAAGAAAAAGGAAACAAACTTGCAAGACGTTTCCGTCTTGCGAAGCAACTCAAAAAACCAAAAACCCTTTCGTTTTGCGAGTTTTCCGTCTTGCGAGGCATTCGTCTTGCGAGGTACCACTGTATCCAACAGCACAATTCTTTTTCTTTTTTTTAGATTAAAAGGCATTTTATTTATTTTTATTATTTCGAAAAAGTAACAATCATAAATAAATAAGAATAAAAAATGTGCACCCCACCACCAAGACCATTCCATTGTAACTATCCAACCTCCCAAAATTTCAACACCTCCTGCAATGGTTTGATCCCTTTTCGTTTTAACAGTACAGTGGTACCTCGGGTTAAGTACTTAATTCGTTCCGGAGGTCCATACTTAACCTGAAACTGTTCTTAACCTGAAGCACCACTTTAGCTAATGGGGCCTCCTGCTGCTGCCACGCGATTTCTGTTCTCATCCTGAAGCAAAGTTCTTAACCTGAAGCACTATTTCTGGGTTAGCGGAGTCTATAACCTGAAGCGTATGTATCCTGAAGTGTATGTAACCCGAGCTAACACTGTACAAATTCTACAAACACCCACCATATCTCCTCAAAATAATTTCTGCTGCATATTCCCCGTCTTACCTTAACGGCACATGTTAATTTATCGTTAGTAGCTATATCCCACCCCTCTTTTATGCCATTCTCCCATTTTATATTCTGTTTGCCCCTTCCACTTCCTGGCTATCGTAATTCGTGCAGCTGTCAATAAATTTGTGAGCAAGTCCTTCATAGCCTGCGAACCTTCCACCCCATCGTAAATGGATAATAATGCTACCTCTGGACTTTTGGTCAGCTTTAACCCAGTGATTTCCAACAGCACAATTCTAACCATGTATACTCTACACAGAACTAAGTTCCATTAAATCCAGTGGAGCTTTCTCCCAGGTGAGTGAGGTTGAGTCCTGAAAAGACAGAAGTGCTGTTTTGGGGGAACAGGGGGCGGGCGGGTGTGGAAGACTCCCTGGTCCTGAATGGGGTAACTGTGCCCCTGAAGGACCAGGTGCGCAGCCTGGGAATCATTTTGGACTCACAGCTGTCCATGGAGACGCAGGTCAATTCTGTGTCCAGGGCAGCTGTTTACCAGCTCCATCTGGTCCGCAGGCTGAGACCCTGCCCACCCGCAGACTGTCTCACCAGAGTGGTGCATGCTCTGGTTATCTCTCGCTTGGACTACTGCAATGCACTCTACGTGGGGCTACCTTTGAAGGTGACCCGGAAAGTGGGAGAGCACATTTTAAAAAAATATTAAAATGAAATTTTAAAATGCAACAGAAAGCTAGCAAGCAAGAACAGAGAGGATGAGACTAGACCCACTCTCTCTAGGACAGGTGATGCTGCCAGCCTGCTGTGGGTCTGGGAACCTCAAGAGGAGAAAGGTAGGATATGAATGTACCAGTGTGTGAAACAATGGTATCTGGTGCCAAATAAAACTGGCAGCACAGAAGGCAGGGAGGCCATTAGTAAGCAGAGCCAGAGCAAGAGACAACCAATTCTACTTTTGACCCCCTTCTCCTTTCCTGGTGAGTTCTGCAAGGGCAACAATGAGGACATGCCTCCCCCCACTAGACTCGTCGCAAGGACATGCAACCCAAACCCCCATATAAAGCTGTACCTCCGAGACCACGCTTAGCATCTTTGCCGAGGGATGCAAGACACGTGTCCTCATCTGCGGGGAACCGATCGCAGTCCAAACTGCCGGGCCAGGGGCGTCCTTGGCATTGCAAGACGGGAGCGCAGCTGTCGCGGACCGCAACGCACATGCTTCTGCAAGGCTGGATGAAGCTGTCGGGGAAGCAGGGCAGCTCTTAGGAGCAAAACACGCAGGCACGCCGCGCACGTCTGAAAGGGCACCGAAGGGGGGGCGCCCGCCGGAGAGACTGCTTCGAGGAAGAAGAAGATCCCTTCCTTCCCCATTTCCTCCCCAAGTTGAGGGCAGCCACCAGCCGTGCTGCCTGCGCCCCTCTCCCCACCGGACTCGCATCTCCCGAGTTGAACGTGTGAACGGCCCACGCGGGTCCGGCCGCGGGTACTCACGTGTCCAAGCACACGGGTGCGAAGAGCGAGCAGAGGAAGATCCCCGCGTGCGGGTGGCAGCCGGTGCTGACGAGGCGCTGCCACGCGGCGGCTTTCCCCACGACCTCGGGCAAACCGACGTGACCCAGCAGGTTGGGCAGCCTCATCTCCGAGTAGCCGATGTCGTGGCACATGGCCATGTCCGTGGGGATGGAGACGCACTTGGTGGATAAGCCCAGGTCCAGCCCCGCCGCCCGGCGCAGGGCCAAGGCCAGCAGGACGGCCGCGGGGAGCATCGCTGGCGCCTCCGTAACGTGAGGATGCCTCGTAGAGTCAAAGGTCTCTTTGCAGATCTGAGCAAAGGTCAGGGTGTGGGGCGCTTTATATCTGCACGACCCCCACCCGCCAACCCCCAGGGCTCTCCTCCTTTTATCTGATGGAAACCCCCAAGGGGAAAAAAAGGTGTTTGCTTATAGCCCATTTAAGCGATTTGATGGGATTAGTGGTTCCCAAAGGGTGTGAATGGCAAAGAAACATTCAAACATTTCAGTGCATCAAGAACAGAAAAGAGAAGCTGCTCAAACCTGAAGACCTCTTGGCCAAAGCGCCTTTATAATTCTTGATTCTTTTATAGTGAGATGTTTCCAATGACTGACCTGAATGTCTTATGTATTCTAAAGAGGAAATCCTTCATTTTTTTAAAAAATGGTGGAATAAACCTGCATTGTTTTTTATTGGACACTTTGGTTTTTAAATGAACTGATGGAGTAGACAGCCACCCAAAAACGACAGGCGTTTGCTTGGATTGCTGCTAAGGAGGATGATATTCGAAGAGGGGGTGGGAAGGGAAAAAAAGGGGTCCTGCCTTTTGCACTTCTGGGGTCTCTGGTTTTCGCTAGCTGTGGGTGGCAAGCTGCTTCTCAGACCTTCCTAGTTTGCAACCTGGTCCATTTTTAAGAAAACACTTTGTATAAGTGCTTTTATGTGTCTTAATTTTTAAATAAAATGCGGTCAGCTGCAGGGGGGAAAGCAAAAGAGAAAGGCTTCTTTGTGTTGATGAGTAAAGGTAAAGGTAAAGGTACTCCTGACCATTAGGTCCAGTCGTGGACGACTCTGGGGTTGCGCGCTCATCTCGCTCTATAGGCCGAGGGAGCCGGCGTTTGTCCGTAGACAGCTTCCAGCTCTGGCAAACCAGAGCAGTGCATGGAAACACCATTTACCTTCCCGCCGGAGCGGTACCTATTTATCTACTTGCACTTTGATGTGCTTTTGAACTGCTAGGTTGGCAGGAGCTGGGACCAAACAATGGGAGCTCACCCCATCGCGGGGATTCGAACTGCCGACCTTCTGATTGGCAAGCCCTAGGCTCTGTAGTTTAGACCACAGCGCCACCCGCATCCCTGTGTTGATGAGAGTTTGTCTCAAATTAGACCTAATCTTCTTCTTCTTCTTTGGCAATCACATAGCTGTGTAAGATTGTCTTCCATGAAAGCGGTCTCAACAGTGAGTCCATAAGTGACTTCAGAGGCCAATTCTGGATCCACATGTCCTTCCACAGTGGGGACATAGGTTTCTGGGCGGGAATTGATCACAGTGAGGGTTTGCCAAACGTTCCTTCCTTTTTATTATTTTATCTTATATTTTGGAAATGTACATCCAGTTTTTTCCTTTAAATTTTTTTGGGGCCCCCAAGAGAGTGGGGCCCTAAGCTTTTGCTTGTTTGGCTTATACGTAAATCTGGCACTGATTTTGGGAATAATTCATGTTCTTATATAGCTGCATAGGTTGTTTTTTTATAAAGCAGTTGTGTCCTCTGTTATAAATTAAGCACTGCTAGGAGTTGTTCCTTTTTGTTTTCCAATGTATTTCTTAACAATAAAAAATGGGTGTGGCACCAGCAAATTTTTATTCTGGAAAAGGTTTGAGAGCCACCGGATTGTGTCCATGTGGTGGACACAAGGTGCCTGGGTGGGTGTTAATGAACATTTTGGGGTTTTTTTGCAGGTGCGACTTGCAAAGGTGTGAGAGGGGATTCTGCCAGGGAATTCTGCAAATGAAGTGTGAAGCTGAGTTAAGGCAGACTCCTGGAAAAAGGGTGTGAGGAGCAGACAGCCTGTCTCCTTGTGGCCTGGGTTTGTCGGCTTGGCTTCAGACATGGCTGGTGTAGCCGAAAAGACAGACGAGATGGATCCCCAAGAGAAAATGTTTTGCTTTTGTCAATTGCCTCCTGGCGCTTGCTCACCTCAGAAGTGTGTAGGCAGACTTTTCTCGGTGAGGTAAAGTGCTAGAAATCAGATTAGCTTGTCTGTCAAAAGGGGCTGCCTAATTTCTAAAGAAAGTGGGCCCCAGAAGCCGCCTAGAATTGTAAGATTTTATTGATAATTGAAATGTGTCGACTCTGCTGAAGTTGAAGTGGATGAAAGGAGACAGCTTCATTTTCCTCATTTCCCATATGCGAGTTCGAGTTCGGATGTTTAACCTGAATTCAGGACCATAAGCATCACATCAAAGCCCACTTTCCACCAGACGGAAAAACAGGCAGTTATCAAGTCTTTTTGTACAAGTGACAGTTCTGTAAATTAGAATTTAAAAAGTTAAAATTACAAGACTTTTACTGCACAGGGAGTTACAAGGTTTTAATGATGCTACACTTGGGGAAAAAATGGCATTTGAATCGTGGTTAAATCTATAGAAACGCGGATGTATATCCAGCTAGTCAGGAAACATAAAACATATACAGTACTTCTCCAGTCATGTAACCATTAAATGGAGGAGCCTTACTTGGATTAGGAGTTGGCGATGCTATACAAGGTAGATAGCTGATCTGGCCGGGGTGCCTGCTATTTCAGTTGCAATTCACAGCAATTTCTTTCTTTTATTACAAAGGTGTGCTTTTGATGGGCAATAAATGAGAAAGCCTAAAGAATACACATATAACTCAGAGTTAGGTTTAAAAAAGAAAAAAAAGCAACCTTCATCGATCGTTTCTTTCCATCATATAAATAATGTAACTCAAATGATGGACTTTTGTGTGTGTGTATGTGTGAAAAATTTAATAATTTCTACTGCAGTATTTGTTGTGGAAAGTGATCCTCAGCAGTGATCTCATCAGTTTCCTGATCCAGAGGACAAAAGTTTGATGCTGCGAAAAGAGCTGAAATTGGATTTAGGAGCGCCTTCCCCTGCAAAGCACTGATCAGCAATCTTCACATCAGCTTGTGATAAGGCCACAAGACAAGGCGAAGTGTGCTCTGGGCAAAGACTAAAACTTCACATTCTTCATCAAGGTACGCTCATTACAAAATGGCTCAGAATTTAAATAAATATAGAAAGATAGAAAATTCCCCATTACAAGTCTTCAGACAACCCTGCTAGTGATGTTAATTGCTTACAATAATCTTTTAGATATCGTATAAATTTACTCCAATCCTTTTGGAATACTTGATTGTGCTGGTTTTGGATTTTTCCTGTCAGCTTCGCCAATTCTGCAAAGTCCATCATCTTCGTCTGCCATTCTTCTTTTGTTGGTACTTCTTGTTTCCATTTTTGGGCTAAGAGAATTCTTGCCACAGTTGTTGCTTACATAAACAGTCTTTTATCTTCCCTTGGTATCTCTTCACCCACAATACCCATTAAAAAGGCTTCTGGTTTTTTCCACAAAAGTATTTTTAAACATTTTCTTTAACTCATTATACACCATTTCCCAGAAAGCCTTTACAAGGCAAGTATTTAGATTCAGGTAGGTAGCCGTGTTGTTCTGACGCAGTCGAAATAAATAAATAAAATTGTCCAGTAGGTTTACCATACCCATTGAGTCAATCACCCATCTCCTACTACCCTTCTGAGACAAACCGCACCCCACCCTCCCACTATATATAAGGGCCTGGTGATTTCTGTTTCAGTGTATCTGAAGAAGTGTGCATGCACACGAAAGCTTATACCCAGAACAAACTTAGTTGGTCTCTAAGGTGCAACTCTAAGGTGGCGCTGTGGGTTAAACCACAGAGCCTAGGACTTGCCGATCAGAAGGTCGGCGGTTCGAATCCCCGTGACGGGGTGAGCTCCCGTTGCTCGGTCCCTGCTCCTGCCAACCTAGCAGTTCGAAAGCACTTCAAAGTGCAAGTAGATAAATAGGTACCACTCCGGCGGGAAGGTAAACGGTGTTTCCATACGCTGCTCTGGTTCGCCAGAAGCGGCTTAGTCATGCTGGTCACATGACCTGGAAGCTGTACGCCGGCTCCCTCGGCCAATAAAGCGAGATGAGCGCCGCAACCCCAGAGTCGGTCACGACTGGACCTAATGGTCAGGGGTCCCTTTACCTTTACCTTTAAGGTGCAACTGAACAATTATTTATTTACTTATTTTAAGGTAAGTATTTCTATGTGTGGAAAGCTCGGTCCTTTTACCCATGCAAATGACGCAAATTAAATCAAATGTAATGGTTTCTCTTAATTGGCAAGTGTCGATTCTACAGGTGTTTTCAATTTCCTGCCCCAAAGTTTTTGATCAGAGCGATGGGGTTGTGGGGGAACTGCGTGCTCTCTGCCCCATGACTTAAATCTTTCCTGCAAAGCTGTCATTAGTCTACAGGTAGGATTCAATTGTGGTCCTTTAGAAATACTTGAATGATTGTATCTCAGAAGAAAGTCCAGCTTGCTCCATTAGTCCATGGCTCTATTTTTATTGCTCATAAATATGAGAACCAGTTGCCTGCTAGATAGATGTTGATAACTTGATTAGATCTTGGGGCCTAGTCTTTCCTTATCCTCATCCCCCCCTTCCTTTGACTGCTGTTTAAGAGACTGGCAGAGATTAACCAGGAGCCACAAATTACCATCTCATTGTAACCAAGGGACTGGGATCTTCTTCAAAGAAATTCAGGAATTTGCTTCAGCAATGGAACCTTAGAATGCCTTACATTCTAAGTAGAATGTTAGACAGCTGCGTTTATTTATTGAACAAGGAAGAAACCATTTAGACAGTTCTTAAAACAGGTGTAGGAAGGTAGCTCCTTCAACTTGTGTCTACCTGTAAAAACGCCATGGAGAAAAGTAAGGGAATTCAAATCAGATATACTATATAACCCCTTTTCCTGCAATTCCTGAAATCCAAGCAGGTTTGCCCCAGATGTGAATATAACAATATATTCCAAGCCAATCAATCAAGTTCATTATAGAAAATTATAATACAAATGAACAAAATCACATAGCAATTTCAGTTGTCAATTCAACAATTCAGTTAAGAGATCAGTAGAGAAAATGTTTTCCAATACTTCTAGCAAAGCAACAAGCAGTTT